GAGTTTTTTCGGGGAGCTCAAAGCCTTTCACAGATCCAGGAGCTTGATATTGTCCAACCAGCTTTCCCACTGGGAAAGTTCCCTGGGGATTCTGTGACTGGGGTTCAAGGGTGCCACAGGGGCTTTGGCAATTTAGCCCATTGCCTTGGGGAGGAACAACGGGCCAAGATTTCTCTTTTCTGTACCTGGTAGGAGGCAGAGACAGGAAGTGGGACCCAGGTACCCCCAAGACTCAGGGGGCAAAGGATGGCAGGGCCTCGTGCGTCCGTCAGGTTCTTGGGTGTGGACACTTAGTGTTTAGGTTCCAGGTGCGGCCCTTGGTGTGACGCCCCAGTGCACATGAATGACTCACATCAAGTTAAAACCATGAACTCTCAAGCATTTAGGTAGATATGGAAAGCCCAGAGTACTGAAACTGAAAGTATCCGAAAGAGAGCCGGTGCCATCTATCACTCTGGTAATAAAACTGTCATCATTGTGACCGGTGGTTCCCACACCCTGACCACGCATCAGACATTGTGCTGCATTTCTGGTTGTTTTTTATTTGTTTTTAAAGATTTGAGAAGTAGAGATAAAGGTCTTTCATCCAATAGTTCACTCCTCAAATGGCTGCAATGAACAGAGCTGGGCCGATCTGAAGCCAGGAGCTCCTTCTGGGTCTCCCATGCAGGTACAGGGGCCCAAGCACTTGAACCATCTTCTACTACTTTCCCAGGCCACCAGCAGAGAGCTGGATCGGAAGTGGAGCAGCCAGGACTTGAACCAGCACCCATATGAGATGTCAGTGCTGGAGGCAGAGGTTTAACCTACCATACCACAGCACCACCCCCTGGTTGTCATTTTTAAAGATCTATTTATTTATATGAAAAACAGAGTGACAGAGAATTGAGATAGAGACCATCCATTTACTGATTTGCTCCCCAGATAGCCACATTGGCCAGCGCTGGGCCAGGCCAGAGCCAGGATCTTTATCCATCCAGGTCTCCTATTTGGGTGACAGGGGCTCGAGTACTTGGGTTATATCTGCTGCTTTCCCAGGTGCATTAGTAGGGAGCTGGGTCAGAAGTGGAGCAGCTAAGACACGAACTAGCGCTCCAGTATCAGGTACCAGCAGCACGGGCGGCACCTTAACCTGCTGTGCCAGAGCACCAGCCTTTGCTGCAGGTTTATATGCAGTTAATCCTCAGAGCAACCGTGTGAGGCAGGTGTTAGCAACTTCACCTTGCAAGGACACGGAGCCTCGGAGAGGCTGGCAGACCAAGGGACCCAGCGCTCAATCTCTGCTTGGCGTGTGTGTATGAGTCCACCGTGACCCTTAGCCTCTGTGTGGACCAGTGCCCTGGGCAGTCACTCTTGGTTAGGTAGTGCCAGCTCTTTTCCCAAGGGCCACCGACTTCCCCATTCTAGTCTTGGGTATAGGTCACATGGAACAGGGCCAGCGGCCCTGGGCTCGAGCACTTCTGACAGTGAAGGACGTCCTTGTAAACCCTCTGTACTGGTCTTCCCTCTGTGTTTAAATGCGACAGCTGGGGCTGGCGCTGTGGCTCACTTGGTTAATCCTCCGCCTGCGGCACCAGCATCCCATATGGACACCAGGTTCCAGTCCCGGTTGCTCCTCTTCCAGTCCAGCTCTCTGTGGCCCGGGAGGAGAGTGCAGGATGGCCCAAGTGCTTGGGCCCCTGCACCTGCATGGGAGACCAGGAGGAAGCTCCTGGCTCCTGGCTCCTGGCTTTGGATTGGCACAGCTCCAGCCGTAGCAGCCATTTTGGGGGTGAACCAACGGAAGGAAGACCTTTCTGTCTCTCTCTCTCACTGTCTGTCAAACAAAAAAATTGTGACAGCTGACTCTTACACACCCGTTCTGTGCTCTCTCACCCGCCTTGCTTGCCTTCTTTGGGTTAACTTTCCTTACTCCCTCAGCTCTGTCCCACCCTGCCTGCCCTCTCCCATTCACCTTGACAGTCTCTTGGTACCAGTCTGGACTGGGGGTCAGTTGGCAAACTGGAGCCTGTGGGCCAAAGTCAGCCTGCTGCCTGTTTTGTTTGTTGTTTTGAAAGGCAGGGAGACAGAGGACAGAGTCAAGTGTGCGAGAGCAACAGAGAACCCATCCACGGGTTCACTCCCCGAAGTGCCCACAGCAGCGAGGCCGGGCCAAGCCGGAGCCAGGAGCTCAATCTGGGTCTGTGACAGGTGGCAGGGACCCAGGTACTGCTGCCTCCTGGGCTGTGCATTAGTGGGAAAGTGGAACTGAGAGAGGAGCTGAGGCTTGAACCCAGGCACTTGGATATGGGATGCAGGCGTCTTGACCCCTAGACCAAACGCCCTGCCCCGCTGCCTGCATTTGCTTCTTTGTCAAAGGTTAGTTGACTTCCTGTATGTGGACCCATTTCCTGGTTCTCTCTTCTGTTCCACTGATCTGTTTGTCTACACGTTGCCAACAGCACGCTGTCGTGGGGACTGTAGCTGAGTCGTGAGTTAGAGTCAGGTAGGGCCAGTCCTCTGACTTTGCTCTTCCGAGACTGTATTGACTATGCTGGCTCCTTTATCTCCATGCAAACTTTAGAATCTGCTTGTTGATAAACACAAGGGTTTCCACATTGCTAGACAGTTGGGAGAACCAAAAGAAGAGGAATATTTTGTCATGGAAAATGCATGAATTTGAATTTTGGCCTGTGTCAATAAAGATAGCTTGTTTACTCCTCTGCAACTACTTTCACACCTCGGCCACAGAACTGAGCAGTACAACTGAGCTTCGTTAGCCTGCAAACCCTAAAATACAGGGTCGTTGGGCCTTTCGCAAGCGAAGTCCGCTGGCCCTGGTCTGGATCTTGGCACGTGGCTCACCGCACACTCAGCTTGTTTGGCACAAGCACAGACCAAGGAGCCAGACCACCTATCTCTGAGTCCAGCCGTCGCCCTTGGCTAGCTGGGTCCCCTTGAAAATGCCACTCAGCCCTTGAGATTCACAAGGAGCATCCGTGTGTCTGTCTCGTTCTCCTGTCTGTAAAGTGGGGATGATGTGATTTATGTCAGAGCTGCGAGGACTGAATGAGTCATCTGTGGAGGTGCCGAGAACAGCTGTGAGTGCTGTTGACTGCCCTTTCCACCTCAATCCCTGCTTAGTGAACACCGCCGAAGCAGTCTTTTTTTTTTTTTTGACAGAGTGGACAGTGAGAGAGAGAGAAGGGTCTTCCTTTGCTGTTGGTTCACTCTCCAATGGCCGCCGCAGCTGGCGCGCTGCGGCCAGTACACCGCGCTGATCCGAAGGCAGGAGCCAGGTACTTATCCTGGTCTCCCATGGGGTGCAGGGCCCAAGGACTTGGGCCATCCTCCACTGCACTCCCGGGCCACAGCAGAGAGCTGGCCTGGAAGAGGGGCAACCGGGACAGAATCCGGCGCCCCGACCAGGACTTGAACCCGGTGTGCCGGTACCGCAAGGCGGAGGATTAGCCTAGTGAGCCGCGGCGCCAGCCCCCAAGGCAATCTTAAATCTGTCCTGCTCATCGTCCACCCCTCCACTGCCTGGCCTGTGCAGCTGCAGAGCCTGGCTCCTGTCAGTCCGCGTGGCCTCTTCTGCCCTGCCCACCAGTTCCAAATGCCGTGTCCCAGCCTTCGCCGGCGCTCCGAGCTGGTCTACACCTCTCCGCCTGCCCATCATGTGACTGCCCAGAAAGCTTGCTTCTGGGAACTTCGAAAGGGTCACAGATCAGGAGGCAAGTTACAGCCGTCGTTCCTCACCACGGAATTCGGGGCCTGATTTCACCATGGGCAGGAAGTGGAGAGACACGGGTGCTCCTTGTGGATCTTGAGCGCAGCAATTTTCAGGATCTAAAAGGAAAGCTGCAGAGGAAGGCCGGGGTGGCAGAGAGACTGAGGCCTTGCCCTCGAGTGAGGCTTCCCCTTGCGTGGCCTCATGCACTCCGGGGCTTCTCGCATTGTCTGCTCTCAGCAGGAGTGCATACCCTGGGCAGAGAACCAGGTAGGGAGAAGTCAGAGAAAGCAAGGAGCCTATGTCTCTGATTAAATACCACTATCATAAACAAGAAAGTTCATGAAAACTGCCTGTTAGGGGGGAAAACAAACAAGGTGTGGATTAAAACATTTTGCACCAAGATAAACACCGTTTAATCCCATTGTCCGTGAACGTCTCCATGGAGCCTCTGAATTAAGGATCCAGATTGTACAACACAGGAAGAGAGCTCATGGCGAGACACTGCAGGGTGGATGCCCAGTCACACGCATATGGGGACACGGTTACAGCAGAACGGGCAGTCAGCCTGACTGTGGGCGCCGGGATGTGAGCCAATGAAATCGCATGTGACGGTAGAAGTAGCAGCCTTGGGGGTAACTGTTGGCTTGCTTCCTCTATTAGGGTGCTGCTGCTATTACTATTTTTTAACTTGATGTTTTATGGGAACACTTGACTGCTAAAACATGAAGGAAAAAAAGTAAATGTAAAAGACCGGTCCAGAGTAAATTGGAACAAGGGGAGTGTCTTTGCCTTCTCTGTCCCTGCCTTTTCCACCACTGGGCGAGGCCCCTGGACACACTCTGTACTTTGTACCGTGATGGCTGCTAGGAGCCCCGTGCCCAACTTTCTTAAGGTCATGCTCCCTTCAGACTATTCTGGAATGTCCTTTGCCTTCTTCCCTGCTTAGTCATGGTCCCCAAACAGCATCAACTGACCAACCCCCCCCCCCACCTTCCTGGCGGATTCTGCCCTTTGTGAACCCTATAACAGACGCGTGCACGGCAAAGCGTGATTGCTGATAGCTCTCGGGTAACATTTCTGCGTTCAGCCTGGGGATTCTGCCCTACTGGGCTGCACTAATGGAAGCGCAGAGTCCTGAAGGGCGGAGGAACGGAATGCGGCCTTTCCTAACACGAGGCATAGGACTGAGCGGGGCACGTGGAGAGGCCGTGAGGCCACAAATTTGGGGTGGAGTTAATCCCAGCAAAATAATCAGAACTTTTTATTTATTTATTATTATTTTTTTTAGGTGCAGATCAGATCCAAACCTCTTCTGGAAAGAACACATTGGAAGGGCAGCTCTGGCCAGAGGTGAGGGCTTTGCCGAGTGGGAGTGGCAGGGGGAGCAGCGGGGGAGTCTTCTAATGGGTGAAGCCAAGCTTGGATGGAGGTCGGCACGCCCCTCCCCGAGGCCCCCTGGGAAACGGGCTGGCAGAGCGTAGCTGGGTCTCCAGGGCTTTGGGGCGCGTGGTCCCTGCAGACTGTGTGGGTGTTTCCCAGAAGTGTCCGGAGCAGGTTCCAAATGCATTTATCTGCGTGACCCTTGAAGCTGCCCTTCGGAGTTATCTGAAGGCATCCGGGTGAAGTCTTCCCAGAACACCCACGAGATAAGAGTTGAGAGTAAACGCAGATCTCTTACTGTAATCGGACATTCCAGAGAAATTAACCTGCGTCTTGCGAGCAAGGATGTGGTCAAGCGCCCCACTGACTGCACGTAGCATTTTCCCGTCCACTTTGAATTTTGGAGAGAAGATGCGGGCTCTCTCTTCCCAGTCTTCCATGCTATTCACAGAGAAAGTTGCTCCGCGGGACCCCAAGTGGTCTTGGGCACCTGAGCAGGGGTCCGTGTGTCCCTCGTCTGCTCTCGGACCATCTGGGCTCAGGTGAAGATGTGAGTCTCCTAGTTTTAAGTTAACCTGGTTTTCAGCAGCAAATAGATGTAGTACCCAAGTGTGCCTGCTTTTGGGGTGAAAAGGAACAGAGCCAGTACAAATAAAAATAACACGGAGTTAAGCTTCTTTTAGGCTAAGGCTACTGGGTCTCTTTGATTGCTTTTCTTATTGTGGTAAAACACACAGAACATAGGAGTTACCATTTTAACTGCTCGATGTGTACTCAGTGGAATGAATTACGTTCACATGTGGAAGTTGCACTACTGTCCATCTCCAGAACTTTTTCATCATCCAGATAATTGATTTTTTTAATGATTTATTTATCTATTTGAGAGGCAGAGAGAAAGGTCTTCCATCTGCTGGTTCACTCCCCAAATGGCCACAACTGCTGGAGCTGGGCAGATCTGAAGCCAGGAGCTTCTTCCAGATCTCCCATGTGTGTGCAGGGCTCAAGCACTTGGACCATCTTCCACTGCTTTCCCAGGCCATAGCAGAGAGCTGGATCGGAAGTGGAGCAGCCAGATTACAAACCAGCGGCCATGTGGGATGCCGCAGGCAGAGGCTTAGCCTGCTACACAACAGTCCCGGCCCCCAGATAATTGATTTTTATTCTCCTCCACCATTTCCCTGCTCCATCCCACTGTTCTGAGACTTCTTGCTTCGCCACCTGCTATGGACACCCAGGCACGTGCCCCTTCGTCAGGAGCCAAGTTGGGAGCCCGTGACTGTGGACAATCCCTGCCCCCAGGGTTTAGAGCCCAGAAAGAACAAGCACACGGCCATTTCCATGCTGAGTTTTCAGAGTGTGTGATATTTTCCTAGGAGGAGTGGATGTTTCTGATGTTTGCTTTTGATTCCAGAGCCTGAAGACTTTTCCATTCCCATGCGACCCAAAGACATTAGCAGAGAGCGTGCCCTCTGAGTCAGGTACGTGGTTCAAGGCCATGGACAGGAAAGGTCCAGCACCCTCTCTCTGGAGCAGAGCCTCCAGCCTTGCTCCCCCGGGCCTCTTGGCCATTTGGGTCTCCCTCTTCCTCATCCTCCAGCCCTCACACCCTCTCTGTTTCTGCCCCTCAGTGGTTTCTACGGAGGGGATGTAGCCCAACACCATCTGGTAACAAAACCCATCTGGCCCAGGTGGCTTCCCTGGACAAGGGTGACCTCCAGCATCTCACCTCCCTGTGGGTGGACAGTGTTGTGGGAGGTGTGGGTTGGGGGCTGGCTGCTCACGTGCCTTCCTTCTTCCTGTAATGTAGCCACAGGGGCCACTGCACCCCATTTCCCCTCTGATGAATGAGCCAGGTTTGTTCAATGTGATGAAGCTGCTCTTGGGCTGGTCATCTTCCCTGGCTTTTGCATATCAAGTGGCTGTGCTATAAACTGGGCTTCATAGTTTAGTATTTGCATGGTCCTAATTTGGTCAGGGTTTCCAGGTCAGCATGCTTTGCTTCCAATTCTGTTAGATAAGGATTTAGATAGAAAAAGAAATGGATGCACTTGTTAGGAAATGGCCCCTTCACCATAACCAGTGGAGCAGGGCCGGTGGTTTCTAGGGAGATTTCCGTGTGTGTCATTTGCATGTAATTTGCATCTGATGTTTGTGTGCATTCATAGATTTCACTGTTCTCTGGCAAACTCCAAGCTAAAGATATCCTTTGGGTACCCAAGTGATTTTTACTTAATGTGTTGCCCTCTTACTTATTAACGTTGGCCCAGTAATGTGGAGCCATGGGATGGGGGGGGAGGTGTAAGAGGCAGAGAGAGGGCCAGGCGTGACAGAAAAACACAGGCCCCGAGTGATCGTCCATGGGACGTGCGTTTGGAGCACCCAAGTCCAGCTAGCATGGGGGCCTCCAGGAGAACGAGCCTCTTTTGAGCAGGATTCCTAGGGTTCCTGTTGTGCGTGGTCTTAAGCTGCTTCCTGCTCCCATAGCCAATGGTCTTGACCTCAGCCGCTGCTCGGGGGGTGGAGGGGGTCTGTCCCCCATGTGACAACCTTGGCCTGCACTGTGGGGATGTAAATGTGACCTCCTACCTGGTTTCCTGTCTTCACAGTTCACTCTCTGAGGCCTTCTGACATTAAATTTGTTGCAGCCATTGGCAATGTGGAAACTGTGAGTATTTAAAGTAACCTGTGGTAGGAGACAGGGCTTGGCCCTGGTGAGCACCCAGCTGAGCTCCTGGTCACTAGGCCAATGCTTCATTTTAGGAGACAACATCATAGGAGTTGAAGAAATTCTAAAATCTCTGAGGGTCTGATCACTCCATGTGGTGGAATGAGAAGGCCATGCCAAGATGGCCTCTGGCAAAGCAGCCTGCCTGACAGAAGGCTGTGATTGGATGGCTTTGGAAACTGCCTGGCAACAGGCTGTGATTGGTTAGGGCATAAACCGCCCCTTGAGTGGATTGGCTGCCTCAGCTATATAAGCTGCTGTACCAACTGAAATAAATGAGTCTGTGGGCTGCTCACCTCTGGCCTGCTTTCACCTGGCTCCCGGGGTCTGTGTGGTGACTCCGTGCCTCTTGCCCCCACCGCACTTCTCCTCTCAGAACGAATCCACAGCAACAACTCCATCCCTTTCCTGTTTTTCCCCAACCAAATGCATGCCTAACTTTACATCAGGGTGAAAAAACTTTTCTAGTTTCTAATTAATAAATAAATAAATCCCTTGACAAATCAATAAAATTCTTAAAAGGGATCTTTCAAACTTTCTACATAAGAGAAATTATCTGCTTTGCAAATATAAAAATTATTTTTAATTGTAGTATAAAATGTATCATCTTAATCATTTTTTAAAAGTATCTGTTTTACTTGAAAGGCAGAGAGAGACACACACAAAGACAAGTCCCATCTGTTGTCTTATTCCCCAAATGCCTGCAGTGACCAAGGCTAGGCCAGGCTGGGCCCAAGACAGGAGCCAGGAACTCCGTGCAGGACTCCATGTGGGCGGCAAGGACCCCACTGTGTGAGCCCTCACCCGCTGCCTCCCAGGGCACTCCACAGCAGGCAGCTGGGTCAGCAGCAGAGCCTGGGCACTCCACTATGGGCTGTGGTCCCCCTCAGCCACCTTAATCGCTACACCAAGCCCCTACCCCAAGGGGTATATTTTATGGGCTTAGGTAATGGAGAAAGAAAGCCATAAAAAGGAAAACATGAAAAGAAAGGGGTGAGCAGAGAACGAGGCTCCTGGCGAGAAGAGGCGGAGAGCAGCAAGCCTCCCACTCCGTCCTCTCTCCTCGTCGCCTGCCTGCTCTCGACCGAACCTGGCAGCGCTCACGGCCCAGCTGTCCCAGAGGAATAGAGCACTTCTTCCCAGGTCTCTGCCATGCCCTGGGCCCTACTGTACCTCCGCACAGAGCTGTAGCCTTGGGAGGCGGATCGGGACCCAGTGGAACCTGGCAGGCAGGGACTCCCCTCCTGGCCCGATTCCATCCAGGCCTGTGTGACCATACCCGTGTTGATGGGAGTCAGGGAGAAGTTTGCCCCGGGGAGATGGAAATAAATGAGAGATGAGGTCTAGCATCCCCGATAGCGGCTGACGCTGCTGAGGGTCTGTGCACCCACACAGAGCGATCCTGACGCTCCAGGGCCTGGGAGGTACGGCCGGCTCAGATTCGCCCACTGCAAGCAGGAAAATTACCCCCAAAGTCAGGATTCTAAAGGTAAACCTATTAGGGTTTAATGCAGCGTTTAAGACGCTGCTTGGGACACCTGCATCCCATCTTGGAGTAGCTGGGTGTGAGTCCCTGATTCCTGCTAATGTGCTCCTTGGGAGGCAGCAGGTGTTGGCTCAAGTCCCTGCCACTCATGTGGGAGGACTGGACTGAGTTCTTGGCCCAGCCCAGCCTCAGCTGGTGCAGGCATTTGGGGAATGAACCATCAGATGGAAGATGTCTGTCTCTCTAGCTGACAGAAAGAGAGACAGACCAGCCACCTTTGGAAAAAACAAAGCTAAGCCTGCTTGTGACTTCTGCCTTTGGTTTCATCTGAGGGCTCTCGGGTCTGACAGTTCTGCTGCCCTCCAAGCTGCCCGTCTCCCTGGGTGAGCCCATGGCCTCCTGAGACTGGGTACAGCTCAGCCCAGGCTGCTCTCCAGCCCCACGGTCATTACCAGCCTACTGCTGGGCACCGTGGCCTTCAGGGTCAGCCCTGAAAGCACAGCTCCCTGTAGCTATCCAGCCCCTGCCTGGAGAGACAGGGCCACTGTCCACTCAGCTTGGCTTCCACATCACAGAAACAGAGCAGAGAAAAACAGTGGGAGACAGAATGCAAGAAGAAAAAAAGCCCCGGACACTCCTGCTTTTTCTTTGAGTTTCTGTCCCTTTAAACAGTTCCCCCTCATCGTCTAGACTGTTCGTGGTCCCTGACTTGGGTCTTGGTGGGACTTTTGTGTTTAGTGTCATAGTGCAAGGGAGCGTGTCCCTGGTCAGAGGGCTCTCATGGCCAGCCTGCCCCGGCCTGGCTGTTTAACACTAGGCGGCAGTGGGCTGGGGGCAGGCGACGTGGGGCCATCCACCATCACCACAGACCTGGGCGTACTGTCGTCTAGGAATTCTAAGGGGAAGCACTGGTGTCAAACTGGAGACGATGCAGCCAGCCACAGCTGGGCTTGCTGAGCAGGTTCCTGCCCTGGGCGTGAATCCAGGCATCCTAGGAGTTGCCAAGGATGTGACTCCCAGGCCGGGGCTGGGCGAGGGGAGGTCCCAAGTCTGACCAGCAGCGAGCTTAGGGGACTTCTCCCACAGGAAGCGCCTGGGGTCATCTGGCATTGTCCCAAGGGGAAACTCGGAAGCTTATTTTGTTCCTTCAAGATAAATGTAATTATTAAATATTAGATAAAACTAGATATTCGTTGATTAGTCAGTCCCCTGCATCTGTCAGTTCTGTGCCAGGATTTGTTGAAAAAATTCACCAAATCATTGTGTGTGCACTATAACTGGATGGACTTTTTTCTCCTTATTCCCAAGCTGATGTATTATAAATGACACATGCATTTCAAGCATGGCTTACAGAACATGTATGTTGTATCAGGTATTGTAAGCAACCTGAAATACGAGGGGATGGGGGGAGGTTCTGTGCAAATACTACACTGTTTGATATAAGGAGCCAGAGCACCCCCACATCCGGGTATCTGAAGGGTGCTGGGGCCACCTCCCTGTGGACCTCGAGGGACGACTGCACTGACAATGCGGCAGGCGCTGTCGCAGGCCCAGGGAACACAGTCGAGGGTGGAACAGTCGGAGCCCCTCCCTCGTGGCCTCTACACGACAGCCAGGGAAGCGATCGGTGAAGCTATGTTCTGGCTTCCAGAAGGTCACAGTTGGCAGCCTCTCGTGTCTGCACAGAAGCTGCTGGGAGTCCAGGCAACGTTTAAGCCCCGAGCAGAGCACTCCCACTCCCGTGCTCCAGTGTGACTGATGTCTTCCCTCCCGGGAAAGCACTCGTGGGAGGGTCTGCCCTTCCCCGGGACCCAGAGGCTCCCTCCTCCTGGGGAAGACGGGCAGCTGTGACAGGCGTGTGGGGCTCCAGGAGATGCTGGTGTCAACCCCTTGTGTCTTTTCCAGGCTCCAGACTCAGGGGCGGACGACCTAGAGGAGCAAGACGGGTAAGCGTCCCGGGATCCCGGAGCAGGGACGCGCTGGGCTTCATTGACAGGGCAAACCGAGGGCTAAGGGCACAGGGGTAGGCTCAAGGCACCCTCGGAGCTGAGCTGAAGACCCGGTACCCAGCCTCCTGCCTCCCAGCCTGACACTCCCAGGGCCCGTGAGTCCCTGCGGCTCTCCAGAGCGAGCAGGGAGGGAAGGCAGACGGGGAGTGCTGGCGCTCCTGCTTGCTGCCCCCGGGCTCTCCTGCCTCTGCTCTGAGGGGCTCACAAAGAGGCAAGGCCAGGGTCGCTCTGCACTGGGCCCAGCTGCCCTTTCTGGCTTTGGGCCAGACCAGAGAGCTGGGAAGAAAGGGAAGAGATCCAGAAGGAGCTGTCAGCCCCATTCCAGCCACGCTGTTGCCGTCTGAGGGATGCCTCCCAGGCCCAGAGTGAGGCTGGGGCAAAGCTTCTGTGAAATGGACCAGAGCGGCCGAGGGAAAGGGCTGTTGGCAAGGACGGGCTCAGGGAGGCACCCACGTGCTTGCTGCTTCTTGCAGGACGGAGAAGAGGCCAGAGCAGGCGTGCATGGGCGTGGTGACCGGTGAGTAGGGCCTTTCCGGTTTTCACGGCCAGATGCTTGGTGCTCCCATCCCTCCCGACACAGCAACATTGTTGCCGATTGGCTACCTCATCACCAGCGCGTGGGAAAAGGGGAGGTGTTCTGAGGGGACCCATAAAGGAGCCAGGGTGACTGGAGGGTGTGAGGAGCACCTCCTACGGTTTCTGGGCAGAGAGAAGCCAGGAGGCTGTGGGTGAAAATTAAGGGACATAGGAGAGGGGTCTGGAGCCAGCTGGGCCGCCAGGACCCCAGGGCTGGACCAGCCCACTTCACATGGCCACCTCTCTCCCGCTTGTAAAATAAATCTGTCACTTGGGTTCAGGGAAATGAAATGAAGAAAATAAAAGTCAAGCGTAACCCCACTCTTAGGAGGTCATTGTTGCTAACGCTCTGGCCTTTCTGTCAACGCATGCGCCTGTGCGTCTGTCACCCGGGCAGCTAATACATCTACCGTGGGAGGTGCTCCGTGCCTCCATTAAGTTATCCTAAGACCCCAGCCGAGTTAGTCCCGTTAGTCCCAGGCAGGCACACTCGCATCATCAGCATCTACTTCAAGTCCTGCCTCTGATCGGCCCTCCCACCCACCGCCTTCTGCAGCCAGCTGCAGTCTCCTATGCCTGTGCTCACGGATGGAGGGCGGGGGAGCGCCTAGGGCTCCACAATTAAGACAAGCAGACTTAGACTGCGAGGCAAACGCTCGGCAGGGCTGACACCCGGGGCGCAGCTGGGGCCCTGGCAATCCAGCCAGCGAGTTGACACCAAGAGCCTGCGAGCACTGAGCTCCCAGGAAGGATGGGGATGAAGAGGACGCTGGTGCCGCCTTCAGAACTCAAGATCCGCCCTCCAGGATCTGATTGACAGGCGAGAGGGGACGGGTGGGCAAAGCATTTGCCACAAGGAAGCCCACTGCTGCCTGGTCGCTGGGCCTGAGCCTGTTTACCTCTAAGAGGTAGGAAAAGAAAAATGAAGCAGCATATTGGGGGCACCTGGGGAGAGCCGTGCAGCCTGGGTCCTGAAGCCACGTGGCAGCGGCCCCTTCACCCGACTCCTCTGTGCACCTCGTTCTTCCCTCCCTGGCCCTGTAGCGAGTTGGGCCACCCAGCTTCGAGCGCAGCAAGGCCAGGGCCCCCAGCTGGCTGTGGAAGGCAGTGGGAGGGCTGATCAGAGGCAGGACTTGAAGCAGATGCTGATGACTGAGAGCATGCCTGGAGAGGAAGGGTGCGGGGAGTGTGTGCCACACCTGGGTGCCTGGCAGGTGCCCAGGAAAGTGTTCTTGGGATACCCGGACCCCTTTGGGGTCTCAGGGACTGGGTGGACCTGGCCCTCCTGGCCTTCAGGACCCGAACGTGGTGAGCTCCAGCACCAGCCACGCCTTGCTCGTGGTCAGTTTGCAGACAGGAGAACTGAGTGTTAGAGGGGTAAACAGACCTCCAAGGTCACATAGGCAGTAAATGACCGAGGCTGTGAGAACCTGTGTGGTCCAGCCCACAGCCTGCTCCCTTTGTTCTGATCCCGCTGCCTCCAGGGAGCCCAGATGGGCAGCGTGAGGACAGAGCCAGGCACACCACAGGGTTAGGCAAGTTTATGTGCAAAGATCTGAGGTGGTCTTTGATTGTAAAGGAACATTAGAATACAGATACCTTTAACCTGGCAGGCAAATATCTTCCTGCTACCTAGCGCTGGAGAGCTGTGCTTTGTGCTCCTGTGACAGGGACAGTGGCCCGTCCCCTCCAGCAGTGCACGCACACATGCTGTCCCTGTCACCTCTGACTTGGCTCAGAGCTTCCTGTTTGCCCATCACATATGGGAAACAGATTCCTTCTGCAGCTGGTCAGGGGTTAGAGAGTGAAGCTCGCCCTTTTGGATTAAGGATGGGGGAAACTGAGTCACACACGTGTTGGGTGGCTGTTGGAAATCACAAAGCCAGGTAATGAGCTCCTGGCTTGCGCCCAGCTCTCCTGCCTGCTTCCTCTGCACGGTGTCGGCAACCTTCCCCGGGAGCCTGTGTGAGGCCACCTTCTAGATCCCGCCCCCGGGGGCCCCGAGGCCCTGCTGGGTGGCGGTAGGAGGGAAGAGGGGCTGGGGAGAGGGAGGCAGCGTCTCCCTCCCGTGACCCCCTCCCCACTCTGCCCTCTCCTCTCTCAGGAACAGGATGCCACTTAACTGCTGCTGACAGCACTATTTTTAGCAGTCCCCAGGCTGTCAGCTCTGGGACATGTTCTCTGTGTGTTCCCCGGAGCTGTCCCGCCCTGCTGTCGCTCTCGGGAGGAGAGAGGAGGACAGGAAAGCAGCCCAGGCGGTTAGAAGTTGTGCTGTTTGGGTGATGGGGGCAGCCTGCAGGGCATCTCTCGGCCTCAGTTTCCCCTAATGTTATAGGAAGTCATTCTGCCAGGGGCTCATTCCTGGGGGCGAGGTAAGCGCTCCGTGTGTGGTCTGGCCGAGCCCTTGATGGATGCTCAAGGTTAAGCCCACGGCCAAGGGCAGGGTGTGATGGTTGTGCCGTGGAATGGGGGTCTCCGCCCCCGCCCTCCAGGGGATGCCCAGATGCTGAGCCCAGGGCCTCAACCCGGCCCCCTCCCCAGTCCTTTCAGACATCATCGGCCGTTTCAGTCCTTCTGCTCTGATGCCGCTGTGTCCTGAGACAAGACTTGTACCTCGTGGAGGTGCTGAGTAAGTTCCTCTGCTGTCTCCCTCCGGGTGTGTTTTCCTGCAGGCCTGGGGCACGCACGTGGGAGGATTCGCCGGAGCTGGCAAAGTCAGAGGCTTAAAAATAGAGGTGTACATTAGGATGCCTCTCCCGTGCTAATGTCAGCTGGCCTGATGGGTCTAATTTTAAAAATCCAGGTCACTGTCTGCCCCTAGAACCAGGGCTGGTTGCGTGTAGCCTCAGGCTCAGAGCCAGACTCCTGGTCTGGGCTGAGGGCCACGCTTCCGGCCTCAACACAATAATATTGAGCCGATTTTTCTGTTTCCTTTCCTTTTTGCAGAGACTTGTGGATGCAGGCTACAGAGCTGGTGAGAAGCATGAGAGAGAACCCGGTAAGAAGTCAAGTAATGCTGGTGCGATTGGGCTGCCGGCATTGGCTAGGGCCAAACGTACTGGGTCGGGTGTCTGTGGCTCCATCTTGCCGTGGATGTGGCGACTAGCAATGCCAGGGCCCTGCATCTGTGCCCTTTGGTGCTCCTCTGGAGGTCATGTTTAAAAAGGACTGATCCTTTCGTTCAGGATGGATTTCTATGTGGTCCTACCGAGCGTTGGCAGATGCACTGCGTGACATCTCATGTAGACGGGTGGCCGAGGGCTTGGGTCCCCGAGTAGGAGCAGTTTGAGTTTGAATCCTGAGCCTCCACCTGTTAGCTGTGTGATGCTGGGTTGGATACTGAACCTCCCCAAGCTTCAGGTCATGAACTGGGGGTGACAAGAGTCAAACTGTAGGGTTCAGGGAGGATTAAATGAGGCGTTGAATTTGCCTGGCGGAGTCAAGGCTCACAGACCAAAGCCGTCGTGATGGTTGGAGTGGTGATGACTGCTGTTGGCGATTACCACCTGTGGTTTCCCTCTCGTGGCAGGGCCGCTGTAGTGCACCTGCTGGGGGCCCTGCTCTCGCTCTCCTAGCAGTTCAGGAGTCACAGACGCGTCCCCTGGCCTTTTGTGCCGTCCTTCCGGGCGAGCATCCCACCAAGGCGAGCTGGCCGCCATGCTGGGCCTGGGGACGCCGCTGTCTCAGCCTTACAGGCATTAAATAGCTGATCGAAGCAAGCACAGTCCTTCCTGGTCATCCGGGGCTGACGCACGCAGGAGCTGCCCCAGGAACAGTTGGTTTCCCCTAACAGGGGACTTACAAAATTTCTGAAACAACAACAATAATGTGATTCTGCAAAATAGCTGGGAGGTCCTGAGGCCAGCCCAGCAGACTTACAGATGAGGCAACTGAAGTTCAAGAAGTCAAATGGCCCATCCAAGGCGACACGGCTGGTTACAGCTAAAATCTGAAATGCCTCATTAGCAGTGCAAAGTTCCTCAGCTACACCGGGCTGCCTCCTTAAAAAAAAACTTGGTTTTTTGATACACAAATAACACATGTTTTTTATAGAAAAATCGGGCAACATGAACAAATATTAAAGCATCCTTAAACCCACTGTGCAGTGATGACTGCTAATAACATGGTGTGTGGTTCTGCCGTGTTTTCTCTAAGCACGCGTATCTGCGTGTATTTTATAAAGCAGGCATGTTCCTGGATACAGATAATTTGATAACCTACTTTTTAGGATATATTACTTCCTGTGACAATTTAATAACTTCAGCTTCATTTTAATAACTGCATAGTATCTCATCTCATGAGCGTTCCACGATTTGCACATTAATGTTTTAAGCATTTATGTTTCCAGTTTTTCATTCTTATGCACAAGGCTTCATCACGGTAGCTAAATCTTACATGATTTCCTTAAACTACATTTTTGGGAAATAGAATTATTGGATTAAAAAGTAAACCCTTTTATAAAAATTGGTTTTTAGATAGTTTGCCAAATTGCTTTCTAGAGCAATTCTGCTACTTTAAACTCTCACCACATACTCCTTTTGACAAAAAAATTAAAAAGACCCATAAATGTGATTTTAAGCGGCTGGGTGTGTGAGATTAAAAGACGCGACAAGGAGGAAGTTCTTTTGGCTTCAGATCTTACTGCTGTCTCTTTCATGCTGTTGTCCTTTTCTTTAGCAACTTGACTTTGAACATGACTGGAAGCTCATCAACGTGTTCTTCAGTAACACAAGCCAGTGTTTCCCGTGTCCCTCTGCTCAACAGGTAAATTGGACGTTGGGAGGCTGGGAAGGTTTACAAATGCTTGGGTGGGGGTGTGTACAAATCCTGCCAGATCCACACTTGTCATATTGGGGCTGATGCCACCCATCAGAATTCCAGTGGGTAGATGGATAATGGGTGAGTAGATGGGTGAGTGCCTGGGTAGGCGGGTGGGGGTGAGTGCATGGGTGAGTGAATGGATGGGTAAATGGATGGGTGGGGGGATGAGTGGATGGATGGGTGGCTGGATGCTCAAGGAAACAGCCTATTTCAAAAAGTTCATAGAAAATGGAAATAAAAGATAGTTTATATTGGTGCAAAAAGATTGAAATCTGAGGGGTTTTCAAAAAGTTCACGGAAATTATTTTAAAAGCTATGTGTGAATTTAAATTTTAAAAATCTTAACTCCACTTTCCATGAGCTTTTTGAAGTACCCTTAAACGCAGATAGGTGTTAGTATAGTCCGCTTCCGTTATTGTTGTTAAGTACACATGGCGCAAGGCTGGTCTTCTCGGCATTGTACGTGTAAGCCCGGTGGTGACACACATGCTCACGATGGCGTGCGCGGAGCCGTGCGTCAGCCGGCACAGGCAGCGGCTGATTATCACTGCCCATCCCTCACCTCAGGAAACAGAAATAGAGGCGTAGATAAGCGGAGTCCAATGGTTGACATGCAACCCGGGATAATCGGCTTCCTAGTTAAAAATTATTTGGCCTCTTCTAATTTCGATTTCACGCAAGTTTCTAACTTGGGAAATAAAGCAAGCCCTGTGGTCACCCCTTTGCCCCTGCATCCTGCTGGTAGTGGAGAGGTTGCTGCTGAGCTGAGGGACTGTGGACAGCATGTCCCAGGCTCCTCAGCTTTCCTGGGAACGGAGCACAAAGCATGGGGCTGCCTTTTATCATTTAGGCAGGTAGGTGACCGTGGACGTGGTGATGTGAGGCTTTATCGAAGATCATCCAGGTTAGGGTCAGTTGAAAGTTGTAGGGAGTGTCCAGCCAACCACAGCCCCAGTGACAGAAGTGGCGCCTGGGTCTTCTTCAGCAGCGGGAAGCCTGCTTGCTGCCAAGCTGGCCTTGACGTTTTGGGCAGCCCTGTGGTCTGCTCCCTGGACCGCCCCAGGCCGCAGCAGAAGCATGGCTGTTTCTTGATGTCCCCCTTTATGTCCCTCTGCAAAAACCTGGCTCCTGCCTGCCTTCAAATGCCCTACGCTCCCCCTGACTCCTGGCCCACCACCAAAACCCCCCATCCTATAGTGGTGCTGGGTCCTGCGAGGATGCTGGTGGAAATACCCCCTCCCTGCCCAGCTCCACGGACCCCTATTCCTGCAGATCTGCTGGGCCACAGCATATAGAAAATGATTTACTATTCCAGTTCACTCTCTTTTCTTCAAGGTCAAGTGATATTTACGTGGCCTGTTTGTTCTTGGCCACATACCTCTTTTTAGGCATCATGCAAACAAACATTGATTCAGGAATGCATGCACACCAGCACTTAGGCACTGCTGCATTTCTCTAAATAACCACTCACCGAGTCATCCATCTGTAAATTAGCATAGTCTGTGTAAATTCTCTCTTCTTACCTACAGAGACATGCTGTTGTATCTGAGTTTGTTCATGCTAGCATTTGATATATATTTTTAAAGATTTATTTATTTATTTGAAAAAGTTACAGAGAGGGAGAGTCTCCTCCGTCCACTGGTTCACTCCCCATATGGCCCCAACGACCAGGGCTAGGCCAAGCCAAAGCCAGAAGTTTCATCTGGGTTTCCTATATGGATGGCAAGCGCCAAGTACTTGGGCCATCTTTCACTGCTTTTCCCAGGCCATCAGCAAGAAGCTGGATTGGAAGTGGAGCAGCCAGGACACAAATTGGCACCCATGTGGGATGCTGGCATCGCAGGTGGCGGCTTCACCTGCTATATGACAAAGCCAACCCTGTGATTTTAAAATAATGGTTATACATTCATGGGTCCTTACACTCATTCATGATTTCTTTCATATACCCTATATATATATATATATTATATATATATATATATTTTTTTTTTTTGACAGGCAGAGTTAGACAGTGAGAGAGAGAGAAAGGTCTTCCTTTTTTCGTTGGTTCACCCACCAAGTGGCTGCTACAGTCAACGCGCTGCGCCTATGGGAAGCCAGGAGCCAGGTATTTCCTCCTGGTCTCCCATGGGGTGCAGGGCCCAAGCACCTGGGCCATCCTCCACTGCACTCCCTGGCCACAGCAGAGAGCTGGCCTGGAAGGGGGGCAACCAGGACAGAATCCAGCGCCCCGACCGGGACTAGAACCCGGTGTGCCGGCGCCGCAGGCAGAGGATTAGCCTAGTGAGCTGCGGCGCCGGCCAACATATACCCTATCTTGTATGCAAGAATTCCCACATGAATTCTTGGATTATTTCATGTACTTCTTCAAGCATTTTTTAAAATTTTTATCTATTTTATTTGAAATACAGAGAGACTGAGACAGAGGGCTTCCATCTGCTGGTTCACTCCACAAATGGCTACATAGCCAGGGCTGGGTCAGGCTGAAACCAGGAGCTGGGAGCTCAGTCTAGGTCTCCCATGTGGGTAGTAGAGATCCAAGTACTTGAGCCATCACTTGCTGCCTCCCAGGATCTGCATCAGCAGGAAGGTGGAATCAAAAGCAGAGCTAGGTTTGAACTTCAGTATGGGATACAGGCGTCCCAAGCCTACATCAATGCTCACTCCAAGCATTCTTCCGTCAATGCACGATGCATTCCTGTGTGCACAGATTCACCTTGAAGCACTTAACCAAAAGTTAGAATATAATAAACTACAATGGTTTTGAGTTCATTGTATGTAGTAAAGTAAATGTGGTTCATGAAAAAAATTGTTTTAAGAATTTTCTTTGCTTATTTTAAAGACAGAGTGACTAAGGGAGAGGAGAGGAAAGGGCTATCATCACTGGTTCACTCCGTAGATGGCTGCAAGAGCTGAGGCTGGGCTAGACTGAAGCCAGGAGCCAGGCAAGCCATCCTGGTCCTCCACGTAGGCAACCGGGGCCCTAGCGCTCTCGCCATCTTCTGGTGCCTTCTTGGTGCATTAGCAGAGCAGCCAGAACTTGAACCAGAGTTCCAGTATGGGACGCTGGCATCTCGGGCTGCAGCTTAACCCACTGCACCACAACCCTGGACCCCTTGAAAATGTCTGGTTCTGTTCTGTGGATAGTGAAGAAAAATGCCTACACCAGGTTCTTAAGCACAGAATTGCTGGGCCTCAGATATGTGTACTTAATAGTTTGCCCAGGTGCCCTCTGCAGTAGCTAGACTCATTTATATCCCACCAGTGGGCGAGAGCCCCTATCCCCATAGTGCTTCAGACATTGGTTGTCATCAAGATCAATGATTTTCGGCTGGCGCCGCAGCTCAGTAGGCTAATCCTCCGCCTAGCGGCGCCGGCACACCAGGTTCTAGTCCCGGTCGGGGCGCCGGATTCTGTCCTGGTTGCCCCTCTTCCAGGCCAGCTCTCTGCTGTGGCCAGGGAGTGCAGTGGAGGATGGCCCAGGTGCTTGGGCCCTGCACCCCATGGGACCAGGAGAAGTACCTGGCTCCTGCCATCGGATCGGTGTGGTGCGCCGGCTGCAGCGTGCCGGCCGCGGCGGCCATTGGAGGGTGAACCAACGGCAAAAAGGAAGACCTTTCTCTCTGTCTCTCTCTCTCACTGTCCACTCTGCCTGTAAAAAAAAAAAAAAAAAAAAAAAAAAAAAAAAAAAATCAATGCTTTTCGTTAAGATGTGAAACTCCCTCAAGATCTCGTCATGTTGATATCCAAGGATTAAGTTTCTTCACACTTAGAACCTCACACTTGTAATTGGTTGCAAACATGTGACGAAAGTAACCATGCCTCACTCTTAGTTTAAATGGCTGCAAGCCACTGACTTAATCTCCATAAATTTAGCTCAGTGTAGCAACGCTTGCTAGCAGACACCCAGACACCCTCTGGTTGCATTTTTCTTTTTGCTTTTCCTTTTCTTTTAAGCTTCTCTCTTTTTTTTTTTTTTTCTTTTTGTTAGAACACACATGCACTCCCATGCTCTAGTTCACTCTCCGAGTGCCCACAATGGCTGGGACCGGGCTAGACCTCAATCCGGGTCTCCCATGTGGGTGGCAGGGACCCAGCTACTTGATCATCACCCTCTGCCTCCCAGGGTGTGCATTGGCAGGAAGCCAGAGTCAGGAGCTGCAGCAGAATATCAGATGGGGCCATTTCAACAAGGAAGTGGATGTCCTAACCCGTGTCTTAACCACTAGGCCAAACACTCGCCCTTGAGTTTCCTTTTGGATCCTAGAACAAACCTACTCCATCCCATTTACCCCCCAAGGTCTTTATGAGCCCTATGTCTGACTCTCTTGACCCCCTTGGCCCATCCTGTTGGCTCCTTGATCTACGCTTCTATAACCAGACCTGGACTCTGTCCCTAGTCTTCCTGGTGGTACCTCCAGCCATGCCTCCCTCTTTACGTTACCTCCCCATTGAGAAATCCCTATGTGTTCATTCATCACAAATGCCCTCTATGGCATTTTTCCATTGCTCCAAGCACGTCCCAGTATGGGCTCCCCTCAGTGGTTGTCACAGTACACTCTGGGGGCACTGGGGTGCCTCTGAGGACAGAGACTAAGAAGGTGGCTCCAAGCCCCACCCAGATTCAAAGAAGAGCTCTTCCTTTATCGGTCATGTCAGAAGATTCCTACAAAAGATGTTCCGTGTTAACAGGAGATGTTAAACTACCTGGATTCCTTTAATGAGAAACTGACGAGGGCTTGTGTCCACATTTGTTCTTCGGCAGTTTCTTAAGACCAAAGCCATAAGAGTAAAATCAGGAACTGTGCGTTAGGCAGTTATGTGGCCTTGTAGCTATGCTAAGATGTTAGCTGTTCTAAGACCAGTGCTCCAGAGGTCGATGGTACCCAGCTCTTCCAGGAACACAGTACTTTTAGTAATTGCGTGCTGTTCGCTGCTCTCGAGTTAAAGCCTGATTGTATTAGCAAGTAAGACTTTAAAAAGGAACCAGAAGGAGGGAGAAAACATACATGGAATTTTTAAAAAGTTTGTATGGATTTTAACATTTTTGCACCAAAATAAACTTGTCTCTTAGTTCTAGTTTTCCCTGGACATTTTGGGGTCCCTCATCCATATTTATTCATTGCCAATGCCATTAGAGAGCCGTGTCAGCATTTTGGAGGGTGCACCTGCAGTGTGACCAAGGTTCAGGGGACCCAAAATTGTTCCTGTCTTCTGATTGAATACCCTTAAATAACGTAGTAGAAAAAGTCAAGTTTGCTCTCGGCACGTGTTTGACCACAGACATTCTTCTGAATCTTGGGGCAAGATATCAGTGGAAAAGCACCTATCCCTTTGACAAACAAGGTTGTTCATGGCTTGGGCTCAGGGAGGAGTTTGTCATGGAGGTTGTGTAGAAGGGGAACTTGTTACAGGAACATGATGGCGTCCACTAAGGAGTAGGACCAGCTGGTGGCCCAAGTGGCATCCATTCAGAGCCTGGAATGACGGCCTGGCTCCAGTTTCGTCGGCAGCTGCAAGCAAGCACCTCGAGTCTCTAAAGTGGGGTTCACACTCCAGGGAGAACTCCCGGCCTCCTGCAGGATTACATGTCCTGAGTGTGGTGCAGGTGGCGGCCGGGCTAGTTCCAGACAGAGCCTACCAGGGGCATGCGTGATACCTAACGTCCACCTCAAAGAGAGTGGAAGGAAACCGGAGAGCAGCCCTTGCTGCCCTAGCCACAGACCGGGCTGAACCAGCTTCCCAGGGGCCGGGCTGAGCCAAAGCAGGGACAGGCAGTGGAGAGCCGGAGCCACGCCATTCCTCCCACAGCAGGCACCCGTGATTGGCAGCTGTCTCCAGAGTCGCTGCCTGTGTCCCTGTAGGAAACAGAACCGCCCCCCGGCCTGCCTTGTCCTCCTGTCTAAGCCACGTCCCCTCGGGGGACAGCCAGTCACAGGCAGTGCAGGGTCTTGTCTTGTACATCTTATTCGTCACCCAGGAAGGGTAGGCCAGGGTCGATGTTGGATTTGTTTTCGCTCCCCGCAGGAAGGGGTGGGGTGTGTGCCAGGTAGGAGATGTGTGGACCCTTGGGGGACAGGGGCCTCTCCCTTCCTTGGAGCTAGTGTGGCCCCACGTGGAAGTCCCCAGGCCATCTGGGGCCTTAAGCCCAGGATCAGTCGTGTCCCGCAGACCTGGGTGGAGTCCATCAGCTGTGGGGAGGGAGCGGCCTCCCAGTCTGAGCCTCAGCACATGCAGGGGTCTCACTCACTCTGCTGCAGTTCTGAGTCTGCCCCTCCATAGAGAACTCCTGGTGGTGGGGGGAATCCCCAGGGGGATGTTGGGTTGGGGGTACTCTGGGTATTCACGCTCACTTCCGCGATGGTGTCTGGATGGGTCCTGTGCCTGTGATCAGGCCCAGTGGGGTGGGGTAGGGGGAGCAGGGCTGGCCCACATGAGTCTAGGTGCCTCCCCCCACCACTCCTGCTCAGCGCAGCTGTCTTCTCACAGAAGGGGCTCGTGCTGGGGGGCATGGACAAGCTGACAAGGACCCTGGACTACCTGCAGCAGGAGGTAAGATGGGCTCGCTGGCCTGGGGAGACCTCGGCTGGGCCTCCCACAGCTCCAGGAAGCTGCCCTGCTGAGGACCTGTGGGGTGGGTCCTGGTTTACCTCCAGGGTGGGGGCGTGGCCTCCTGCAAGGATGAGGAGCTGGGGTTCTTGCCCGAGAGCCAGCCGGCAGCACAGGAGCTGGTAGAACACTCCCTCTTCAGAGTCGCTCGGCCCCTCCCTGGCCACTTGGAGGCCCTGCCCTTTCTGAGTCTGGACAGTGGTGGGCCAGAGGGGTGGGGCACCCTAGCTTGAGCCAGCGCTAAGACCTGAGGGGCTCTGGTGATGCTTGCCTCCCCTGCAGCAGCTCCCCGGCTGGCCTGGTGGGGCGAGGTGCCCTGGCCACCAGCAGATGGCTAAGGGTACGTTTCTGGGATGGCAGCTTTGGGCCCACCCCACCCAAGCATCTCCCCCAAGAGCTTGGTGCTTGCATTCACCAAGCCCAGCCCGCTACTCTAGACCTGCAGTGGACCCAAACCTGGGCCCCCGGAGAGACTCCCCGGGCAGCCACAGTGACTCGGCCGACACTCACCTTCTTCCCCTGTGTGTCCCCCTAGGTCCCCAAAGCGTTCGTCAACCTGGTGGATCTCTCGGAGTTGGCAGCATTCTCTCGCTGGCGTCAGGGGGCTCAGCTCAGGTAAAGGGGAGGTGGGCAGGGAGCCACACCTGCTGGGTGGGCACTGCAGGTGCATCCACCCGACGAGAGAGCCCAGAGATGGAGGCTGAGGGGCCAGGTCCTGTGTCTGAGCCCACACGCCGGTGGAGCGGGTCCCCCACCAGCTATTGCTCTGGGGACTGACGTATAGGGTGCAGCAACAGTCAGTGTGGACGATGTCACTCCAGAGGCGCTAACCCCACCAGGGTGACATGAGAGTCATGAGAAAGGCTTGGCAAAGCATCGCTGAGCCAAGACGTGTTATTTCTGCAGAGGGGCCAGAAGAGGATGGGGTTGAAATAAGTTTAACTTCATGGAACTTAGTATCCAAGTGTTCCTGAAAATTTTCAGAGAATTTAAACCTTTTGGACCCAAATCCTACAAATTCTGGCTTTGAAGCCAGAGAAGTTGTTCACATGGAAGAGTTGGGGCAAGGAGAATCAGAGAAAGGAGATGGTGGGGGAGAGGGAGAGAGGGAGGAAGGGGAGAGGAGGGAAGGCCAGGGGGAGGAGGAGTGGGAAGTGAGAGGAACCAAAGAGGGTGGAGATGGAGCGGGGGGAAGAGCCCTGTGTCCTCTCACTGCTCACCAGAAGGGGCAGCTGGGGACTGGGGGCTCCGTAGGGCACCCTGTCCTTTGTTCCCCCTGATATCCGCCTCCCCCCCTTCTCCTTCACCCTCTAAAACTCCAGCTTCTCCTTCCCCTCTCCTTGTGTGACCCCAGGCCCCAGCAGCAGCCCCGCCCCCACTACTCCAGCTCTCATTTCCCCTTTGTTGCTACCTGCAGCCCAGCAGCCGAGCCCTGCAGGTGCTTAAGGGAAACCTCCCAGCTGACCAAGGTCCTGACGCAGTGGTCCTACCTGGTGAGCCCACTAGGGAGCCTGGGCTTTGGGCCCTGGGGGCGGGTGGTCTCGGAGGAGCTGGGATGGGAGCAACAAGTCACATTTGCTGGCTTGGGGCTTCTCTGGCTGCATTCAGCACTGGAGGACTAAAGTCAACACCCTAGGTCACTGCCCCATCCTGGGTGTGACCTGGGGTCGGCCACACCAGCAGGGTGGCCGCGGGAGTTGGAGTCAGGGAGCGTGGGGGTGACGCCAGGGTGGGTGGGGAGATAGTGAAGAACTTTGCAAATTCCTTCTGGAAGGTCTGTGATCAGCGGCTGGCTCTGTGGCTACAGAGCTGTGCCTGTGCCTCAGACTGCCGCCCACGGTCAGCCAGGGCTCCCACAGACGTGCGTTCTGACCAGAGGAGGCCCCAGGCAAGCGTGAGGGGCCCGGTGCTCCTCAGGCAACAGCTCAGCGCACAGTTCCACCAACACGTGTCTAAGAAGAAAGCTGTATTTCAAGTTGAAGGGCACACCTCTTACTCCAGAAGTGACAGCGAGTAAACAAGTAAAAGCAGTACAGAGAGATCAACAGACGCAGAGAGCTCCCAGCTGCAGGTTCCCTGCCCACGTGCCTACAACGGCCGGGGCTGGGCCAGGAGAGGCTAGAAGCTGGGAAGTCAGTCCGGGTCTCCCACGAGGGCAGCAGGACCCCAATCGTTTGAGCTGCCTCCCAGGGCATTTGCGGGAAGCTGGAGGCAGGAGCCGGAGCTGCATCTCCAATGGGACACAGGTGTCCTAACCCCTAGGCCAACGCCTGCCCCCAGGACGTTTCTTGCATGGTTTATGGCATGTACGTGCCTCTGCAGCACGTGGCCCGGGAGGGAACCTGGGGCCCAGTGGCGTGCTCGCTGGCTGGCACCTCTTTGACTTCCAGAGAGTATGCTTGAGGCCTACTCTGGTGTTCCCTGACGCTGGGGCCTTGGAGGTGAAAACTCGGCTGGGTTCATCCGAGAGCCCTGGGGTGGGAGACGGAGGAGCTTGTGAGGAGCGCTTGCTCAGGGCGATGGGTGACGGTGACAGGGGGCTCTGGGGACTCCCTGGTGGGGGCTGCTGCCTGATGTGCTCGCCTCTGCCCCCTCCTGCAGGAAGCCTGGGACAGCCTCCTGGCGTCCAGCAAGTACAACACACAGGAGGCCTTCGCGGTGGTCTTCCAGCCTTTCTTCTACGAGAGCTCGCTGTCGGCGCTGTTGGTGAGTGAGGGCCGCACAGATGCTCCACGCTCCTCCCACGGGAGCCTGGTCCCCCCTCGCTGGGCAGGGCCAGGATCCCCGGCTGTGCCACCTGGGCAAGGCGTGTGGCCCGAGTGCCCGGTAAGATCAGAGCAGGGCTTAGGAAGCTCGCGGTGTCTCCTGGCCACTGTGCTTATCCAGGAGAGAATTCCCAGGGCCCCCAGCTGTCACCCTGCACTCCCTCCCCGGCCCCATGCTCCTCTATATCCATCCCTGGAGTGCGTGGGGGCAGAGTCGGAGCTGCCCCTCCCCCAGGTCACTGGGTGAAGGACTAGCTAGATGGACAGCACTGTTGGGGGTGGGGGATGTTGGGTAGCCCACATTCAGGGCAGGGCCTGGGCACTGTTATTCCCTTAGGGCTCCGGCTCCTGCCTGTGGGCATCCTTGTGGCACAGCCAGGACTGACACCATGTTCAAAGCAATGATTTAAGAGGAGCAGGAATATTAGCTCCGCCTACTCAGACTGCACCCAAATCGCTTCTCTGTTGCCGGTCCCTCTGCTGCTCACATCAGTTACAGGGAACCCTGGCAACCTGAAGGACCAGGCTGGTCCTGACCTCAGAGCCCTGACCCCAGACAGCAGGCCTGCAAATGCCCGCCCTTGCTGTAGGGGGCAGGGGCTGATGGAGAGAGTCCGGATGGATCAGGGCAGCTGTCTCCATGCCAGGGCAGCAGCGGTGGTGGGGCCATTGCATCCGTAGGGGCACAGAGCAGCTCTTTTCTTACTGGCTTCTCTTCCAGGCGGAGCCCCCACTCCAGGACCCCACCACGCTGGCCCTGAGTCTCTGGAACAGAATGGTGAGTGGCGTGCGGGGGTCTGCGCCCGCTGAGGAGGGGCTCCGGGGTGAGAACAGATGCTTCTCACCCCTCCCACTGGGAGTCTCGCCTCCTGACCCGGGCAGCACCCGGCTCCCGGCTGGCCCTGCTCAGCCTCCACTCACATGTAGGCGACGTCTGCAGGTTTGCGGTCCTGGGTGGTGCCTGGGACCGACATGAACTTCAGGTCGGGGTCCAGTCCTAGTCCCACTTCTCACTCCTCTGTGGATTCAGGGCCTCAACTCCCTTTCTGCAAACCCAGATGGTAACTGCTGACCCCAGGCCACAGTGCCGACTGCACCTGCCCGTTCCACCATGGTAATGACAGGCCCTCCCCAGCTCCCAGGACTCCCCTGGGGGTTGGGGGCAGGGATTGGTCAGTGGCTGGAATGCAACGTCCAGCCTTGGAGCCTTTTCAGGGCAATAGACAGGGACTTTGTTGGTCGTTTGCTTCTCCCACCCAGGTGGTCTGTAGTCCTATTTTTAGAATCCCGGTGCCAGAAATGAGCTTTTCCTCTGCTTTGGATTAGCAAACCCTCTCTCCGTCTCCCCAGCTGATGTGCTGTGCCAAGTGCCTCGAGCTGCTGCACATGGGCCCACGTTAATTAGCCCGCCTGTGTAAGGCAGAGCGGGGCGGGAGGGGACAGCCCCTCTCCGTGGAGTCTCGCTCTCCTTTGGAGAAGGACTTTGACTTCTTTACAGGGCTGATCTTGGTTGGGACTCTTCCCCCCACACCCCTTTGCTGCTGATCTCCCATGTGGGGCAGAGAATGGAGCCTGACCCCTCCTGCCACCCTCTCTCTCCCAACCAACAAGAGGGCACCCCTACTGCATGCCCCGTCTGTGCCCAGTATGGCCTCTTTGTGGGGATTGAGGTGTGGCTGGGGAGGGTCAGGTGAGCAAAGGGACAGGAGAACACAGGCACCTGAGTGGTGGGGGTGTGCCCGGCTGCGCCCCCAAACACGATAGCACGACAAGGCCAGACAGGCCACATGGCCGGGATTGGGAGTGGCTTGGAAGCACTGTTGGAGGAGGCTGGAGAAGGTGCTCCCAAGCAGGTGAGGGCCTTTGTGAGCAGAGGGCCTGGAGACAGGAAGGAGCCTGGGGACGGGGTGGCCCGAGGACAGGGGGAGCCCTGGAACAGTGGTGGAGAGGGCAGGGCTGGGTGCAGGGCTGCGGTCTTTCCTTGCTCCTTGCATTTTGCTGTTGATTGTCCTTGGTGTCAGCTGCAGCAGGGTGCTAACCTTCCCTGGGACACTGATATCCCCAGGCATGCAAAGAGGCCATGTGCGCGGCTGGGCCCACAGACCAGGCTCAATCCAGAGATGTTAGCAACGCAACAGCGCAGGGCAAAGGGTGCTGGACAAGGAGTCGGAGCACTCGGGCTCTGGCTCCAGTCTCAGTCTCGGTTGTTACCTAAGGCAGGTCCTGTGGTCTCTGGGCCTACATTTTCTCCACCTTGCTAAGGGGCATGATGACCCTCAGCCAGCTCAGAGGGCTCGCAAGCAATCAAGCGCCTTCACTCCCCGGGGTCCACAGAGGGCCAAGTCTCTGCCTCTCGTCCCCCGGCTCTCTGCTGTGCTGGGTGTCACCAACGGAAAAGCTGGCTGTGCCTGCCCCATGCCCACACTCAGCCATATGCAGCCCACATGAGGGCTGATCTCCCATGGGGGAGCAGAGAGGGCCTGGCGGAGTCGCCACTGTGATCACGGCCAGGGCACAACAGGGGGCGGGGGACTCTGCTTTGCAGCCCACAGAGCTGCAAGTGCTGTGCTGGGCCACGTCCATCCCTGCCCTTGCTGACCAAGCCCCAGGCGGGGTGCAGATCCCCAGAGCCAGCGAAGGGAAAGGCCCGGTCTGCTGGGGATGCTCTGAGTGAGTGCTGAAGGCACCATTTCTAGGGAACTTGGGCCCCAGACCCCTTCAGCCATCACTGATCCCACCCACCAACCCTTCCTTATGCCAAGCCCTGCGAGGAACCAAGGACTTGCTCATGGGGCTTTTAAAGCCATTCCCCATCGCTCCCACACTCAGTTCATTTCCTGGTGATGGGAAAGCAATGCCGAGGACGTGCACGCAACGAAAGGATCAGAGAGCGGAGTAAACCCACGGCCCTGCACTGCTTATCCCTGGAGAAAGCAGCAGTGTGTGTGCCTCTGTGCCCGGCACGGGGGCAGGGGAAAACAGGGCCCTGGGCAGTGTGGTTTGAAGCAGCTGGAAGGAGACAGGTGGCAACAAGAGATGGGCAAAAGTTCTTTTCCAAAATTAAAAAAAAAAAAAAGACTTAGTTAAGAGACCGAGATCTCCCATCTACCTGTTCAATGCCCAAGTGCCCGCAATGGCCAGGGCTGGGCCAGGCTGAAACCTAGAGCCAGGAACTCAATCCAGGTCTCCTACTTGGTGGCAGGGACGCAGGTACTTGAGCCATTGCCAACTACCCCCGGGGTGCACGTTAGCAGGAAGCCAGAGTTCAGGGTGGAGCTGGGACTTGAACCCCCCAGCACCCTATGTGCAGACACCCACCCCCAGGACAGAGGTCTCCATGACAGTGGGATTACTGAGAAGACCTCTGAATTGTCATTCTCTGAGATCCTTAAAATACAGACTCTGCTGTCCATCCCCCCAGAATCCCTTACTCCCTCAAGGTTTCTTTCCTGATTCTATCACGGATTAATTTCTTTAAAGATGGGGGAAGAGAAAGAAGGCAAAGTGGATCCACACCTGGCCACTCACCCAGGCTCACGGAACCTGCTTTTGAGAGCAGCCCTGAATGTCCGGGGTGGAACCTCCTATCCCTAGGAGCAGCCACTGCGAGAACAAAACTGAGAGAGACATGAGGGCCCACTCCTCCCCAGCCCTTATGCTAAAGACCTGCCATTCCTTTGCCAAACACGAATTGTACCTGCTTATCAGGCTCTCCTGCCATTTGGTTAAGAGCCCAAGAAGGGTAAAGTTCTCCCCTGGCTGCTTGCCTCTTGGGGCACAGATCTTGGGATAAGATAGCACTGAGAACCTGGGACCGAGCCAGGCCGGTGCCCCGTCCACCAGTCTTCTGCATCCCTTACCAGAGTCCATGGCAGGAGAGGTGAGGGACAAAGGTGCCCGTGGCGCCTGGCACCTGCTGGAGCCCGGGGCTGCCCTGGCTAGCTGGACTCGCCTTGGCCTCTCTGGCATTTGGTTTCTCTCGTGAAACGTCAGGGAGCAGGTGGGCTGGGAGCACAGGGAGTCCTCGCAGGCAGCAGCTCCCAAACCAAACCTGGGTGTGGATGGAGGGCTCGCTGACACACAGGCGGCTGTCTCAACCCAGAGTTCCCGAGTCAGCAGGTCCTGGAAGTTTGTGTGTTTTGCAAGGAGGTTGGAGGGGCGGGGGGCGGGTGGTGAGGCCCCGGGCATCCGACACTGAGAGGTGCTGGTCCACCGAGTTCCTCGGAGGAGCCCCAGAGGCTGGTCCCTGTGCTAGACTGTTCTGTTCTAAAGCGCCCCTCCCTCTCCAGATGGAGCCCATAGGGCGCAAAGAAGAGCCGTTCAGTGAGAAGGAGAGGAAGCCACTGAGATGCCCCTCACAGGTAGGGCAACACGAGGGGAGGGGCTCCTGCGGAACCACGAGGAAGGCGGGGGCGGTCGGTGGGCTTTGCTGGGCCGTGGGGTCTTACCTGACTGAGCCGTCGGTGGCCCCTGTCCTGAGTCTTGGCTCTGTCCTCCTGGACGTGAGCACAGCGTGTGCGGGTGGATGTGCAGAGGCCGGCTCCTGGGGCCATGAGAGCACTTTGGGCAGAAGTGAGCTCCTCCACACCGGCGGTGCTCGCCTGAGCCCAGACGCTGCTCTCGCCCCCTTTCCTGGGCCTCCCTCTGCCCCGGAGTGAGGAGGAGGCAGGGCTGAGGAGTGCCTGAGCGTGGGCTATTGCTCATTAGCCTAATATGAGAGGTACCTGGTTACTGAGCCAGTGCATGAGAAAATACTGCGGGTAAACGAATGAGAGCCCTTCTGTCGTTTAATGCTAGTTAGCATTTTGACAGACTTTGAAAACTTTTTCTATTTTTAAAAATTTTTTGTTAACATGCATTTTTATGGATGCAGTGCGATATTTCCATTCAGACGTAAATGAGTCAAATCAGACAACTGGCCCTTCCATTTCCTTTTCTCACCTTTGTGTCTGGCACCTGCCAGCACTTCTCTCCCCGTCCTTAGACAGTTTGTAATCCCTTGTTAAGAACCACAGCCTCCCCGCTGTGCTGTGGCAATGTTTGACTTTCTCAGTGGGTTGGGTTTTTGTTACTAGGCAATGAGAAGTGTTTCATTCATCCCATTTCCCTCTTTGCATTGGCTGTCAGGAAGCTTACATTCTCTTGTCCTTGAGATGCATGTACTCAGCCCAGTATCACAGACCTCTGGGATAGAGAGCTTGGTCTTGCAAATTGGACCTATCAGAGCATGAATGGGCAGTCCAGAAAAGAGCCAGTGAACGCTCTGCTGTCACCGAAAGGTGACCGTAGCGTTCCAAACTGGCCGAAGGTATCGCTGGGCAATGAGCCCTGGGTCACGGTCACAATGTGCTTTCTCTGCAGGAGAGCCCCTACCTATTCACCTACAGGAACAGCGGCCAGCTGACCAGGGTGTCACAGCCCCAGGGGAAGCTCGAGGTAAGCGGAGGTCTTCTGGGACTGACAGCCCACAAGCCAACAGGGCGGCCCCTGGCCCCCTTGCTGAGCCTTTGGAACTTTCCGCGTGGTTCTTTAGGGCCTGGAACTCCATCTGCCTCTGGGTACCCCGAGGGCTGCCTGGTGCCAGAGGCTGCCACAAACATCTGCAAGGCCAGCAGGGCAGGCGGAAGGATCGTGTGTGCGTCCGCTCCTGTGGTGCCCGAAGCCGGTCTCCCCCAGCCTCGTGGGGGCGCTGGCCCTGCCTGCTCTCAGTCTGTTGTAATTTCCCAAACTCGACAAGTTCTCTGAACTTGAGCTCCTCTTCGAAGAGGAAATGCAGAGAAAAGTGGCGAAGTCTGAAGCCCGGCCGCGTGGCCGCCACAGGTTCCACCTCCCTGCCCGGGGCTCTCCTCTGCAGTCCCTTTGGCACGCTCCCGGGGAGGTGAGACGGGACACCAGCACACCGGGCTTCTCTGGGGAGCTGAGAAACACCAAGGGTGACGCCTTTGTTCTCGAGGCATGCAAAACGCTGCCTTCCTCCGCTGCACAGCGGGGAAGACGCTGGTCCTGGGCTCAGACTGACTCCAAGGCGGGGGTTGGGACCTTTTTCCCCCCCGCCAAGGACCATTTGGATCTCTAGCACTTGGCCCATTCACAGTTATCAGCATTGAAGTAAGCCTGCTACAGATTTACTGAATTTCAAGCCCCACCTGTGGTTGCCCTGGCAGGGCCGGCCAAAGGATTTTGTGGACCTTATAGGGCCAGTGGCCTGGGCATTCCCCACCCCTGCCTAAGTCATTGAGCAGGTGCTTAACCTCTCTAGACCTTATTTTGTCTGTTTACTTAAGCTTGATTCATTTGAAAGGCAGAGTGACAGAGAAAGAAAACCCTCTTCCATCCACCGGTTCCCTCCCCAAATGACCAGGTCTGTGCCAGGCCAAAACCTGGAGACAGGAACTCCAGCCAGGTGGCCCATGTGGGTGGCAGGGACCCGGGTACTCGGGCCACATTCTGCTGCTTTCCCAGGCACACAAGCAGGAAGCTGGATCAGAAATGGAGCGTCTGGGACTTCAGTTGGTGCTGGATGTGGGACGTCGATGTCAGTCACAAGCCATCACACTATCCCCTTGGGCCTTGGCTTTCGTTCTGGGAAATAGTGACAGTAATAGTCTGACCTCATAGACTTGGTTGTTTTTGTTTTTGTTTTTGTTTTTGTTTTGATAGGCAGAGTGGACAGTGAGAGAGAGAGACAGAAAGGTCTTCCTTTGCCGTTGGTTCAACCTCCAATGGCCGCTGCGGCTGGCGCGCTGTGGCCGACACATGGCGCTGATCTGAAGCCAGGAGCCAGGTGCTTCCTCCTGGTCTCCCAGGCAGGTGCAGGGCCCAAGTACTTGGGCCATCCTCCACTGCACTCCCTGGCCACAGCAGAGAGCTGGCCTGGAAGAGAGGCAACCGGGACAGAACCCGGCGCCCCGACCAGGACTAGAACCTGGTGTGCTGGCGCCGCCAGGCAGAGGATTAGCCTATTGAGCCACGGTGCTGACTGACCTCATAGACTTACTCAACTACAATCGCTTAAAAAGTATAAAGCACTACACGATGTAGCATGCCAGATTTTGTATTGTTGTCATTGTTATAGTCTGGCAGCGATACATTCCTTCAGGATGCACTTATTGAATGCCTGCTGTGTACCCCTACATGCAAGTTCAATGAAGGCAGGAACTGAGGGTGGGTACCCAACAATTATGTGTTGAATGAATAAATGGATGGCTAGATGGGAGACCAAGCATGGGATCTACAAATATAAATAAATCATGCTAAGGGACTCAGGCTGGTATAGACACAGGTAAGTTAAACAGAAATTGTAGCACAATGCAACAAGTGTTGTAAGTCAAGCTTTCACGGGGTGTTCTAGGAACCTATGAATGTTCTTCAAAGAGTTTATGGAAAATGGAATTAAATATGAGTTTATTGATACAATAATTTTGAAATCCTTCTATGTAAGAGAATCATTTAAACTTTCATGACAAATATGTATTTTAAAACATGAATTTCAAAGGTTTTTGTGTCAAGATGTATCTTTTCATTCCATGTTTCCATGAACTTTTTGAAGTGGAGGAAGAGACACTTAGATGAGAGAAAGTTCCAGAAGGCTTTCCAAAGAGGACAAATTTCCAAGGAGGCCAGGGCTAGGGAGGGGAGAGGCACCTGCTCAGGCGAGGCATGGAGTCAGGGCAGGTGCACGATGCCTGTGTGGCATATGGGAGTCCCTGGGATCGAGCCCTGCCTCTGCGTCTGACCCAGCTCCTGCTGACACAGCCTAGGGGGCAGCAGGTGACAGCCCCGGTGCTCGGGTTCCTGCCACTCACTGGGAGGCCTGGCTTGGATTCTGTTCAGGCGTTTGGAAAGTATACCAGTGGGCAGGAGATCCATCTCTCCCACCCACCTCGGAGCCTGGGAGAGTATAGAGACTTTGCCCAAGACTGGAACTTTAGGGCGTCCTGCTGGGGAGAAGGGCCCTCAAGCCGAACTGAAGGCAGTGGGATACTTTGTGTATCTAAGCAGTAGGTGTTTGCTGAGTATCTGTGGTACCACACGGAGTTCTAGGGTCCAGGGACCCAGTAAATGGATGACACGGACCAAACTCCAGGCCCTCCCTGAGATGGGGGCGCAGGGAGCCACGGGGCTGTGTGGTGTTGAGAAAGCGCCTGGAAGGGATTGGGGAAACGGATTGGGGCTACGGATTGGGGCTGGGAAGAGCCAGGGCCCTAATGCACCTGCAAGAAACAAAGGCCCGGCCTCAGGCTGAGGGAGGGAGCCTGGCGAGCACCAGGGAACATCATGCGTGGACAGGTGGGTGTCCAGGCTGAAGGAAACAGAAATCCTAAGACAACAAGATTTTATTTTACCTTAAGAGAGATGTTCCCAAGGCGAAGCCTCCCTCCCCACGTAGCAATACCCACTCTTCTCATCGCCCTGTGTGTCTCGTTGCAGGTGAGAGAAGGGACGGAAATCCGCTGTCCCGACAAGGACCCCTCCGACTCGGTTCCCACCTCAGGTACGTGGCGTGGAGCCAGTGGTGCTCACACGGCCTCGAGGCCTTCCGAACGCAGGGGCTTCCCCAAGCGAGTTGCAGGGGCGACAGGCGACTGTGTTTGTGTGTGGTTGGGTGTCTTCGAGAACAGGACAGCATCAGTGTCGGCGAGCCTTTTGTGAGCGTCGGCCCGCTGCTGGCCCATGTTCTGCAAACGGCCCAGCGTTAGCGGACGCGTTGATGTCCTGCCACTGTCCCTGCCCTTGAAGCCTCGATGGGTGAATTTGTTCTGCAAAAAAAGAAAAGCAAAACTGCCCTCAGTCTGAAAGCAAATGTGGCCAGTCCCCGGTCCCTGTGGGATAACGCAGACTACGTTCGAGCACCACGGGACGGGGAAGCGTGCCATCTCACACACGTGCCATTTCCCCTGCCTCTTGGCACTTTTAAGACATCTGTTGCTGGGCCCTGAAAATGAGAATGGAATGTTCTAGGCAGTTGTCAGCAGTCAGCCTCAAAAAAGGGACAATCTAAAGACTATGCTTCTGCTGCTGGGAGAGGCAGCCTGGGAGTGACAGCTTTGTGTACGTGAACTTGGGAAGTTCTGGGAGGGTCCTGTGGTGACCCAGGGCCACCTGTGCTTGTGTTGGTCCCATGCTTGGTCCAGCAGGGTGCCAGGATGTGTCCATCCATCGATTAGAGCCTTGTCGAGGCCTCCGATGAGCCTTCCAGAAGTTTACATTCTAGTTGATCTGCTCATGGCTTCAAGGTTATCCTTAAGTGAAACCGTTACAGTGTCTAGAAGGAATCTTCCAGAGATGCAAATCTTTGTGGTCAGATTTTTCTCTTTCTCTCTTTCTGTTAGTTGAGCAGATAAATACTGTGACTTAGCCTGCCTTCCACATGTGTCAGAGCTTTGCACACTCAAATGAAGTCAACGTCAATTTAAAAATCTTCTTGCCACAACCTGGAAATAGAACAGATTCCTGTTCCAAGTTGCAAAACAATGGGAATCAGTGGTTGTAACTGTCCCTTTTCTGTTGTGACGGCAAAGTACCTGCGGCTCGGGGCTTACACAGGAAAGAGGTTTATGAGGCTCCCAGTTTTGGAGCTGAAAGTCCAATTTCTGTTCAGGCTGTGGTGAGGTCCTCCTTGGCTGGGTCCCAGGGTGGTGGAAAAGCAGGAAGGGAACTGACTGTGTGTGCACAGGGGCAAGTGTGTGGGGCGGCCTTGCTTATACCAACCCATTCTCATTCGCTCCTCGAGACCACCATCAGCCCCTCCTGGGGCAGCACCTCCAGCGACCTCGGGCTGGGCCACATCTCTTAAGGGTTCTCTCACCTCAACACAATTGCATGGGGGCCCGGGCCTCCAGCACTGGAGCCTTTGCAGGATAAACCTTGTCAAACCAGAGCAGCGATGCGGCTCTGACAACTCTCACCGGTAGCCTCTCCCTTCTTCCCCTGCGAGTGGTAACCTGCTCCTAGCCAGACATCAGCTTCATATATAGGCCCTCCTACAGTAAAAAACCAAACAACAAAAACCCCCACTCAAAGATTTAAGTACAGATATGTGTACATCTAGATAGAGAGGCTATCAATCTGAATGTTTTGATAGCCATACTCTTCACAGAGAAAAAAATATCATCCCTTTTTAATCTTATCACTCAGAAAAAAAAATGACCTAGAAAGCATTTTGTAATCTGTCTAGATTACATTGCTATCATGGCAACGATGACTCCTCCATTAGAACACAGCTAAAAGCCAGATAAAATGTGGATCTCTGCTTGTTCCTGTCCCTGTGTTTATCAGCGCTTGAAGATGTAGAAGCAAGAAATCTGGAGCCCTGTCGACCTGAGATAATGTGGTAATAGGCGTCGTTTGCATGAACAGATAGATAGAGGCCTGGGACCTGTACCGAGCCTCTCACTCTCTCCACCCGGGGCCGCCTAGGTGAGTGCTGGCCTGCACTTCTGGTCCTGCCGGAACATTTCATTGAGAAAAATGGCCACAAGTGACTGCACGGTCATGAAAATGCATGTGTGATTGTGCCATTGTGTGGTGATTGCACATCCTCGCCACGCGTGTGGCAATGTCACAGCTCAGAGCCACACTGGACCTGCCCTTGGTAATTATTGTGTCTTGGGGGAGGATCATTCATGCTGGACGTCATGTTTGCAATTTCTAATGGAAATGAAGGCCCCTTGATACACTATGTTTTTTAAATATTTATTTTCCATCTATGTGAAAGGCAGAGAGAGAGAGAGAGAGTGAGAGAGAGGAAGAGAGATCTTCCATCTGCTGGCTCGCTCCTCCCCCACCTGCAACAGCTGGCTCTAGACCAGGCTGAGGCCAGGGCCCGTGCACTTGAGCTACCCGGTGTTTGCTGCCTCCCAGGGTGCGTTAGCAGGAAGCTGGCTAGGAAGTGGAGCAGCACTGACAGCCCAGGGAGGGACGCAGGCATTCCAAGTGTCTAAGTCACCAAGTCCCAGTGCCCAGCGTTCTGGCACGATCTTGTAAGAATGGATCATCTGATCTGTATGCCTCGGCCCACGGCAGGAGCCCAGTGTTGAACCAGTCTAGATGACTGAGTATTTCTAACTCAGCAAATCAACAGTTCTCAGGGTTGGTAAGGATTTTTTAAATTAACCAGACCAAAGCATCTTCCACTAAAATCAGTTTTCACTAAAATTATCTTAACTATTCTGCTTTCAGAGTTATTTTTAAAAAAAAGTTTGTTGTAGTCTTCTTTCCCGGTGTTTCTCTCAGTCCACAAAGATGCATGCATGTGGACATCAACAAGAGTGAGGTTTCACAATCGAGTACCGCCTGATGTGACCAGGCCGTGGTCCTCACAGCACTCGGAGCTCCTGGCTGGTGAATCTCACCCACTGATCTATGGGACTTTGGGAAAAGATACAAGAAGTCAGCGCCAGAATGGTGAGCTGTGACATGGCATCCCAATATGAGCACTGGTTTGAGTCCTGACTGCTCCATTTCTGATCCAGCTCCCTGCTAATGCGCCTGGGAACACAGCTGAAGATGACCCAAGTGCTTGGGCTTCTGCCAACCCACGTGGGAGACCTGGAGAGTATTTCAGGCCCCTGCCTTTGGCCTGGCCCAGCCCCAGCCATTGCGGCCAATTGTGGAGTGAACCAGTAGACAGAAGCTCCCCCAGCCCCCTCGCCCCGTCTCTCTGTATCTCTGCCTTTCAAATCTTTTTTTTTTTCTACAAAAAAAGAGGTAAGGAATTGGCCTGAGATAAGGAATTGGCATTTGTAGCCCCTATAAAAAGCTGGTGGTCATCAGTGTACACGTGCAGTCTGCGTGCTGCCGCCTCCACGCTGGACAGCTCGCATCATTGTCTGCCACGCCATGGCCCGCTCCCTAGGAAACACGTATCAGGCCTAGGAGCGGACTTCAGGTTTTCCCGGTGAGAAAGGGAGTGAGTTTATGCAGATGGAGGGGCAACAGGAGTCGGCGGGGGTGACTTGGCTGGCTGTTGAAGTTGGCCATCTTGGGTCAAGCTTGAGATCCATGCACAGCCTCTGAAAATGAGAACCCACAAAGCTAATTGCATGCTGCTGTCACCGAGGGAGTGAGCCACAACGGTTCATTCACTGATCCTGAGCCATTGATTCCTTTAAAGCCTGTGAGGTCATCTGTTTGGCCCATTTAGCTGAGAAGAGTTCTTCAAAAGCTGGTATTTAAAAATTCCCAGATTGTAGCACTAGATGCCATATTCCTCAGAGGTTTTACCTCATTATGAGCCAACATGCACTGGGTGACCTGAGGCTGTTTCTATGGTTACCACCTGCTCATGAGGCATGTGCCTTGACCTAGCCTGGAATCAGGAAGCAGTGAGGTCCTCCAGGGAGTGACGGCCTGCTTGGCCACAGGTATGACCAAGTGAATGGAATACGTTCACATTCAGCTGCGACCCACGGCGGGTAAATGTTCCCCTGACCACGGGGCTTCATGTTTTAAAGCTTTAAGAGCTGTAAAGTCGCTGTCCTGGAGCCATTGAGCTTTCATTCAAGTTAACACGTTTCTTGAGCTCCTACTGTGTGCACGGTACACGTGAAAGTTCATACCGAAGACTCTTAGGGCAGAAGCATGGCTCCTGTCTCGTGCCAGCAGGATGCCCCAATCGCGGAAGTGTTTGCATCAGTCCCTAAGATCAGAGAGCAAATGGGCAGCGAAGTCCTAGCTGACAGCTGAAATCCGGTTTTATCAGATCGTGGTCCCAGGGAGTTTAGTTTGTTGGGTTACGTGAGAGCAAGCACCAGTGTGCCCAGCCGTTCTCCTGAGTGCAGTGTGCTGGGGATAGTGGACAGTTTCCTTGCTAATCGTGATACTTAATCAGAGCTTGGATGGCCTTCGATAAGAGGCTGCTCTGTAGAAATCGTGATGAGTTAATGATGTGTTTATCAATTTCTTTCAAGGTGGTGGACAGTCTGTACCAGATAATGCTTAGCCAATTGGCCCACGCAAGTTTAATCTTATCTCTATTTTTTTTTTTTTGCGAAGGAGAACCATTGCTCAAGTGCTTTGCTGTATTTCCAGGCTGTGTTTTTGTTGTAGATGATGACATTAACAAACCTCAAATCGAGGTCTGCAAAATATTAAACCAATGAAGTGAGTTGGGCTCTATCTTAACAAGAAAATCTCAGATAGGTCAATTCTCCCCATGGAGGCTTGCTGCACTCATTTGGTTTATTGTCTCTTGCTAAGAATCCTTGTGAGTGATTAATTGGAGGAATCCCTCCTCCAACAGTCCCTCGATCCACCTCTCTCTCCATCCGTACACACACACACACACACACGTGTGTATTTCCTTTCTGCCCACGACACATTTCAAAGATGGAGTCCACTTCAGTTGCGTCTCTAGCAATAGGTAGTAATAAAGCTTTTGAAGCAAATCTGTCCATCCCTTCCACATTTTACCAGCTTCAAAGATTTCTCCTAACCTTTGCACACTAACTAGTGCTCATAGAATTCAACTCGATTATGCATTATGGCAGCAAGAATGTAGTGATTGGCGATCATTAGCAGCAGCAAAAAATAAACCACTCTAGAGTTGAGGGGAGGGGTTTTATTTTCTGTTCTGTAGCCTTTTTTACCCATAGCCTGATTTCTTAAAGAAGAGGTCATTTTCAAGTTCTCACGCTCAGCCCTGTGGACATGTGCTAATGTGTGCAGCTGGCTTTGTGATTTGATATTGTTCTTGTAACCGCATGGCATAGCTGTGGAAAGACGGGCAGGGCCCAGCGGGCTGTGGTCATGGGGAAGGGGGCATTCCCGACATGGTGAGCAAGAAGGGGGGGGGGGCCTCCGAAGCGGAGCTGGAGACTAAGCGGCAGAGCTGCAGAACTGCCTTCCGGCTTTGCAACAGCAGTGACAGCCGAGAGGAAGTTTCTGCGTACGTGCAGGAAAAGTGGTTCTGCCCTTTGAGCTGCAAATGCAGAAGGGGATGGCTGCCAAGATCGTAAAAGAGAAGTGTGTTAGTAGTTCTCAGAGAGTGGAACCCTGGCACACGGCAGTATCGGCTTTACATGGGAATGCATTGAAAATGCCCGTCCTTGGGCTTGTCCCAGGTCTACTGAATGGGAGACGGAGGGTGGTGCCCAGCCATCATGGGCTAGCAAGCGCCCCAGCTGGTTCTGAGGCCAGCCCTAGCTTGATGACTGGTCGCTTTTATGGTTTGTACATATGTTCACAACTGCGCATGCGTTGGTTTGCACCCTACCGTAGAAAGGTTCAGGCACTTCCCTGTTGGGAGCGCGTCCTCGGAGCGAGCGGCAGTTCTCCGTCAGTGGGCCAGAGAAGGTGGAAGAGGTGACCCCTCTGAGCATCCTCCCGCTGAGCGCTGCCGCGGCTTCCGGCACGGGGCTCCTTACACGGTCGGGCTTTGGGCGCTGGTGGGCGCTGGAGATCAGAGGTAGTCGCTGTGTGGAAAGCAGCTCGTCCTCTCTCACTGCGGGGTTTGTAGGCTGTCAAGGCCGCCTGCAGGAGCGGGGCTTCTCCGTGGTCCGTGAGCGCTGTTTGCACACTGCGGTGCAGCGGCAGCATCGCCCTGCCTGTGGCGACAGCAGGCACACCTGGGAGCACAGCTGGAGCCCTGGCCGAGTCGGGGCACCTTTGGGAGTGAGACCACTGGGGGCGGTGCAGCTTGTGACCTGAAGGACTGAGCCGCATGGAAGGATCCTTCACAGAGTTGGTGTAAAATGGAATTAAAATACAAAATTTACTTTGATACAAAAAAATGAAATCCATGAATATGAGAGAGCTTCCAAAAGTTCAGGAAAAGTGTATAATATGGAAAACTCTGCATGGAGTTGAAAATTTTTGCATCAAAATAATTTCACCTTTTCATTACTTTTTCCTCCAATTTTTTGAAGTTCCTGCCTAGGGCATACAGATTCCCAGGTGTGAAGAGATGGGTGCAGTGCCAGGGTGTGTATGCAAGGAATGACCTATGCTCAGACAGCAGCCGTCCGTGTTAGCCTCCTCCCTGGCTAGCCGGGCGTGGAAGGCTTGCACCCTAACCTGCCTTTACAGTGGGACCTCCAGAGTCGCCTTCACGTACCCGAAAGCCAAATGTGGGACTTGCTCTGCTGGACAGGCGTCAGGGCTTCCCCACTGCACGGGTCAGCCTTTGTTTTTCTCCGCCCCCGCCCCACCTCTCTCATCTTTCCACTTCCTGGGCTTAATCCAAATGCCCCCCTCCCCAGGGAGCCTGCTCCCACACTCGCCACACCTCCACGGGGGGAGCCTCGTGCAGCCGTGCACCCATGCACCTTTGTATCATCTGAGACTTCCTACCGTGTCTTTCTCTTTTGAGTGATTATTTTTAGGCTGCTTCCCATCTTCTCCTTGGCCCTGCGGCTTCGGGAAGGCGTTCTCCGTTTCTGAACAGCCACTGCCTGTTCGGTGTGCTGGTCACAAGAGCTTGTAGCTCCTTCCCCACACCACAGCCTGCACCTGTACTCAAGAACTTTAAAACAGAGTCTCAGGAAGTTAAACATGGGGTTGTCATAGGGCTGTCAGATGACTCCCCCAGTTCCATTCCTAGGCATATACCCAACTAAGAGGTGGCCTTCAATCAAATGCATACAAATGTTCATGGCAGCAAATGCCTATCAACAGATGAGTGGATAAACAAACTATGATATTTCTGCATGGTAGAATATTATTCAACCATATAAAGGGAGTGAATTAGTGATATGTGCCACAACATGGTTGAGCCTTGATAACAGGAAGCAAAGCAGAAGAAACTAGAAATGTGTGGCCAACGTAGCATAGGGCTCTGTGTATATAACACAGACTAAGTAAATCCAGAAGCAGAAAGCCGATCGCTGGTTACCAGGGACTGAGGGGGTGGGGGAGTGGCAGGTACTTAATGGGGACAGAGCTTCCTTTTGAGGAACTGAAAATCTTTTGGAACCAGATGGAGAAGATGATGGCAAGACTTTGCAAATGCACTAAATGCCACCAAAGTGCTCATTTCCAGGCAGTTAAGTTTATATTATGCAAATTTTGCCCCAATTTAAAAAGTATTCAGTGGTATAACAGTATTTCCCTCTTTGTGTCCCAAATCCCCGGGGTCCTTGAGTAGCCTGTGAATTATGTCCCCACCACCCCTCCTTCCTTGAGCCCTTGCCTGCTTACCCCGTTGCATCAGGGTCTCACCAAATGCTTGCAGGTGTGTCCCCCTGTAAATCCAGGTGCCCCTTTCTGCTCCTGCCCCTGCTGGGCTCCGTGCCTGGTCTTGCCAACCCCATGTTCAAGGCCAGGCTTGTCTGATGCTTTGTCCAAGGGGTGGGTGTGACGATCAGAAGCTAGCTTCCTCGCCTGGCTCCCAGAAAGTGTTCATTTGTCTGCAGGGGAGATGGGTCCCATGCCTTCTGGGAAAATCTCCTGGTCTGTTCACTCTCGCTTGTCTGCTCAGTTCACAGGCTGAAGCCCGCCGACATCAAGGTCATAGGCGCCATGGGTGACTCCCTCACGGTGAGTTGCCTGGATGTGGGAGGAAGGGGTGGGAGAAGAGAGATGACCAACCTGAGACCTGGAGGGGGAAGTGGGTGCAGAAGGTCTCCCAGCGCTGGCCCTGAACTCCTGTTCCCCCCCACCTCCCCCAGCGTTCCTTCCCCACCGCTCTCTCCCAGTGCTAGAGTGAAGGAGACAGCAGGAAGCGGAGGGGCCCAGAGGGAGCAGGGATGACAGAAGTGACCTGTCCCAAGGTCGCACAGCCTGTCAGCACTGGGCAGGGTGGGGCCGGGTCTCCTGGGCATGGTCTAGAACACCTTCAGAGGTCCAGTAGGAAAGCCAAGGGCAAGTACCAAGGAGCGAGGCGTGGAGAGGACAAGACGGGAGCAAGTGCTAGGGGTGGAGGGGTGAGAAAAGGGGAGCCAGTGGAGGAGGCAGGGGTACCAAAGGTGACACCATGGCAGCTGCCCCACAGTGAAGCCCCGGACCCCACAAAGATACCCATGAGAAGTAGGGTCAGGCCTTGGGGAGCCTGGAGGTCCCCAGACCCAAATGGAGTTCAGCTGCTGGTCCCTAGTCTCCAGCTGAACATCCCCCAGGGACCAGCTGGCACCTGGCACGTCTGTGGCCTCTCACAATGTATCTTGTTCAGTCGCCCCATGACGAAACCCTGGCCACTGTGGCTTTCCTTAAATGCAACCCGTGAGGAAGGTTAGGCCAGGCGAGGAGAAGGGAGTGCCCAGGCCACACAGGCTGTAAGCGCCGGGGCCAGGACCGCCATGCAGGGACCCTGTCCTCTGGTGGCCCTCTCCACGGTGCTTCAGTGGCTCCTTACGCCAGAGCCCTGCTGCTCGTAACCGTCCAGGGACTGACGCTCCTTAGCACCTTCACACACCATGCGTCCCAATCCCTTCCTGCCCGGTGGGGTCTCAGACCCCCCCTCCCAGCCCCCTGTTCTGCCTGAAGATGTCCTAAGGGTAAGGAGCTATCAATAATCAGCCCAGCAGCTCGGGACTTCGTGGGGGAGGCAGCACTTTGACAAAGCTGGCAGAGGAATTGGGTCCCAGGGCATGGAGACCACAGTCCTTGGAGGTCAGCCTTGGCCTGGCTGCCAGGGGGCCTGCCTCCAGCCTGCCCTCGGCATGCAACTCTGCCCAGAGACGACACACTTCAGACAAGGCGCGAACGTGCACCTGCGGAGTGCGTGCACATGGTGGTTTTAAAGCCCTTGCTCCCTCTTCAGCTGGCTGGTAGTAAGTGGGAGTCCACGCGCTGTTTTGTTTTGCTTTTTATTTGAATGGACACATGGTATTAGTACATGTTACAGGGCATCCATGTCAATATGTGAATACTGCAACAATCGGGTATTTGGCATGTTTATCGCCTAAGAGATTTACTACTTCCTCGTGTTGGGAACATTCAGAATCTTCTCTACTAGCTCATGTGAAACAGTCAATTAATTATTGTTGACCACAATTACCATTCTGTGCCGCAGAACAGAAATTATTGCTCCTACCCAGCTGTAGCCCTTGCCTGTGGGATTTCAGTCATTACTCGTGTTTAAGTGGCACGTGTGTGAGATGTATGGCTACAAGAGGGTTATGTTGCTTTGTTTTAGGATACATTTCACAACTGAAAAAGCAAAACCAGGAAGACAGGACCCTGAAACACGTCCCTCGGCATGCTAGCCCCAGAGCACTGGTGCTGGCCTCACTGGACCCCAGGGCAGGTTTCTTAGAAGGAGGCAGCACTGTGGGTGCCCCCATGGAAAGGAGGGGTGCGTGCTGAGCTGCCACTGTCTGCACTCCAGGTTCTAGGGACCTCGCCCCCCGGTGGCCCTGGCCAGGATAAACACAAAGACCCTGTCGCAGTGGGCAGCCAGGGGGCCAGGGAGGGGAAAGCAGGAAAACTCACCCTTCTTGTCCCTTCCAGGCAGGCAACGGGGCGGGGTCCCAGCCTGGGAACATCCTGGATGTCTTTACTCAGTACCGAGGCCTCTCCTGGAGGTAAGCAGGGGGCGTGACCAGGAACATTCTAGAAAACCGTTGTTCCAGCAGGGGATGGGCCAGCTAGTGCTTTTCCAAGACAGATTTCTGCGTTCGGTTTGAGGAAGGCATCTGTCAGCTCTCCCAAACAGCAGCCGGGATCCGAGGTGCAGAGGGCTCAGGGGAGTAGCTCACATGAGGGTCTGGGTGGGAAATGCTTCTCCATCGTCCACGTGTCCCCTGTGATGTCATCCGAGAAGGCGGCCTTGTGAGGCACTGCAGTTGGACCTGGAGCCCAGCTGCCAGCTCTGTGCATCCCCTCTGGGCCAGGATGCAGGGACACTAACACCTTGAGGCTGAGAGGGAATTTCACTGGCTTCCTAGAAGGGCTCTTCACCTCATAGCGTTGGGGGGTGGGGGAGATAACAGCCAGTCCAGGGCTGGAACAGTGCCAGAATCGCAGCAGGTGCTTTGTGACCCCTAAGCCAGCATCGTCCCCTCACGGGCTGCCTGGCACAGGTGCATTCTGCTCTGCCCGGACCCGGCTTCCAGGAGCAAGGCTCCAACCCAACTTCTGGGCCCCGAGAGGCTGGGCGGGGCAGATCTGGGGGTTCTGCAGCCTGGCCCCAGGATTTCAAGAGCCTGTTAGGTATTGCCAGGCATGCTTGGCAAAGCGGGGAATCCAGACCACTCTGGAATGTCGATTCGCTTAATCTGCTCGGAATTTTAGATCTGGCTCGGGAGACGGCTCACCCTCCCGAGGATGCCCCCTTTTAAAAACAGTACTGCGGCCAACAGGAAGGGAAAGATGGGGCAGGGTTTTTTCTTTTTCTGTGTTTTGAGTAATAACGTTCAATGCACAGCTGCAGGGGTCGCCCAGGGCGGCCGCTTTCCCTGGGTCCATTTAAGTGTCCGCCCCTACGTGGGGCTCGAGGTTTAACTGGAACGCAACAAAATCGGCATCGGTGCTGGTTCTAGTCTGGGTTCCGTCGGGCGATCCCAAGCGCGGGCGAGGGGAGGGGGCTGCAAGGGGGGAAGAGCTCGCTGCGAGCCCCGGGGCTGCTGCTTCGTGGACGCGGGAGGGTTGCCGGTCTGGCCTCTGAAACTTTATCTGTCTCTCCCTTCCACGCAGCGTCGGGGGCGATCAGAACATCAGCACGGTCACCACCCTGGCCAGTGAGTACGCCTCGCCTCGGGCACTGCCGCCGCGCCCCCTGGAGGCGTCGGGGACGCGGGCGGAGGGAGGCGCGAGCAGTGAGGCTCAGCCCTGGGCGGCAGGGGGCGCTGCTGCCCCGAAGCTGCCGTGCACTCCGGAAAGCCTCAGCCAGGGTCCAGGGGCGCCGGCAAGACATTACCTTTTGTCGAAGAACAGAAGAGAGGAAGAGCGAGCTCGCGCCAAATTCTAGTGCAAGTCCAAAGGGAGGAGGAGGAAGCGCCTGCCTGCTTTGCTTGCCCGAAGCAGAGCTGGGTCTGGGAGGCCCCGTGGGGCCGAGTCCTGGGGGTCACTCCTGGAAATGGGATGTTGGTTGATCAGGTTTTCCCTAGCAAGATGTGAGAACAGTTTGTAGGGCTGGATAATGCAGTGGGGGAACCACAGGAAAATGCGTTAGAAAGCTTAGAACACAAGGTCGGAACAGAGCCTCCACAGCGGAAATAGAATGAGGTGCGGATGACCACCACGTCTCCGTCTCTTTGGGAATTTGTCTCCTTAAAGACAGACATGTGAACCGATCGTTACAGCCGTTTACAAAGTTTAGGGGGAAACGAGAAGGCCGCTAACTCTACTCTCTGAAAAGAATGGACGACACCAGGCAAGGAAACCGGATGGAGTGTCTACAGCAGAGACGGCCGCGTGCTCGGCAAGTTCTTGGCCAGCCCGGTGCGGGCCGATGCTGGAGCCCACCACCTCCTAGGACCAGAGACCCCATTTGCAGACAGCGCTGCCGATTTCAAAGCCCCTCCTGCTGTTGGGGTGATGTGATTCTGCTGGCCCAGTGCCCCCAGAGCCTCAGGGCGTGTCCAGGGCGGCTCTATGGAGAAGACCTGCCGCGGTGCTGGGGTCTGGGAACGCGCTCATGGACGACAGAGACCCCTGAAGTCCTGCCCACCGCCCGGCTCGTTCCTCCCGCGGGTCCCAGCAGAAAGGCACGGGGGAGGCCCGGGGCTGGAGCCAGACGCCGGGTGCTCTAGCCTGGGCTTCCGTTCTCGGCGGCTATGTGGCTGTGAACGGTTTTCCTAACCTGTCTGAACTTTGTTTTATTCAGTCCATAAACATTTATTGAGCGTTTTATAAGGCCCTGATGCACCTACAGACTTTGCTTTCTGGAGTTCATAGCTAACTTGGGGAAGTGGAAAGTGAAAAGTCAAATGTATATCCAGTGTAGGAAAGACATGAAAACACGTGAGATGGGAAAAAAATCAAGCAAACTAGCGAAGCCTTAACTCAGACGGACTGGGTGAGGGGAGGTGGCTCAGAACCAGGAGTAAGGGAGGAGACACCACTGGCCTTGTGAAAATACGATTGTGAGAAACAGCCCTGTGGGTAAATTAGGTAACTTACAAAAGAAATGGACAAATTCCTAGAAAGTCACAAGCTACTCAAACTGAAGAATAGAAAATCAGAACAGATTTAATAACAAGCAGATAAATTAGCTTAAAATTTAAAAACTCCACCAATAAAAAGCCGGGGCTTTTCTACTATCACTGGTGAATTCTATAAAACATTAGTAACGGAGTCCAGCAATTCTTTACAAACACCTCCCAAAAATAGTGGAGGGGACACTTCCCAACAAACTCTGTGCGTTTTATTCTGATACCAAAATAAGGTAAAGGCATCACAGGCAAGAAAACTGCTGCCCAATATCTCTCATGGATGTAGACACGACTTCCCAACAGAGCACTAGCAAATCCAATCCAACAACATTTAAAACCTTCTAAAATCAATTAATGTAATATACTATATCAATACAATAAAGTACAAGAACCACACAGCCATCTGAATGGATGAGAAAAGGCGTTTGTACAAAATCCAACAGCTCTTCCTCACAAACACACAGACCAAGCTGGCAGAAGGATGCCTGGCCTGATGGTGTGTCCTACAAGCTGGTGGCCTGCAGAGATGGCTGCCGCCTTGCCCCCAGGCCCGGGGCTGAGACAAGGTTGTCTGCTCTGCCGCTTGTGTTCAGCAGCATACCAGAGATTCCAGCCCTAGCAGCTGGGCGAGAAAATGAAAGAAAAAACACATCAAGATTGGAAATGAAATTAAACTGTGTGTCTCTGAAGATGACACGACCTGGTACACAGAAAGCCCTAAGGGAGCCGGCACTGGGTCGCAGTGCTTGAAGCTACCGCTTGCCATGCCAGCGTCGCATATCAGAGCACCAGTCTGAGTTCTAGCTGCTCTGCTTCTGATCCGGTTCTAGCTGATCTGCTAGCGCACCTGGGAAGGCAGCAAATGATGGCCAGAGTGCTTGGGGCCTTGCCACCCACATGGAAGACCCGGATGAAGTTCCTGGACCCTGGCTTTGACCTTGGCTATTGCAGCCATGTGAGACATGAACCAGTAGGTAGAACATCTTCCTCTCCCTCTTCTACTCCCCATCACTCTGCCTTTGAAATAAACCTTTAAAAAAAAAAGTCCTAAGTAATCTATTACAATTATTAGAATTAATAAATGGATGTGGCCAAGTTGCAGACTAAAAGTTGATATACAAAAAGCAATTATATTTGTGTTGTACACTAGCAATTACTCTGAAAATGAAATTAAATAATTACAGCAGAACCAAAAAGAATGAAATGCTTGGGAATGAACTTACTGAAGTAAGTGTATCTCATACTTTTAAGATCATCCCGCAATGCTTAAAAAAAATGAAGACATCCCATATTTGTGGCTCCGATTTACTTTTGTTAGGATAGCAACACTTGCCTAAATGAATCTAAAGATTCAGTGTGATCCTATCAAAATTCCAGCTGGCTTCTTGGCAGAAGGTGGCAGGCAGATCCTGAAACGCATGTGGAAACCTAAGGGCCCAAAATAGCCAAGGCAGCCTTGTCAAGGACGAACACATTTAGAGGACTCTTACTCCTTATTTGCAAAACTCCGGCGAAAGTTCCAGCAATCAGGACAGCGTGGTCCTGGCATGAGGACAGACACAGAGAACTGTGGCGCCTAGAGTCAGAAACAGACCTTCCGATTTATGCTGAACCCTTTTTCAACAAGGGTTCCAAAGTCATCCAGCAGGGAAAGAACCACCTTTGCGACACATGGTGCCGGGGCCGTCGCACGGTCACACGCAGAGAAGGAAGCTGGACTCGTTCCTCGCACCCTTTCCCGAGAGTCGCTCGACACTGATCATCGACCAAACGGAAGAGCTGAGCCTAACGCTGAGGAGAACTACAGGAGCAGATCTCCACGACCTGGGGTTATTAATGTCTCCTTAGATTTGCTACCGAAAACAGAAGTGGCAAAAGGAAAAAAAGAAAAAGTTGTGTTTCAAAGAATGCTCGCAAGGAAGTGAAGACGACCCAAAGGGTGGGAGAAGACACTTGCCAGTGTTTACATAATGAAAAACTTGAATCTAGAAATTAGAAAGAACTTCTACAACTCAATAATTAAAACCAAAACTGGACAAAGGATGTGAATAGTCATTTCTCCAACGAAGATAAACAAATGGCCCATAAGAAAAAATGCTCAACCTCAGTAGCTCTCGGTGCCGATCAGAACCACAGTGAGATACCGCCGTCACCCTCAGGATGATGAGGTCGTAGCGTTGGTGAGGCTGTGGGGAACTGAGCCCTGCTCTGAGTCCGCTGGGGGTGGAATGTGAATGCTGCACTTCTTTTGAGCAAGAGGCCTGTCATGTCCTCAAAAAGTTAAATAGAGTTGCCATACGATACAGATACAGAAATTCCACCTTTTAAAAAATTTTAATTTTTTTTTATTTGAAAGGCAGAGTTCCAGAGGGAGAAGGAGGGAGGAAGGGAGGTGTCTTCCATCACCTGGTTCACTCCCCCAAATGGTCACTATGGCTGGCAGGGGCTGGGCAAAGCTGAAGCCAGGAACTTCCTCCATGCCTCCCATGTGGGTGCAGGGGCCCAAGCACCCTGATTTCCCAGGTGCATTAGCAGGGAGCTGGATGGGAAATGGAGCATCTGGGACTCAAACCGCGGTCCCTATGGGATGCCAGCCATCGCAAGTGGCAGCTTAACCTGCTACACCACAGTGCCAGCCCCAGCAATTCCATTCTTAAGACTATATACAAGGCCGGCGCCGCGGCTTACTAGGCTAATCCTCCACCTTGCAGCGCCGGCACCCCGGGTTCTAGTCCCGGTCGGGGCGCCGGATTCTGTCCCGGTTGCCCCTCTTCCAGGCCAGCTCTCTGCTGTGGCCAGGGAGTGCAGTGGAGGATGGCCCAAGTCCTTGGGCCCTGCACCCCATGGGAGACCAGGAGAAGCACCTGGCTCCTGCCATCGGATCAGCGCGGTGTGCCGGCCGCAGCACGCTGGCCGCGGCGGCCATTGGAGGGTGAACCAACGGCAAAGGAAGACCTTTCTCTCTGTCTCTCTCTCTCACTGTCCACTCTGCCTATCAAAAAAAAAAAAAAGGCTATATACAAGAAAAATCCACATAAATATTTGTACGCAAATGTTCACTGCAGTATTACTTACCATAGACAAAAAGTGGAAACAGCCCCAATGCAACAGCTGAAGAGTGGATACATGAAGTATGGTAAAGCCACACGCTGGAATACTATTCAGCGAGGAAAAGGGGGAAGTTCTAACGCACGTCACCACGTGGGTGAATGTGGGAGGCTAAGTGAAAGAAGCCAGGCACAAAAGTGTTGCATGATTTCACTTACGTGAGGTGTCTGGAACACGGAAGCCTACAGAGACGGAGCTGTGCTTGTGGGGTGGGAATGGCTGAGGGGCACAGGCACTGTCTGTGGGGCCGGGCGAATGTTTCAGAGTCGATTGTGGTGAGAGTCGCCTCAAGCCATGAACACACCTGTACCTTGGCGACTTGTGTGGTATGTGAATTATCTGTCAAGAGAGCAGAATGGAAAAATAAGTACAAAGGCACTTCAAAAAGTTCATGGAAAGTGGAATTCAAAGCTAAGTTTTTTTTAGTGCAAAAAAACTTGTAGTTTTTCTCGTAATGTGCATTTCCATGAACATTTTGAAGACTGCTTGTATATTTGGAAAAAAGGAAAATGCAGGAGAAACACTTCACTCATTGAGTAGCTGGTGCATGCTGCACCTGTGGCCAAGCTTCAGCCTGCTTCAACCTCCTGCATCTGGGCTGGGGGTGAGGGAGTGGGGGAGGGGCGACTTTGCTTCCCCCGGCCCCCTTTGGTCCCCTAAACGTCACTAGTCACTCGGGGTGGTCACGAAGTATCTCCCTTTTTGTCTCGCTAGACATCCTCCGGGAATTCAACCCTTCCCTGCAGGGCTTCTCCGTCGGCACCGGGAGAGAGACCACTTCCCAAGCCTTCTTCAACCAGGCAGTGGCGGGCGCCCGAGCCGAGTGAGTAGAGGAGGGTCTGGCCCAGGTCGGGGTTCGTGGCTGAAGCTTGGCCTGGGCTCTGTCGAGGGTGTCCTTTGTCGACCTGTTCCCGCTCAGGCAGAAACTAGTCACAGCGACGCTGATGCTGGACGGGCGCTTTGAGAGAGTCCTGGGAGTCCTGTGTGGATCTCACACCCACGGGAGACAGGGGCTGGGCGAGGGGCCCCCGGATGCCTGCTGTTGTCCCACAGTGCCGCCTCCCTCGAGTGGCCTTCCCAGCCCTTGGGCTCTGTAGTCTTCCAGAGCCTCGAGTCCCAGTTATGTGTCCCAGCTTCCCCCTTAGCTCTCTCCCATTGGGTGGCTGGGAGGTACAGACACCGTGGTAGGTGTAAGCTCAGGGGAGCTTTAAAGAAAACACACATGTGGGGTCCAGATGGGGGTCTCTGTGGTCCACTGCAGTGAGCATGGAGACCACCATGTCTCCGTCCATACGCCCCGATTGGCTGCTCCCCGGGAGTGGGCTGGTCAGTATGGTTCAGTAGCACCGTGGTTTTGCCTTTTCCACGTGTGCACTGGCTGACTGTGTGCTTGGAGAGGCGTCGTAGGCATGACCAGGTCAGGGGACAGCTAGAATGAAGGTGGAGAATTGAAAGCATAAAAGTGACCTGAAGTGTGTGATCTGGCCCCAGATTTCTGTCTCTGCTTTGCCCAAGGCCTGGACGCCCTGTGACACGAGGGATCCCAGCACAATCCAGGGGATGGGGTAGGGGGGTGCCATGGATAACGATTCCCATGTCACGGATGACAGAGCTGCAGGGCCTGGGCAAGAGCAGCGGCTTGACCACACAGCCTGCGCCCGCTGTGCCCTGAGCGCTTTCTTCCAAGCCAGGTCTCCGCTCCTCTCACAGGGCAGCAGGGTGCAGTGTTCATGCATCACCCTGAGATGGATACAGCCGAGGGCCGGGGACGCTCCTGCCCTGACAGCTGCAGGTTTGCAGATGAGAAAACCGGCTCAGGGCAGGGAAGAGCCTTCCCCACAGCCCCCACCCAGGAGAGCTTGTCCAGGCTGGGTGCATGATGACTACAACAGGCCAGCGGGAGTGACAGTGCAGAGGGGAAGAGGGTGACAGCTACGATTTCCTGCTGGACACTGGGGCAGGGGCTTCACTGATGGTGATGGAGGAGGTGACGGTACACTCAGTGGCTGTAACTTGTCGTGGGCCATGCCCTGTTCTAAGTTCTCAGTGTGGCTCCTCGGTTAAGTCCTCCCACAGCCGTGTGAAGAAGGCGCTGCTCCCTGTCCCCACTACACAGAGGGAAAGACGAGGTTTGCAGGGTGAAGTGCTTGGCTGAGGTCCCAGAGCCGAGTGGGAGGAGCAGGGGTGCAGTGTAGCCCCAGGGGTGCTCTGCCCACCTTGGTCTCTGCTCCCAGTGGCCCTCTGAGATGGGAGTGTATCTATTTTGCAGGGCTTTTAAACTAAGAAGTTACTTCATGTTCCCACAATTAAGCAGAGGCCATAAATGTCAGCCCAGGTGCCTCTGACTCAACCAGATCACCTTGACAGTGAGGGGGCTGAGATGGGCGTATGCTTAACCCCCCAGGACACGGACACTCACAAGCAGGCAACCCTCTGTCTGCCCCGCACAGCCCACCCCAGGACAGAATGAAAAGTCCATCACCAGACACGCACCTTGGAGGAGTTAGCCTGTGGGGCACCCCCTTGGGTGAACAGGCTCTGCCCTTCCCACGCGCCACCCCTCTCCCCACCCTTGCACCCAGCGGAGCCTGAACAGGGCAGGGGGTCTGGGCCAGCGCCGTGAGCCCCGCTTTCCTGCAGGAGGCCCACCCTGGGCCTTGCCCTGTTGTGATTCTGATTCCCATTCCAAGTTTGCCCATCCTGGCTCCTCACACAACTCCCTCCTGTGTGTTCCCACAGTGGGTTAATTCCCCAGGCCCAGCGGCTGGTGGCCCTGATGAAGAATGACACGGTGAGTGCCAGGGTGGGGGCGGGGGCTCAGGCACAGGAAGTAGGCAAGAGAGATCCAGACACAGAGGAGGCCGGTGGGGGGAGGGTGAGTGGTGGGTGGGAGCCTGGCCTGAAGCTCCGCCCCTCTGAACAGGGGCTTCCCATCCATCTGCTCATTCCTGTCGTCCTGTCAGTCAGCTGTCAAATTCCACTTTTATCCCTAGTCTGGCCTGGGGCTGGGAACGCAGTCAGTCTGGGACAGTAGGGTCTGGGGGAAGGAGCGGGCCACCTGCTGGGGACAAGTGTGTGCAGATGGCTGAGCCTCCTTCTGAAAGACGGAGGTGAGGGTGTTTGTGGAGCTGTTTCCGGGTGGATAATAGCCAAGAGGGTGATTTGGAGTTGTTGTTTTATGTATAATTTAACAGACTCCAAAGTCGGTTATCGGGCGGGTGTTTAAGGTGTTTTTGCACTGAACAGTGAACTTTTCTGGATTTTTCCCCCACATTTCTCCTTCCACTCCCTTTTGAAAGCACAGGTCAGAAAAGCAAAGCTCCATAGGCCTGGGACAATTTAAAAGGCTGTGAGGACTCCAGGTGTCCTGGGGCCACAGTTTATGTGTGTGGCCGCCCCCTCCCCCCAGCCACACAACCCCAAATGCCGAGGCATCTCCCAGTCCCTCTTGGAGAAGGCAGTCCTGCCAGAGCCTGAGCTGACGGCTGCCACTGGCTCTAACCAGCCTCAGCAGCTCTGTGTGCAGCTTTGACTTGTGCAGCGAGGTGGGTTTGGAGAACTCCTGCTTGATGAGAGACAATCTTTTCTCCCTTAACTTGAAATTTGAATTCCAGATTTCTAGAAGATCCTAGAACAAACGTTCCTTTCCCACAACCAGGGCCAGCTTCCCTAGTCCCCGCCTACTGTCTTGCAATGCTAGACACAGATGTAGGACCAAAGCTCAGAATTCTGTGCCTGCTACCCCAGGACACATGAAAAGTGTGAGCTGTGGTTGACTGTGTGTGGACACAGCTGCGTGGGAATCCAGTGACCCCACCCCAGAGAAGAGCGCCATATAGCACCTGGTACTCAGGACCCCAGAACCAAAGCAGAAAACGCAGACACCTGCTAGGATGTGCGGGGACCCAGCCCTTCGCTCGACACTGTTTTCGTGGACTTGACCCTGAGACAGGCACTTACTTGTTTCTTTCCTGTTCGTTCCAGAGGATAAATTTTCAGGAGGATTGGAAGATAATAACCGTGTTCATTGGAGGCAACGACCTCTGTGATTTCTGCAATGACCCGGTACGTCCCCCGGGGCCATCGCCCCAGACCCTCCCCAGGGGAAGGATTTTTCCATGGCTGCTGGGACCCAGCCTGGGAGTAACCTGAGACCAAGAGCACGTTCAGTGCTGGGGGACATGAACAGGACAAGCAGGACTGATCCCTCATTTCCTATGAAGGGAGCCTGATCGTATCGTTCTGGAAGCCAAGCTAGCATCCCAGGGACCTGGAAGAGTCTCTCCTTTCTCCAGGATTCGCTGGCCTTTGCAGGCCCACCTTTGTGGGGTGACTCGTGGGGAAAGTGGATTTCCTGTGACGGCATTTAGGCCAGGTTCAGAACCGCGTCCGTGGGCTGAGGGGAAGCACAAGTTCAAGGCTGCCGCTCTGTGGGGGCCGTGCTTCTCCGAAACCCCCGAGTCTCTGAGCTGAAAGAAGACCCCACAGGCCATGCTGCCTCGTATCCCACCCAGATGCAGGCTCTGTCCTCAAGGAACGCCCCCACCCCCCCACTCCCCCCACCCAGACACAGATGCTGCAGTGTGGGCCGGGCTCCAGGGCTGCCCCAGGAAGCCAGCCTGAAGTCAGAGTCACTGTGCAGCCGGGTGCAGCCGGCTGGGGGCGGGGGCGGAGCGGGAGACTTCCTACCTGTGGCTAGAACACCAGTGCCTTCTTCAGGAGGAGGGGGCCCGCAGAGTGAGGGGCAGGAAGTGACCTTGCTGGAGTTGTGACCTGTCCCCAGGCCCCTTCATGGCCTGCCCAAGGTCGGGCTCCTGGAGCTAGGATGGGAAGGACCCACAGGAGGCCTCGGGACCGCTGGGAGCAGGCGAGGGGCTGGGGCCGTGGCCCTCCCCCTCCTCCCCCCAGTGACGCCACACTGCTCATTGTTGTAGAGCAGGGATCTGGGTTCCATTTCAGAGAAAGAGTCTCCTGGCTTCACACACAAAAAAAACTTTAAAAACCAAAAATATTATCTGGAGGAATAACTGAGGATGTGCTTACTCTTGGGGTGCAGTTGGGCTTCACAAGACGCTCCTCCCCCCACTGCATTACCTCCTTGAGGGGGTTGGGGGAGGTGTGGCGCCCCAGACAGTTCAGGCCGCAAGCAGGATCTACGAGGCCCTGGGAGCAGAGACGATAAAGTTGCAGGAGAGCTTAGCCACATCTGCTCCAGCCCCCAGCGTTAGAGGGTGTGGCAGTGGGAGGCATGCATCTGGCTGCTCCCCAGTAGACCCAGGGTACAGCAAGCATATTTTCCTGAGAGTCACAGCTGTGAAAAGCCCAGGGGATGCATCTGGGACCCCAGGTCAAGCCTATCTCGTATCACCCGCTCTGACCTGGAGGGAACACAGCTGGGTATGCAGCGATGGCGGCAGTGAGTGGTGCTCTAGAGATGGCCTTCTCCCTGCAGGTGCGCTACTCCCCCCAGAACTTCACGGACAACATCGGGACGGCCCTGGACATCCTCCACGCTGAGGTACGCCGGCTCCTCCAGCTCTCACCCTGGTGGGGCACCTTCACTGGCTCCTGAGCAACTCGAACACACAGGTGTCGGGGGGTGGGGGGGGGGAGGGGAGGGGAGGAGAGAGCAGTGAAGCAGGTGCCTGGGGCCAGCTGGGGGACCCTGAGTAGAAGCCCCAGACCCGGCCTTTCCGCAGATTCCCCGGGCCTTTGTGAACCTGGTGAAGGTGCTTGAGATCTCCAAGCTGAGAGAGCTGTACCAGGAGACTAAAGTGAGCTGCCCCAGGATGATCCTCAGGTGAGATGGAAACTGCCCCCCACAGCCCCCCGTTCCTAGAAGAAGGAAACCAGAGAGTAGGGCCATGAGGAGCACTGGGAGTCCCCCCACCCCATTTTATAGCCTGAAAAGGTCTAAAGGGGGACATCCCAGGGTTTCCACCCCAGTGTGGACCTCCGCTGCTCCCCCCTGGCATGCCGCTGTTGCCATGGCAGCCATGGGATGCCTTCAGTCCTCCAGGAGGGAAGAGGATGGCTCATGGGTTGCTCAGGGCTGGCGCCACGGCTCACTTGGCTAATCCTCCGCCTGCGGCACAGGCACCCCTGGTTCTAGTCCCAGCTGGGGCACCAGTTCTGTTCCGGTTGCTCCTCTTCCAGTTCAGCTCTCTGCTGTGGCCTGGAAAGGCAATGGAGGATGGCCCAAGTGCTTGAACCCTGCACCCCCATGGGAGACCAGGAGGAGGCACCTGGCTCCTGACTTCAGATCGGCGCAATGTGCTGGCCGTAGCGGCCATCTGGGGGGTGAACCAACAGAAAAAGGAAGACCTGTCTCTCTGTCTCTCACTGTCTAACTCTGCCTGTCTAAAAAAAAAAAAGGAGGGGGTTGCTCAGGCCACCACAGAGACATCCTGGACAGCTGCCAGAGTGTCCCCACCCCTGCCTGGAGGCCCCGCTTGGCATGGGGGCTCCAGGCTGCACATTCACAAATCTAGGGCCACTGTCACCTGCTAGAGGGAGAGAGGGCCAAATCAGGGATGGCAGAGTCCAGAGGACAGAGGACCCTGGTCCCGAGAAGGCCCCAAGAGGTGGCTTCATCCCTCAGAGCCCCTCTGCTATGTCCCATCTCACAGCTGCCCCCCCGCCCCCACCCCAGGCTGTGGCTCTGAACGGCCCCTCCATAGCCCTGAGCACATCATGGGGTCATTACGTGCTGCTGCCCATCTCGCCCTCCGGTGAGCACTGAGCCACGGCCGGCACAGCGCAGGGACTCAGCAGCTGTCTGCAGAATTACTGACTGAATAACTCATGCTCTGGGAAATTAAGGGGTACACTGGCTGCTCCCCGTGAAGATCCATGCCCAAGGTTTCCTGGGGGAGGGGTCCAGACTGCCCAGGTGCCCTGGAGAAGGCCTTGGGGTGCTGTGAGCAGACAGGATGGCTGCGGGTGACAGGTGTCTGTCAACACAGCCGCTGTCGGCTGTGCTATTTTTCAACCGCTGACTTGCCCCCGGCCCCCACCTTCTCCAGGTCCTGGGCCGTACAGGCTGCAGCAGCTCAGAGCCCCTCTCCAAAAAGGCTTTGCTGCTGACCACAGCAGGGGTTCTTAGACCTTTAATGTGGAAGCGGCAGAGGAGGTCTATGCCAGGTCCGTTCACGGATCTGAAGTGGCCAAGTGCCCGAACGTCAGGGTCACCCTGCCCTGCCCCACTGTGCTGCTCTGCGCTCCCCGCCTTTCCTTCCCTCCCTCTCCACAGCAGTGCTGAGTCCCCGCTGAGCCGTCCACTGTTATCCGCTCACCCCCGTGCCCGAAGCCCGGATTTGCCAGATGTCCAGCCTGCTCAGAGCCACAGGCTGTGCAGGAGCAGGTTCGGGCGCTGGCTCCACACTCAGCCTCCATGTGGCCTTGAGAAGGTGCCTCAGTGTTCTCATCTATAAAATGGAGGTCGTAGGCCAGCGCCGCAGCTCACTAGGCTAATCCTCCGCCTTGCGGCGCCGGCACACCGGGTTCTAGTCCTGGTCGGGGCGCCGGATTCTGTCCCGGTTGCCCCTCTTCCAGGCCAGCTCTCTGCTGTGGCCAGGGAGTGCAGTGGAGGATGGCCCAAGTGCTTGGGCCCTGCACCCCATGGGAGACCAGGAAAAGCACCTGGCTCCTGCCATTGGATCAGCGTGGTACGCCTGCCACAGCGCCGGCCGCGACGGCCACTGGAGGGTGAACCAATGGCAAAAAAAGGAAGACCTTTCTCTCTGTCTCTCTCTCTCACTGTCCACTCTGCCTGTCAAAAAATAAATAAATAAATAAAATGGAGGTCGTGATGGCACAGCTTCTGGACTGGCCGGGAGGGCCCCACAGGTTAACACCTGGAAAGCCCTCGTCCCGGCACTCAGCACAGGTAACATTAATGCCATTTGCGGCGTGGTGGTTGTGGTTATGATTTAGAAGGAGCCGTACTCCACCTGCACCGCTCTGCCTTCCAACAACCTCAGGCTACTGCTCAGTAAGCCCCTCCTGCAGATGCCCATTTCATTCCCAAGTGCAAATCCGGGCCTACGACCTTGTCTCAGTTTCATTTGGTGCAGTGAACTGGTTAGCCAGCCAGGTCCTCCATTAGCACAGATCTTAGTTTATTAAGATTTATTTATTAGGGCCAGTACTGTTGCATAGCAGGTAAAGCCACTGCCTACAGTACCAGCATCCCATGTGGGTACCAGTTCAAGTCCTGGCTGCTCCACTTCCAATCCTGCTCCCTGTTACTACTCCTGGGAAAGCAGTGGAAAATAGGCCAAGTGCTTGGTCCTCTGCACCCATGTGGGAGACCCAGAAGAAGCTCCTGGCTTTGGACTGCCCCAGCTCCAGCCATTGTGGCCATCTGGGGAGTGAACCAGCAAATGGAAGACCTCTCTTTCTGCCTCTGCCTCTCAAATAAATAAATCTTTAAAAAAATCTTAAAATCTTTAAAAAATTAAAGATTTATTTATTTGAAAGGCAGAGTGATAGAGTAAGAGAGAAGGAGGAGAGACTGTCCATCTGCTGGTTCACTTCCCAAATGACCCCAACAGCAGGGGCTGGATGAGGCTGAAGCCAGGAGCCTGGAACCTCATCAAGGGTCTCCCATCTAGGCACAGGGGCCCAAACACTTGGGCCATCTTCCACTGCCTTCCCAGGAGCAGTAGCAGGGAGCAGGATGGGAAGTGGAGCTGCCGGGACTCAAAGCCACGCTCTGATGTGGGATGCTGACGGGCAGGTGGCAGCCTAACCCGCTGCACTGCCACACTGGCCCCAGCGCAGATTCGGGGTCCCTCCGAGTTAGAAGGGCCAGATCCCGAGGCCAAAGCCAAAGCCTCTGCCCTGCTCGCTCAGGAGGGGACTTGGGGCGGGGGCTGCCCGGTGTCGTCCACAGGTCTCTGTGTCCCTGTGTCCTGAAGTTCGATGACAACTCCACAGAAATTGCCTCCCTCATCGAAACGATCAAGGAGTATCAGGTGAGCCGGCCCGTGCTCTGCGACCACACGGGGCTGCTGTCTGGAGTGATTGCCCTGTGTGCAGACTGAGGCAGTTCTGACCCCCACTGGGCAGGCAATCAGCACTGAATAGTTTGCCAGTTTAAAAAAAAAAAGTTGGCTTTTAATTTATTCTCATTTTATTTAAACATCACAGAGAAAGAGAGAGCTTTCATCTCTGGTCCACATCCCAGGCATGGACCAGGCTGAAGCCAAGATCCCTGAACTCAATGCAGCTCTGCCACATGGGTGCCAGGGACCCAAGTACTTGGACCATCACCCACTGCCTCCCAACAGGAAGCTGGATCAGAAGCAGAGTAGCTCATATTCTAGCCAGGCACCCTGACGTGGAAAGCAGGCATCCCAAGTGGCTCAGCCACTGTGCCAAAGGCCCACCCCTAGGTTGCCAATTTAAAGACACCCCAAGGAAGCAGCAAGGGGTGTGGCTTCATGTAGCTGAATTAAGCTACAAAGTCCCTGAACCCCTCGCCTACTCTCAGTTCCTGGCCTTTACACAGAAGCAAATGCCACCTACAGTGCTGGGATCCATACGGGCATCAGTTTGAGTCCTGGCTGCTCTACTTCCAATCCAGCTCCCTGGTAATGCACCTGGGAAAGCAGCAGAGGATAGACCAAGTCCTTGGGCCCCTGCACCCACATGGGAGACCCAAAAGAAGATCCTGGCTCCAGCCTGGCCCAGCCCTGGCCTTTGGCCATGTCTATCATGGCAAGAAGCTTCATGGTGGCTGTGTCTAGAACGAGTGCACACCTCCCGTGTGACCTTGGGCCATGAGACTTGTCAGAGCTCCCGACTCCTGGGTGAGAAACAGAGGCTGAGGCTCCCTCCCTTACTTGTGTTCCTCCACCCTCCCTGCCCGTGGCAACAGGTATCACAGGGCGCAGGAGGAGAAAGAACATGAGCAGTGGGCCTCTCTTTCACAGGCTGCTCATTTTAGTCCTTTCTCCGTCAAGCCTCAGCTGCCTCCCTCAGCCCTCTCTAGTGTCCCCCATCCCGAGGACAATGGTAGCCTTCCTTCCAGCGTGGGCTGTGGATGCCAGCAGCGTGAACGCGCCTTTGAAGGGCTGCAGAACCACTTCCTGTAGACTCCGTGGGGGCAGCCATGCCTGCCGGCATGTCAGGGGCTCAGAGTGAGGCCGCTGCATTTGGCAGACCCTATCGCCACCGCCTGTCCCCCAGAGGGCTCCCCCTCTGCACCTCTGTCCTGAGCAGGCACCAGTGGCTGCAGTGCGTCTGTGCACGCCCCGCCCCAGGACAGGGAAGGCACGGAGGGTATGGCCAAGAGAGCAGCCCTATTTCCCAGAGGGTTCTTGGGTACAACAACGAAAGCTCTGGCACTCTTGGGCTAATCTAAGCAGACTTAAGATATCTTGAAGTGGGATTTCTGGTAGAGCTGAGGTCAGAGGCCAAGCCACCAGGGTTCATGGCGTTCTGTGGGCCATGCCCTAAGGATCAGTTAATACCAGGCTGCAGACCAAGTCCAGGCAAGCCATCACAGACACTGCCGTCACACTGCGGCTGGAAGCCGGTGTTGTGCACTGAGACTGTCCCTCAGTCAGGGACCCTCCCTTAGCAGCAAACGAGCCGGGGGCGGAGCCTCCATCCTCCTCAGCTTCTCCCGTGGAACGCAGGCTGCTCCCCATACATAGGGCGACTTCAAACAGGAAGTGGATCCAGGGGCTGAGGAGCCAAAGAGAAGGAAGCCACAGTCCACCTCCATGTTCACGGATGGAAGCATCTGTAGGTCAGGAACACGCAGGAAGAAAGGGTGCACCTGTAGTGAGCGTGTGCAGACTTTTCCCGCACGCTGCAGTGCCACATCTGCCTCGGTGGCGTTTGCACTCTGCTGGGCATTGTAGGCGGTGGCGAGGTGGCTGCAAGTGTCCAGGAGGTGCGTACAGGTTCTGTGCAGGCGCCATGCCATCTTGTGTCAGGGACTCGAGCACCCACAGACCCTGGTGTGCACAGGGGATCCTGGCACCAACCCCCAAGTGCCTTTGTGGACTGCTGTAGACACACCAGCCATTCCCAGACCCAATCTCGCTCACCACAGAGGCCCCAATCCGGTGTCCTGGAGGCACTCCCTCGCTTGTGGCCATGTGAGGCCATCATGTCCCCCAGTGAATCATCTGCTTCCTGCAAAAGCCATGGCTCCCCTCGCTCTCCCAGAGGTGGCTCCGCCCGTTCATAACTGTAGTCGTTAATGTAGAACTTACCACGAGCCAGCAGCTTCACTCGCCACTCCTCTCAACTGTGTGTGGTTCCACCGCGAGCCCTCCTGGCTGCTCCCCCCTGCACCCCAAGGTAACTGAGAGCATTGGAAGGGGCTGGCAACATGATGCAGGCCCTGCCCAGAGAGAGCCACTGCTTGCTGGCGGTCACACAGCGAGCTAATAGTGTTGTGCCCTCCTCTTTGGAGAGGCCCTGGCCTCCCTGCCCCCATGCCTTGCTCAGGCCTCTGTCTGTGCCTGGAGGAGACCGGCGAGGACAGCCGCACACAAGGCATCCCAGGTGGAAGGGCTCTCTTTCTGGCTGACCCTGGGAAGAGCCAGGGTCTGTGTCTCTGCACTGGCCCCATTAATGCTCCCCGATGGGTATGCCTGACTTCCCTTTGTAGCCAGAGAGCTGGCCCCAAGTGCTCGAGACCCTGCTGAGTGGCGAAGTGGTCCAGCCTGGTCAGAGTGGGCACCAGATCCGGGGGAACTGGTTTTTCTGGAAATGACCGTGGCAGAAGCTGTGATGGCCATGGCTCCATTACCCTGGGGTCAAGCTGACAGGGTCAGGTGTTTCCTTCACTCTGTGGCAGCCTGGGTCAAGCATGAGTGGTTGCAGCAGAGGTTGGGGCCAGCTGTTGAGACTGCGGCTGACCTGAGAAGTGACAGCTGGCTCCTGGCCAGTTGCAATTTTGCTGAAGGCCGAGTTCACTCAGCAGTCAGACCCCGCTTGCTCCCGTGCCCGAGCATGGGAAGGAACTTGGACTGCGCAGGTGCAGAGAGGACCAGGTCCACCCGACGCCTGTGCCCTTGTCCTCTCGCAGGAGAGGACCCAGCAGCTGATTGACAGCGGGCGATACGACACGAGGGACGACTTCACGGTGGTTTTGCAGCCGTTTTTTGAAAAAGTGAACATGCCAAAGACCCAGGTGAGGAGAGCAAGCGGCTGGCGGCGGGTGGAGGGCTGGTGCCGGCAGCGTGCCACTGTTTCGGGGTGTGCGTGTGAGCGCCGTCCCTCTAACTGGGCATGCCGGTCTCTGGCTAGGACGGGCTACCCGACAACTCTTTCTTCGCGCCCGACTGCTTCCACTTCAGCAGCAAGGCCCACGCGCACGCAGCTAGCGCCCTCTGGAACAACATGGTGAGAGGCTGGGATGGGAGAACCATCCTCCTCCTGGTGGTGAGAGATGTGCAAGGACTTCGAGGCCACCCCAGGGCTGTGGGATGCCCCTGGAGTCCTAGTCCTGCCCTCCCTTTCCCCCCAACCTTTCCATCCTGCCCACTGCCACTTTACTCCCTGTCCTCCTTCTTGGCTTAGCTGGAACCTGTTGGCCAGAAGACAACACACAATGATTTTGAAGGAGCAGTCAACATTACGTGTCCAAACCAGGTAGGGTGTAAAGGCCGCCTTGCAATGCCTCTGTCTAAAGCCCTGTGACTCAGGTTCTGCCCTTCAGTAGGCATCTTGATTCATTTCACCCTAGACCACCTGCCCGCCCCATTCCATACGCCAGGTTAACCACATAACCATCGGGCAGGCTTACAGAACAGTGACCCCCAGTGACCCAAGGCCCTGGCACACTTGCCCGTCACTGTGGCAGGAAGCCATGACAGGTCTTTCAAGCCAACAAGAGAAGCATGGTGCCCGCCTCCAGCTCTCGGGGTGGAGGGAACCCGAGGGCAGATGGGGCGGGCGGAGACTGTCTTCACATAGCTGCAGCCTCCCGAGTGAGGGACTGAGACCAAGGATGGTGTCGAGTTGGGTGGAGGATGCTGTGGCAAACCGGAAGCTGGAGTGAGGGAAGTAGGCATTTACCAGGAAGGCAAAGCTGGGCAAGACCTTGTTTTAACTCACAGCTGCTGCCATTGTCCCTGAACTGAAGGGAGCCACTGTGCAGGCTTACAAGGGGCAGGACCAAAACAGTCTGACTTCTCGCCCGGGCAGGGAAGGCGCTCGGGGAGCTGCAGGGGGTGGGCGTGGGTGGCAGAGGAGCCTAGGGGTGCAGACATGGCTCTTCCTAGTGAGAAGAGGTACACCGTCGAGAGGGGCTGGAGTGGCGAGAGAGGCCACATGGCCTTCCGTGGCCAGCAGAATGGGCGGTGAGGGAGGACGTGTGCACTCCTGGGAGCCCCTTCAGGGTTGATCCTGCGTTCTGGTGCTGGGTTTGGGTTGCAGCCAAGGCCCAGGTACTCCTGGGAGGGAGGGGCTGGGCTAGGGAGGGAGGAGCAGGAGAGGCCAGAGGTGCAGGTGCCCAGGTGGGTACCTGTTGGGGGTTGGCCCACACAGAAGCGAGCTAACGTTGCTGCCATTGCTCATGCCATCTTCTCCCAGGTCTGGCCGTTTCTGAGTACCTACAAGAACAGCGTGCAGGTATCTGCCAATTGCTTCCTTTTGGCTCACCAGGTGGTGTGTGTGTCGGGGGGGTGACTTCTGGGCTGGGATTGGCCTGGTGGGCAAGCGTTCTGGATGGACAGCCTAGGGGGTTCACGCTCTTATTAAGATCATTGGCCTGTCCACACCTTCAGGCGAGGCAGCTGGCAGAGGAAACCACATGGCTAGCAGCTGGCCGTGCACCCCTCCATCCCGTGGCATCACACAGCTCTGTGTAGACTTAATATCCTCATGAGGCTGGAGCAGAGTTGGGGCGGGATGGGCACAGGTTGGGGCCACTTTATTGACCCCCTAGTCCAGTATTGGATGGAGGAGGGATCTGTGTGAAATGAACAGACCTCACCCCTGGATGATACAACCATCCGGGAAGCCACCCTCAAATGCCCTCTAGGGGCCCTGCCCCAGGGAGAACCCAGGAACCCGTGTTTCTCAAAGCTCCCCGGTGAGTCTGGTGCCCAGCCAGCCTCTCGGGCCCCTTTCAGCCCTGAGACCTTGGGATTCATTCTATGTCCTTAGGGTTTTGGGACCTGGCTGCCGTGCAGAGACAGATCCCCGTCTGCCTCGCCCCCCACCTCAGGTAAGCCCCCAGCCCAAGACCCCACAACAAGGACTTCTGTGCTAGGGAGTACCCTGCCAGGACTTTTCAGGCCAACAGCACACCACGGTTTTGACCACTCTTCTTCCTCTCTTGGGCGGCTACCTGGGACCAGTCTTTGCTCTGACCCACCCTGGCTCCTGGTGATGTCAGGCCCAGCAGGTCCCATGGCATCTGGGCCCAGGAGCTGTTTGCTTCAGGACCTCCTGCTTCAGTGTCTAGAGGGGGCCCAAGGGAAGGCACCTGTGGGCTCCTGCGTGGGTGGCACAGCCCTTGGTGCAGGGAGCCCAGAGGTGGGCAGTAGGCCAGGGGATCCCCAGGAGGCTATTCCTGGGTGTGTATGTGGGGGAGGGGGGGTTCTGGTGGCCCCGGGCTCTACAATCTCTGTAGAAGGGCCTAGAAGTTTTCCTGGGATCTTCAGACGAGACCTGGGGAGCAGGGAAAAACACAGGATTACTTCTCAGACCTTGGAAGAAATCCAGACCCCAGCTCTCAGCGGGCTGAGCGTCAGGCCCTGCACCTCATCCCAGATGGCCCCGGCCATGGCACCTTGGGTGACCGCTGTGCTAGACTGACAGGATCCCCCTACCCTCTCTCCATTTCCTCCTGCTCCTCCTCCTCTCCCTGTAAGTCCGGGACTGCCGTCCGTGCCTCTGATGGGGAAAGTGTCTTCATGCAAGCAATTTCGCCAAGTTCATGGACAATGCAAACACTAGGAAGGGATCTCACAATTTGTTTATCATCGAAATAAACACATCTCTTCTGTTTGTGTGTTTGTTAAAGTCTCCTCGTATAACCTGTGTCCCTGTGGCACTGTGCACTCCCAGTCCTGCATGGCCCAAACACACATGCATGTTAATTCTGGTCTCACTGGAAGCAAGAAACGCTAGATTCTGCCGGTCGCTCCCTGTCCCTGACTCGAGCACGTCCGCTTGTCTTCTAGTGCACGCCCTGAGACCCGCAGATATCCAAGTTGTGGCTGCTCTGGGAGATTCTCTAACTGTAAGGACCCCTGGGCTCCGGGTGGGTTGGGCACAGCCGGGCTAATTCCTATCCTGACCGCGGGCCTGCACCCCTGTCCTCGTGTTCTCTCGCCCCTCTGTCCTAGCTCCCCGACCCAAGAGCACGGCAATGATTTGGTTTTGCGGCACATTCCCAAGCAGGTGTGTGCCAAGGAGCTCTTTTCCCAGAGCAAACTGAACCGTCTCAGATCATGGAGATCGTGACCGCCCAGTGGCACTTAGCGAGCGCGTGTGAAGCTGCGTCATCTGACTCAAAATCTAAGCCTGTCAGTGTGCGTGCTGTCTTCCTTTTAGATGAAGCTTTAGAGTCAGCTCAGAGCCTCGCACCTGCTCCCTCTTTGCACCTGCATGGCATAAGCTCCTTAGTTGCAGATAAAGCTCTGCTCCTAACCCCTAAGAAAGGGGGCTATCTCTCTATCCCCATCACCAATCTCGGGCCACACCTTCCAGACCTTCCGAACGCCTCGTGCAGGGAGAGAAGAGAGGCGGGAACTTGGTGAGGACTCTGTCCACCACAGTCGCTCAGATCTCTGAGCTGCTTTGTGTGCATAAGAAATGGAGGACCTGATGCTGGTCACGATATTATCAGCAGTCTCGCATCCGTGAGCACTCGAGAATTTGGGTTTTTTTAAACTTCATAGTGTCCCCTTTTTTATTTGAGGTTTATTTACTTGGAAGACAGAGTGATAGAGAGGTCTTCCATCTGCTGGTTCACCCTCCAAACAGCCACAACGGCCATGGCTTAGGCCAGGCTGGAGCCAGGAGCTTCTTCCGGATCTCTGACATGGGTGCAGGGGCTCAAGCTCTTGGGCCATCCTCCGCTGCTTTCCCGGGCCATTAGCAGGGAGTTGAAGTAGAAGTAGAGCAGCTGGGATTCAAACTGGTACCCACATGGATGCCAGTATCGCAGCAGGTGGCTTAGCCCTCTGCACCGCCATGCCAGCCCTTCGAGAGTTTTCAGAAACAGTTTTTGCCACTGGGACCAAGCTGGTCCCCCACAACCCCCTAAGAGAAGAGCAGGGCTTGCACTTGGTACAACAAGGAGACGGCAATCGAGGTGGAGAAGACACACCCAGCCGGGAAGGCGGCTCCTGGCCCTGGGCCCATGCTCTGCCCTCTGCCCCCTGTGCTGTCTCCATAATCAAGGGCACTGGGGAAGCCCTGTGAACACAGCCTCCCTTTCTTCCAACTTGCTGATTTTCCTGTGGACCGGATGTTTTCACAGGCTGGCATTGGAATTGGCTCCAAACCAAATGACCTCTCAGATGGCACCACTCAGTATCGGGGACTGTCATATAGGTAATGTCACCCACAGGCTCACCTCCAGAGGCAGGCTGGGGGCCATCTCCTGCAAGTGCTTCCATCCCGAGAAGCAAGGATGAGGTCTGGAAGGGGCAGGAGGAAACCCTCTCCATTTCTGCAGCATGTGGACAGGATATCTTCCTGCTGACCTCCCTTTTTTTCAATTGTGCAGAGAAGGTAAACCAAGGTTCTCCTCAGACTCCCGGGGCAGCAAATCCAGCACGAAATGCACTCAAAAAGCACCAAATCCCTAAGACTTCACCTGCCCGCTTGCATGGCCCGGGGCCCTGGCCGTGCTCCTGTGCCTCTGTTTACCATCTGTGTGTCTTCGTGTCTTCTGCCTGCACGTCTGTGTGTGCACACACCTGTTTGCAGACAGCTCGGAAACCCAACACATACCCTGGGAGGAGGTGATGGACACAAAACCACGTGCCGGCGGGCGTCCCCCGGCTCTCCCTGTGTGTTAGGAGATGAGGGCAGCAGAGGGGAAGCACGTGCTCAACCGGCGATGCTGTTTAAACACCAGGCATCTGAGCGCTACGGGGTAGAGAAGAGGGCCCGATCGGCAGGGGTGGGAGGGCTTCCCGGACAGGGGGTGCCCAGCTGAGCCTTGAACAGCTCCTGTGTCCGTGAGCAGCTGGGTGGGCGTGTTCTCAAGTTTCTTTCCTAATAAAGTTCATGGTTGGCTCTGCTTCCAAGTGATTGGCAAGGAGCTGGGGCTGCGTTGCCTGGGAGAGCAAGCAGAAGGAAGGCAGCCATGAGGGGGCAGAGTGCTGCTGGGCAGCCGCAGTGCGAGAGCCACCGGCTCGCTCCCTGCCTGCCCGCCCGCCCGCCCGTCACTCAGAATTCCTTGGACGGCACTGAGAAAGTGAGAGGGCACAGGGTCTGGTGCTCAGGACTGTGGCAGGCCCAGGAGGGTCCTGCAGGGTCCCTTCTAAGGATGCAAGAGAGGCGTCTCCACCTCCAGGGAGGACACAGCCCCTCCCCCAGCAGAGGTTAATGCCCCCTGGTTCTGCGGTCCCCGAGTTTCCATGTGTGCTCAGTCTGTAACAGACTGCGTGGGACGAAGCAGAGCCTCACTAACTCACCACTCTGTCCCTGAGGCTGCGAGAATGTCCCGAGGGAGAGAAACAGCAGAGCTTACTCTGAGCGAGAAAATGCAGGAAGGGGAGATGGCTGCCCTTGGCCTTCACCAAGGGAGACAGTGATCCCACACTGCAGGGTGCAGGGACAGAGGATGTGCAGGTGACAAGCCACGCAACGTGGTCCTGGTGGAGCCACGTGGGTCCACAGGGCGGTCTGTCCACTTCCAGGTGCCTCAGCTGGCCAACCCCCCTGGGACTGACGGCTGGGCCGACCTCTGGCCAGAGCGTGGCTCTGTGGATGGAGACACAGCCGTTCTCTGCGTCTTCTCCAGGCGGAGTCTGCTAGGCTCCAGGGCTTCACGTCCCATGGCGTCTCTCCCTTTATGCCCTTGGTCTGTCCCAAGTCTTAAATGCTCAGGGGTCCAAGACGGGACTCTCCAGATCAGGGTGAGGGAGCCCACAGGACACCGGGCAGGTTGTCCCCACCTGAGCTGCTCCGGGTGCGCCCTGGAGCAGGAGCTCCAGCAGAAGGGAGCGTGCTTTGTGCTTTCTGGGGCCACGTGAACACCTGTGTCCTTCCTCTGGGGACTTGACACGCGTGTGAACGTATGCAAGGCTCTGAGAAGCCGTGCAGTGCAGAAATCTTTAAATCGTGTTCAATCCAGTGCTTCCCTTCCTCCCACAGCTCTTTGTAATGCCAGTTGTCACCCCCCGGGAGGTGACACGTAGTACCACCGCCATCCGAGCAGAGCAGTTTTCTGGAGGTGTGGGAGCCTTCAGGTTAGAAGCCCCGGGCAGTTCCTGAGGCTAGGTCAATTCAGGATGTAGCCTGAGGTTCTGCCCCCTGCAGGAGACAACATCATGGAGTTGGGGGGACAGGGGCCCCCAAATTCTTGGGGGCAGTGACCGCGGGCAGGAGCTGCTGAGCCGCTTTGGCTGTGAGCACTGCCAGGGCCCTGACGGTGAGGTCACAGGTGGGATGCAGGTTCCAGCCTCGGCAGCTCAACCAGCTCTCCAGAGCCTTTGCTTCCATTGAAGTGAGCTTGTTTGGGATCACTTGTTTGGGACCCAGATAAAATTGGCTTACCAAGAAATGCATTTCTTTATTAATTAGGAGGAGTTTGATGTCTTATTACAGAAACTCCTTCCACCAAGGGTATTCATCTGTATACCCTGGATGACAACAGATGAACAAAGCCCAAGCACTGAGCTCTTGATAAAATCTAAACCTCATTCATTGAGGGCTCTAAGGTAGACCAGCTGTCCGGCCGGGGTCTAAGTCCTTTGTGCTTCACGTTGGCCTGATCAGAATGAAGGCTCGCATAGTTTCATTCCTCCATATGTATCTCTGTAATCCTCTTTCAGAAATTTGTGCTCCAAAATGTCAGGGAGAGATTTCCATAGGTTGTTGGTCAATTGCCATGGTGGTTTTAGAACAAAGATATGTTTAACATAGAAAGTACAGTGCAACATGTGTGTGTGTTTACATGGTGTCTGTGTTTCTGATTTTAAGTCTGAGAGGCAGTGAGAGAAAGCTCCCATAGGCTGTGTCACTCCGCAGGTACTCAGAACAGCCCTGCGCTGTGCCAGATCCAAGTGCTCAATCCAGGGAGACCACGGAATCCAGGGAATCCAATCACTTGAGCCATCATTGCTGCCTCCCAGGGTCGGCATTAGCAGGAAGCTGGAGCCAGAGCCAGAGCCGGAGATCAAACCCAGGCGCTCCATTGTGGAACGTGGGCATCTTAGCGAGAGTCTTGCCCGCTGGGCCAGAGGCTGCTCCCGAGGACGTGTTACTAAAATTTCTCAGCCGGGACCAACGTGCTGGGATTGAGGGAAGGGGCACGGAGGGACGGTCACGGTCAGTGCTGTTCAAGGCACAGCCTTTGTGAAAGTGGGGACGCTTCTCTCCTCGCCTCCCGAAGCCATGCTCGGTTTCAGCACATGGCATCCCCTGTGTGTCCTGAGGTCGGAGTGGATGACATCCGATGGGGGCTTTGGAAGGCAGTGAGAGGCAGCCCCTAACCCACCAGTGCAGCTCGCCTGCCTGCTGGGCAGAGAGAAGCCACACATTTCCTACAGGTTTCCAGCTCAGTCCGGGTTTTAGTTCCCTCTGTGTACCTCTGTGTCCTACTTGGTAAGGGGGAGATTGTCACAGCGCCCTCCTGAGAGTGGTGGGAGACGTGAGGTGACAGACCTGGAGCGCGGCTGGCACCCCGTGTGCACCCAGCTCAGTGTTCTCCCTCCGGAGCTGGTGAAGAAAATGGCTCCCTCCTGTCTTCAAATCCTGGATTTTCAGGGAACAGATCCACCAGGGAACTGAACACGTCTCAGATTCCTCAAACACAGAGATGGGTCTGGCGTACCTGGCAGGAGCCGATGTGCATGAAGAAGGGCGGGGGGCTCCCTGTGTCAGGTGTACGTACTGATTTAGTCTCTCTCTCGCTCCCTCCATGCAGTTCAGGAGGGGACGGCTCCCTGGACAACGTGACCACCTTGCCTAGTGAGTAACCCTCGGGGACTTGGCTGTATCCCTCATTCTGTCTGAGCCCAAGGCCCCTTGAGAGTGCCTCCCAGGTGATGGAGGAACCTCCCCGATCACCACCGAGATAGGAGGGGAGGCCGTGGACAGGCAGCCGAAGACTGTGCCCTAAATGCTGGATTTGGAGCCTGGAGACCTGAGTTCGAGCCCTGCCCCTCTCTGTGCCTGTGGGCTGACCTAGGGCAAGTTAGGGAACAGTCTGAACCTCTGGTGTTTTCAACTGGCCTGGGGCGTGCAGAGACAGATTGGATGGTGACTCTTCACTGCAAATTGTATACGTTGTTCCTATATTTATTTGAAAGGCAGAGGGACAGGGGAAAGCTAAGAGATAGAAAGAGACATCTTTATTCACTGGTTCACTCCCAAAGTGGACACAGTGGCCAGGGCTGGGCTAGAAGGAGGCTAGGAACCTGGAACGCCATCTGGGACTTCCACGTGGGCAGCAGGGGCCCAAGCACTTGGGCCATCTTCCCACTGCCTCTCAGGCACATTAGCAGGGAGCTGGATCAGTAGCAGCAACTGGGACTCGAACCCGTGTTCCGATACAGGCTGCTGGTGTTGTAGGCAGAAGCTTAGCTCACTGCACCACAACACCAGCCCCATCGAAATATTTTTGTTAGGTGAGAGGCTCTTGCTGTTCTGGCCCGGCCTGTCCTGGGGTCACTGAATTCAGTGATGCCGGGCACACCCCGTGGCTCTGTGCAGGAAGTGTGGGGACCCAGGCCCCGCAGTGCCAGAGCAGACGCCCTGCCTGGCCTCGCCCCGAGTGCACCACCACACTCCCCTCCTCTTCCAGATATCCTCCGGCAGTTCAACAGCAACCTCATGGGCTTCGCCGTGGGCACTGGTGATGCCAGTGGCACCAATGCTTTCTTCAACCAGGCTGTTCCCGGAGCAAAGGCGAGGTACGACACCTGGGGGTGGGTGGGCCTGTGGGGTAGGGGACGGGAGCACAAAGTCCCCCTGGAGACCCCAGTACTGACCCTGTGTGAGCTAGCACTCTCCATCTGTGGCAGCGACTGGGCAGGCTCAGGCTGCCCCCATGTCTGAGGCTGTAGCGGGGGTCCAGGAAGGGTGGGAGAGGAGGGCCTCATTGAGCAGCGACATCCCCACAGCCAGTGCCCCAGGACCTTGCTCTTGTGTGCAGCCTGTTCTCATAACTGCACCTACTGACCCCCTTCATCCAACATTGTTTTAAAAGATTTACTTATTTTTTATTTGAAAGGCATAGTTAGAAGCAGAGGCAGAGAGAGAGAGGTCTTTCATCTACTGGTTCATTCCCCAAATGGCTGCAATGGCCAGAGCTGGGCTGATCCAAAGCCAGGAGCTTCTTTTGGGACTCCCACGTGGGTGCAGGGGCCCAAGGACTTGGGCCACCTTGTACTGCTTTCCGAGGCCATAACAGAGAGCTGGATTAGAAGTGGAGCAGCCGGGACTTGAACCAACTTTACCCGCTATGCCACAGCACCGGCCCCTCCTCCAATTCTTAAAACTGACCCTAGCACAAGGGTGCTGGAAGGATCCACTTTCCCCAGAGTGTCACATGTGGCAATGCCCAAAAAGATGAGGGGCGCCAGCCAAGTGGGTGCGCGAGATACAACGTCCAGTCTTGGAGCTGTGCGGGCGGCCAGTCCTGCTGCCACCCAGCTCTGAGATGGAGCCCACGAGAAATGAAATGGAGAATCCCAGAAGCAGCCGAAGCAGAACTGCCCAGCCTCCCAGGGTGGTCGCGCAAGGGGGCGCTCACCATGCTCCACGCAGCACCTGGCCCAACATCCTGAGCTTCTGCCATGTTGCCTCTCCAGGTTCAGGCCACACCCTCATGCCCATCCTTCCTGGGTGGGGCCCCCAAACCAGGCCTCTCAGCCTGCAAAGGGAAGACACTTCCTGGTAACAGACATCGCTTCTGACAGCTGCTCCCCCTCCCATGTCGGGGCCACCATGCTGTGGATCTGTCTCCCCCAGGCTGAATAAGCAGAGAGCTTGGGTGCTGGAGGCTCCGATCCTCCATGAATTATTCCAGGCAGGTAGAGAAGGTGAATTTCTTCCTCACCGCCTTCTGAAATAAGCGTGTAGACAAGCTTAGGAAGAGTAACACGTGCACCGGGAAGAAAAGGCTTGGTCGCCGAGGGAGATGAGGAGTCGATGTGCGTATGTGAGCGTTTGTAGGGCACTTGTGTTTGAATATCACACTTTCAGCTTCCTGGCAGCCAGGTCGAATTTCAGGACCTGTGCCCATCTTGAAAAGAGACAAGTGAGGCCGGCGCCGCGGCTCACTAGGCTAATCCTCTGCCTTGCGGTGCCGGCACACCAGGTTCTAGTCCTGGTCGGGGCACTGGATTCTGTCCCGGTTGCCCCTCTTCCAGGCCAGCTCTCTGCTGTGGCCAGGGAGTACAGTGGAGGATGGCCCAAGTGCTTGGGCCCTGCACCCCATGGGAGACCAGGAGAAGTACCTGGCTCCTGCCATTGGATCAGCACTGTGCGCCGGCCATAGCGCAGCAGCCATTGGAGGGTGAACCAACGGCAAAGGAAGACCTTTCTCTCTGTCTCTCTCTCTCATTGTCCACTCTGCCTGTCATAAATAAATAAATAAATAGAGAGACAAGTGGTTTCCTAGCATGGAATCCTGAATGAGTCCTGGAGAGGGGAGAGCGGGCAGCCAGTGGGATGGGCGGGACCTTGGACGGCAGCTTTGGAATGAGCATGTAGTGAGCTTTCCAAAGACTGCTCTCTCTCTCTTTCCAGGAGAGGCGAGCCGCTGCTTGCCTCTGAGTCTCGGGGTCTCCAGCAGCTCATGCATTGGGGGGGAGGGGAGGCCATGGAAACTTCTAGTTCAGGTCCTGTAGGAGGAAAAGTATGGCACTGTTGCTCACCACGATTGATTTTCTCTTTCTCAGGGATCTTATGAGCCAAGTGCAGACTCTGGTTCAGAGGATGAAGGACGACCATGTGAGTCAGATTGATGGTTCTGTATAAACATGCGTTGTCTAACCTCGCGTAGCTGTCCCCAGATGGAACTGTCTCCAAGGGAAGCAGCGAGCGCCCTATCCCTAGAGGCGTGCAGGCAGTGCTGGGACAGCCCCCTGCCAGAGGCCCAGCCCGGCGAGGAGATTATGGGAACGGGGAGAAGTGTGTTGCTGGTCACCCTGACCTCTGTGGGCTATAAATAAACCTCCAAGATTCCTTCTGCTCGGAGATCCTTACCCGCGGGCAAGGAGGCTGTGGGGGTCATGTGGGTTTACATAGCTGTAGCCTTTTTGTTTCTCAGAAATCATCAAACATTTTCCTCCCTTCATGTAGAGAGTAAATTTCCAAGAAGATTGGAAGGTCATCACGGTGCAGATCGGAGCCAGTGACTTGTGTGACTACTGCACGGATTCGGTAATGGGGGCGGGGTCCAGGCCCCTGACCTTGACCAGTAGACCTTGGAGACCCTCCCTAAAAGCAGTGCTTAGAGCCAGCCCTGACTATCTGACTATACCACCTACGTGTGCACACAGGCGTGTCCCCTGCTCTCTCTCCCTCCCTCACTGACGACCCTGCGCCCCTCAGGTTCCTGGCACCATCTGCACATGCACAATGGTGAGACAGCAGGTGGCAGATACATGGTGGTTCTAGTCCTCTCACTTGTAACTCCCAAGAATTCAGAAAGAACAGAGACCGTAGACCCCAAGCAGTGGCATCTGGGGTGGGGGGTCTCTCGACAGGGCTGGTGCACAGGGCCCCAGAGGCCAAGCAGACCCCTTTCTATTGCCTATGCCTGACTCAAGCCCTGCCCGAAGGCTCCAGGGTTCCCGCTGGCCTACCTGTGACAGCTGTTCATCCCAGACTGTGACACCAGGAGCTGGTCACAGCCGAGGCCAGAGGGAGCACAAGCCCTCGGGGCTGCAGCGGCAGGAGACCATGCCGCTGTGCCCCCACTGCCTCCCCACCTTACACAGCTCCTCCTCCCCCAGAACCTGTATTCTGCAGCCAACTTTTACGACCATCTCCGAGACGCCTTGGACGCCCTCCACAGAGAGGTAGGTGGGGCTGCCACAAGCTGGTTGGGGTGCAGGTGGGCTGGGGGAAAGAATGCTGGAAGAGCCCCTCCTCTCAAGGTCAGGGTCGAGGGCAGGGTCTCCTTCCCTCCCCAGAGGTTGGGGTCTGTCCCCATGGAAGTCTTTCCATTTGGAATCTGCCTTGAGGGCCTTGGGTTTGAAGCAGGGAAGGCAATGTGCTGTCCGTTTGTCCTCTTACCACTACCTGGGACATTCCTGTTGGCCGCAGCCAGGTGGCCCCCAGGCTGAGGACTGTGTGCTGAGCTACAGGGTGTGCCTAGAGCAAGTCAGGGCCCACACGCAGCAGGGCGCATGCCCGAGTCGGCAGCACAGGCGGATTGCTCCCGAGAGAGTGCTCTGAGCCCCAGGTAACCTGCTGGGTGGCTGCGGCCCTACCTACCCACCCAGCAATTAGCAGATGAGGCTGGAGGGAACTGGACGGGGCTCAGGACCTGGTAAGGAGGTGTCCAGTCTCACCAAATGTGAGGCCAGTTATTCGGGCTCATGAAATGATGACTGAGTGGAGCTGACCCTGGCTCCGAGAGGTGCTGTTCGTGCCACAGCCTGTGTGGGCAGCATCCCCGCCCCAGGGGGAGTTGTGAGCTGCCTGGCCTCTGGGGCCCTGTGCACCTGCCCTTAGAGAGATCTCTCCAGATGCCACTCCAGGGGCCGTCCACGCAATTCTAAAGGCACTCTGGCAATCCCATCTGGTCAATTGCCATCCCAGCAATTCTAAGGAGACAGTCTGGCCAATTCTCACTTCTCGGGGCCCCCAGGAAGGAGCCTCTGGAGCCCCACTCACCTACAGCCTTGCCCTTAGGTGCCCAGAGCTCTGGTCAACCTCGTGGACTTCATGAACCCAAGTGTCACACGACAGGTGTTCCTGGGGAACCCCGACAAGTGCCCAGTGCAGCAGGCCAGGTAGGCAGGTGCTGACTCCCCCCAGGCTGGAGACACCTTCACCCTGGGCTGGCCAAGGACACGGTGGAAAGCCTGGGTTTGAGTCTTGCCTCCGCCTCCTGCTGGTGTGCGCCCTAAGAGGCGGCAGAGGATGGCTCAAGTGCTTGGGTCCCTGCCACCCATGTGAGAGTCCTGGGTGGAGTTTCAAGTTCCTGGGTTTTGACCTGGCTCAGCCCTGGCCATGGTGGGCATTGGAAGGTGAACCAAGGTCTCCTCTGTCTCTGTCTCTGGCTTTTAAATGAAATGAAAACAAAATTCTTTTTAAAAAGGTGCTAAGCTGGTGACCCTGGAGAAACACAGGAGCTAGAATCCTGATGACAACGTAACCTTGACCGAGGAAGGGGGTAGCGTGTGTGTAGGGGGGGAGGGTCTTTGAACGACAGGCCTTCAGAAAGTTTGTGGAAAATGCTTATTACCAAGAAAAAATTATATAGATTTTTTAAAATGTTTGCACTAGAATAAACTTATCTCTTGACTCCATTTTTCCACGAACTTTTTGAAGTGCCTTCTCAATGTGCACGTGGTCAGATCGTTACCAGGAAGCAAGGGAAGGACTCAGAATTCCATGACCTTCATGGGGACAAAGGAAACCGGGAGGGGACGCAGGGCAAGTTCACAGCGGGAGCGTTTTGTTGCTGAAAGCGTGCAGTCTCGTGTTCAGCAAACCTGCCACGAGGGCCGATTTATTGCACGCATCTCTCGGAACTTACTGTGCACCAGCCCCGGCTCTGGGCCCTGGGCAGAGAACCCTTTAGCGCTCGGTGCACGCTGTGGGCGAGCGATCCATGTGCGGCCCTGATGGGATCACAGGCGGTGACCGAGGCCGTGGCATCAGGTCCCCAAGTACCAGCTCAGAGGTAGCAAGGAAGCCCTTTTGTTTTGCTAATCCCACGTGGTGTTTGCTTTACGGTATCCTCTGCTCTGCATGATTTGTGGCAGGCCCGGTACCTGCCGTCCACTCTGTGTCCTCTGTTTTATGAGAGGGTCTCAAAGGGGATTTCTTCTCTCCCCTGTGTCTGGCCTCAAACTGCCCCCGAGCGCACCTCAAGCCCCAAGGACCCACGCCTGAGCTGGGGTTCACGCTGGGTCGTCTTTCCCCGTGCAGCGCCCTGTGTAACTGCGTCTTGAGCCCCCGGGAGAACTCCTATGAGCTGGCCCGGTTGGAGGCCCTCGCACAAGCCTACCAGGTGAGACCAAGAAGGCCACTGTCTCGTGTCTTCTCCCTGCCCACTCTCAGACCCACCAAGGCAGGTGCCTAGGACAGGGAAGAAATGCTAAGGGCCTGAGTGGAGCCATCGCCTCCCCTGGGGCCCTTCTTCTGCCTGGCTGGGGTGTCTTAGGTGGTTGGAGAGGACTCAGTATTGCTGGCTGAGCTGCCCCCAGGGGACTTACCCCCATCTCTGGGCCACTAGCCCTGGGTGCCCCGCGAGATCACTTTTTCCTTCCTTGCCAGACCCCCCTCCCGCAGAGCTGCCCCCCATCCCATCCCCCGCCCTCCCACCTGCCCTCACAGGTGGGCCACAAGGGAGGGGGCAGGCAGGAGGCTTCTGTGACTCCCCAGCACACAGAGGTTTCAGTCCACTTAGAACCCCAACAAAGGGCGTTCCAACCTGTCTGCAAATTTACCATCCCACGCTCAGGGAGATGGGCACAGGGACGCGGCCCCACAGCCGGCCCTCGGCCCTCCCGCCACTGAGCGCTTGGCAGTCCTGGGCCTGTGCTGAGGCCCGTGTGTGTGTGTGTGTGTGTGTGTCCCCAGAGCAGCCTGCGGGAGCTGGTGGAGTCCGGCCGCTACGACACGCGGGAGGACTTCTCCGTGGTGCTGCAGCCCTTCTTCCACAGCATCCAGCTCCCCGTCCTGCAGGTACGGTCCCTGATGCCCTGCGCCAGCTGGGGGGCCGCTCGGGAGAGAAGCAGCAAGTGCTTCTATGGCACGTACACCAGGCAGGACCCACACGCTGGCTCTGCAGATGCCGCGGGAGGTCCCAGTCGTCCTTGTCACGGCAGAATCTGAAGGCACCTGCTGCAGAGCACGAAGCCCCCATGTGTGATCTCTCCCGCACGTGGCTCTGGGTGTCACCTCTTTCCACTCTGCCTGTGCATCTGCTGGGCACTGCCACTCAGAGGCCGACGGGTGGACCTGGGTGTCCGTGCTGAGGCCCTGGCCTGACTGGAGGGCAGCTTTGTGACCCCAGCTGCCCCGAGACAGAGGAGCTGGCATCAAGTCACTCCGCCCCATGGGCTCTGCGCACCCCCCCAGGACTGTGAAAACCCATCTGGGGGGCTGGTCAGCGGTGGTATTTGCTGGCTGAGCAGCCCGACTCCCTCTGAGTCTGGGCGCTTGGTCCCACTGATGCTAAGGTTATAGACTAATGAGCCCACAGACAGACAAAGCACTTTTTATTTTTTAAACTAAATAATAAGGAATTGTGGGGCAGGAAGTGGGCGGGTCTGCGCTCACCCAAAGCTGTTCACCTGTGAGAGTGCTCTGCTCTCCCTCTCAAGGTGACTCGGGCGGGGGGTGGGGGTGGGGTGACAGGTCAGTCCCAGGGGTAGGGCCGGCCAGCAGGAGCCTGAGGAAGTCTCTCATCTCCCCCAGGACGGGCGCCTGGACACGTCTTTCTTCGCCCCAGACTGCGTCCACCCAAATCAGAAGTTCCACTCCCAGCTCTCCAGAGCCCTCTGGCGCAATATGGTAAGAAGAGCGAGGCGTCCCTGGTGCCCTGGGTTCCAGGAGACGGCAAAGCACCAGCTTCCTGAAACCGTGGCGCCTCGCCCGTGGGCTCCCTCCAGGCCAGAGACAGAAGAGCAGGGTGGGCGCCTCGGTGGAAACCCATCAAATTGCAGATCAGGGTCCTAAAAGGGCTGCGTGGCCCAGCTCTGGCCGCACCGCCTCCTCCACGCTGGCGACTGTGATGAGGCGTTTTCCACGTGCCCGCAGCCATGCCGGGCAGTTTTAGCCGCATCAGCCCGTTTGAGCCCTTTGCAGCCCTGGGTGCCCCACGAGACCACTTGATGAGTTTCTAAGGAAGTGAACCCCAGCAAAGCAAAGCCGCTCGCCCAGGACCCCACGGCTGGCAGCTGGCCAGGCAGGAGAGGAAGCCAAGCCCTCTGAAACTGACTTCTGAGCTCTCCCCACTGCAGGAGGCGCCAGGGTGGGCTTGTTTCTGCAGAATTCGGTTAGTGCACCTGTGTGTCTCTCTCTCCTTCCCATATCAGCTGGAGCCCCTGGGAGGGAAAACGGATGCACTGGACCTGACGGCAGCCATCACCCTCACCTGCCCCACTCAGGTAACCAGAGAGGGCCGGCCTTGCTCCTCTTGGCAACCAGAGCTTAGCCTGGGCCTGGCGCTTGGCTGCTACCAGCCCTGCTTTCCCCTGGCCTGGGGTGGGTCTGAGCTGGAGGCTGAGGATGGACAGGGTGGACAAGAGCACAGAGCAGTTTTTTTCTCTGGGAGTGGGAGACATGGCTGGGCCCAAGCAGAGAGAGGGGAAAGGGTCGTTGGTGTGCGGCCAGGCGCTCTTGTGGTCTGACTGCAGGCTGCGGGGCCAAGCGAGGTCCAGGCGGGCTCAGGAGTGATAGCTGGAGAGCGGAGCCAGGACTGGGAGTTTCCAGCGAGGAGAGGATCAGAGGGGAGCCGGAGGCCGTGTGCAGGGGGCTGGGAGGGCCGGCGAGAGCAGCCTGGGTTCCTTGTAAGGAGGAATATGTAAGTGGTTGTTAAACTTGATTTCAGGCTATGGGTGGGGGCAGGTTCATGTTGCCATTGCCTTCAGTTCCACTTTCCAGGGCCTGTCTTTTGCCTTTTTAACCAAATAAGGCCAAGGCCAGAGAGCCCGCAGTGGCAATAAAAGCAGACAGCCTGACCCAGTCTGGGAGGCTGGGTCTTGCTCCTGGGTGGGGCCGCACCACCCTCTCCCCCTCTTCCAGCCAAGCAGCAGCGGGGATGGACCTGCAGCTCCCCCGTGTGTCTGCTGGGGCTCCCGAGAGTGGGCACCCCTGCCCAGGCCCTGGCTCAGCCTTGTGTACCATCAGCCGCACCAGGAGAATGAGACCAGCAGGAAGAGGCATGGGAAGTGAAGGTAGCGGCACGGATGCCTCCAGGGCAAAAGGGCCAAGTGCCAGCCAGAGGGCCAGGGCCAGGGCCAGGCCTCTGCTGTGCCGGCCGTAACCGTCTGAGTGCTAGGTCCCGAGCGCACCCCAGGGGTAATAGAAGGGCAATCAGGCAGCTTGGGTGATAAAGGGTATTTGGGGACTTGGAGCAATGGGTATCAACCAATACTGTGAGTATTTCAATGTTTCAAACAACCTACCTGGCCATAAGGTATGACTGTCAGTCCCCCCAGCTGCTAGTGTTCAAGGCACCTTCTGCCCATCTCTGCCCCGAAGTCTGGCACGCTCCCCTCCCAGCACGTCAGGCTCAGCGGGCTCCGCTGCAGCTCCTCCCTGCTGGACAGAGCCGACGGAGCCAGTGCTGAGCAGAGGGCAAGCCCAGCCTCCTGGAACCCGCGGGCGCCCAGAGGCTGCTGCTAAGCACCCCTGGAGCCTGTTCCCCAAGGGTCCATCTGTCAGCCAGCTCGGCTGTACCACTGGCAAGCACAGGTGACAGGCAGGTCACTGGGAGAGGAGGCCCAGCTGGGTGGAAGCCTCCCGGGGTTTGGGGTGGGGGGGTGGTTTCTGGGCCTCCACCACTTCCCGCCCCTCCCCCAGCCCCAGTCGGGCTGCTGGGATATTTGGCACAGCCAGGGGGCGCAAGTTCACAGGTTATCTGTTGTGCCCTCAGCTTGGGCAAGTTACTGACAGCCAACCTTTGATTGGCTGTGACTCTTCTTCCCTCCCTTCCTTGGGGGGCGCCAGTGCCCACCCCTTCCCCAACCCGGGGCAGCTGGCTGAACCTCCTGGAAGAGCAGCTGTGCGCGTCCTCAGCTTTTGTTCCTTTGGGACCTCTCTGAAGTACATGTCCAAGTTAACCACCTGCCCCTTGGGGGTGTGGACGCTAAAGCGCCTTGAGTTGTCCACTTTTCAGTTTTCTTCCACTTTTATCTCTTCTAATGACCCTTTGCCTTCTCAACTTCAACCATTCTCCAACTCTGATGCACCAGTCTCTCTCTCTGCACATCCCCTCTCTTGGAGGCTTTTCTGTCTCCAGGATTTCCTGGTAGATGTCTTTGCACTGATTCTTCATTCTCTCATTTGGTGTCTTCATTTTTTCTTTCTCAAACTCCAATCCTATGTTTCCAACCCTTAAAATAGCTTTCCCCTTGGATGCCCTATAAGGTGTAAGGTTACCCAAAAGGCAGGCTAAATATATTGGCACTGGACAGCAAGGGCTGCCCTGTATCCAGTTCCTTGTCTTTGCTTCCAGAAGGAATTCAGGAGAATAGCAAATAGCGAGCCGCAAAGATGCATGCTTCACAGTCCAAGTGGGCCTGCTGTTTTCTGGACCGTGTGTAACGGTATACGGGTTGTTTAATGACGGGGGTGGTGCATTCTAATAAAACGTAGGAATAGTCAGTTTTTCTGGAAGTAGGTGGAGACTTCCTGGAATCTAGCTGCCATCCCTTTTGGCTCCTTATATGGTCTGATGTCTCCTATCACGGTGGCTGGTAGGTGTGTCGTTTTGCATGCCAATATAATGAGCTGTAGGTCACTTTGGTCCCCTGAGCTGGTAGGAGCGTGGTCCAGGCAGGGGGGTGCGTATCTCCAGAACAAGAGGAAACAAATCCATATCCCATAGGTGTTGCGGTGATAAGAACTATACCCAAGTGGCTGACTGCTAGCTCTGCCTCCTGTCTCAATATGACCAGGGAAGCCAGGGAAGAGGCAGGGTAGGCAGGGGAGAGGGGCTGAATAATGTCATCTATTTCACCTTTTATCAAGAGAAAAAGCAAAAGTGTATGGGATTCCCTCACTCTTCCCTGTTTAGCAGATCCTCGATCCTGCCTTGCAAAGGAGCGACATGGTTACCTTCTGAACGCTCAGAGCTTCTAAACCCCATCCTGCCCCCAGCCCACCACCCCCTCCAAGAGCGACTAGACAGTAGCGAGATATTTGTTTTCTGGAAGTCTCTGCTCCTCCAGACGCCCCTGTTTCTGTCATTGTTACGGGGGTTTTCAAGCACTGTGGGCAGGACAAGTCGGGCACCCTAGGGGATAGGATCCTTCCAGTGCCGCCACCTGCCCCCTCCCCAACCATGTCCACAGCCACCAGCTTGGACGTGGTCGGTGTGTGTGCGAGAGGTCAGCCTGCCCTGCTGCCCTGTCAAACAACAGAGACTGGTGCCATGGCCCTGGGTCTCACTGGAGGGCCTTGGAGTCCTCCCGATGCAGGCTCTCCCTGGATTATGACACCGTGTCTCCCCCTAGGCGTCACTTTAGCCTGTGCTGAAATGCCTACGTCCTCCCCAGGCGTGCTTTCCAGGTGGCCCCCTTTTAACAGGCTGTGACATCAGCGTGGTAAAGGACCAGCATGCTGGAATGGGGTGGGATAGAAGACTGGACAGGACGGGGCTCTCCAAGGACTGCTTCTACAACCCCTCCTTACTCCCCCTCTTCTTCACCGTGCCGCTCAAAGCCTGGCTCCTGGAGCTCCCTCTCCTTGGAACGTGGTCACCTTCCAGCCAGCGACCGCACCCTCCGGCTTGGTACAGCCAGCACCGAGGAAGCCCTGCTCCTTCCCAGGGAGGTCTGACTCTTGCCACGCAGCCAGGAGGCCCAGCCCCCAGTCCCCGCAGACTCGCCCCGATGCTGGCTCCCATCAGGGCTTGGCCAGGCTCTACCTCCCCAGCAGGCCCCGGGTGGGAACCCTCCTCCACCTGCCATCAAGCCGCCTTCACTTTTGACTGACTTTCTGGGTGCTCCAAACCCAGCCCCCAGAGCCAATCGGACTGGATCAAATTCCTCTTCTCGTGAAACCTGTTTGAGTCCAGGCCTTCAAACGACTGCCACTCACGCAAGAGCCACAGTCAACAAAAGCAAGGCCTGAGCACCCCGGCTCACTGCCCGGGGCCTGTTCTCCTTGCTCCTGCCCTCTCTACCACATTCCAGATGGCCTTGACCTTGACCCCGACCCCTGTAGCACTGTCTTCCCCCATGGGTTCCATGATGAGCTATGACCCAATAGACTCTAGCGTTCCTGGCAGCGCTCCTGAAAGGGTAGGGTTAGTCCTTGTCCTCTGCTTCCTCCTGTGCCCATCACTCTGGGACTTGCTCCAGCCCTAGACCCCTAGGTCCAGTTAGGGCTCCTTTGAAGGTGGGGGGAGAAGTCGTTAACTGCCCCCTACCAGGCTGTGGGTGAGCCTGGGAGCCCTCCCCTCATGCCGGCTCCTGGAACAGTGCTCTGCAGGCAAGGGCTGCTCAACAGACATAGGTAGGTCACTGTCAGGCTGCTCCCAGTGTGCCCTCGGTGGGGGTGCCCCTTCTGGCCCTGCTAAACCGTTGTGGTTGGAGCCAGCACAGTTGGCGACGGTGGCAGGCGTCCCAAGCTCTCGCTGTCTTGTGCTGTTAGTGCAGGGCCTGCTTCCTGTGCAAGGAACACTGGCTTGCAGGAGAAAGGGTCTGGGCTGAGAGGTTTACGTGTGAGGCTGTGCCCCCTAGACCTCTGGGGAGCCCCTTCCTCCTCGCCCTCCCAGCAGGGTCTTTTGTGGGCCGGACCCTGGTGTGAGCCTCCCAGGTTGGGTCTGGCCCCAGCTCTGAGCTTCTTGCTTGCTCTCTAACCTGAAACCCATCCTTTCCCTGCTCTCTGTAAAACGGGAGGGTCTAGGGGTTGCAGAGTCGGATGTCTGCAACGCCAGACAGGAGCCTGAATGTGTGCACAGGGTTAGTATGAGACAAGAGGAAGTGGTTACGGCCAGAACTGAGCCGTGTACGGCCCTCCTGAGAGCCTGGAGGGCCTCTTCCTCCCTTGCTGGGCCACCAGATGGGCCAAAATAAAGAACAACAAAACAAAGCGTCTCCTGGCTGGATTCAGGCTGTGAGCAGTCAATCTCCAACCCTGGAGCTGGTCTTTAAAGACTTAATAACAGTATTTAAAAGTCAGAGTGGCAGAGAGCGCCCGTCTGTCGGTTCATTCCCCAGATGGCTGCCATGGCGGGGCTGTGGCTGGGCCAGGCAGGAGCTGGGAACCAGGAGCTGCTTCCAGGTCTCCCGTGCGGCTGTTTTCCCCTGCTTTCCCAGGCACATTAGCAGGGAGCTGGATCAGAAGTGGAGCAGCTGGGACTCGAATTGGTGCCCATATGAGATGCTGGCATCATAGGCGGCGTCTTCACCCGCTATGCCACAGTGCTGGCCCCCGAATCTTTAATTCCCCTTCTTCGGCATGGTGGTTTTCCTTCCTTATTCCCTTTTCCCAAGTCCTCCATGAGCGCGTTTTGTGAGCGGCTTCCCAGCCCTGGGCCCACTTGCTTCCTGATTGGCATCTCACTTACTGCGTCTTGTTTTGCTTTCATTTTCACAGTTTCTTGTTCACTTGCTATTCTCTGTTTCTCCCTTGTCTACTTCCTTCTTTAATGAACTCATCACCGACAATCGGTGGACTTGGATTCCTGGCTGGGCTTGTAGCAAACCTGGTTGTGAGGTAGAGGTAGGTCTTGCCCCAAGAACTCATAAATGACCAAAATATAGGAAGGCAGACTAAAGGGGATGTGACATAGTGTTCAAGAGAGAGAAGAGAATAAATAGCAGATATTCAAATATGTTCAGAACCAGAACACTTCTTGGAAGAGAAAAAAAAAATGCTGAACTGTGAAACCCTTGCTAGAGACATTGCGAAGCAAAGCGAATGTGTAGGTCTGGACTGGGGAGGCGGAGTTCCCGTTGCTAAGGTGAAAACAAGCAGGGAGCTAGCGGGACTGGAGAATGTATGGAATCCCTTTTAAGCCGGTGCCAATCCTGTTATGTAAAAATCCTCGGGAATGAAGGAAAAGCGGTTTGGATCATCCTCCTATTTAAATGCAGGAGCGCAAGCTGCCAGCTCACCTCCTCGCGTGGTTTCTTTTCTCTCTCAGAACGAGCCTTTCCTGAGAACCTTCCGGAACAGTGACTACACCTACCCCAGCAGGCCAGCCGTCGAGGTAACGCTCACCACCTGCAGCTGCCAGGGGCCTGCGGCGCGGTGCAGGCTCCAGCAGGATGACCCCTTATGACATACAGGGGGTGGGAACATAAGACTCAGGCAGGAAGCCCAGGGCTGTCTTAACAGTTTCTCAGGTTGGGGGCAGTGCCCTGGGCCAGTTTTCTCTGAGCTTTGCGTCCTGTGCTCACCGCCTCCGTTTCTGATGGGGTCGCGCAGCCTTTTGGGAAGGGATGAGGAGGGGAGCAGTGAGTATGAGGTGCCGTGGGCTCCCTGGAAGGTGGAAGCCACCTGTGAAGGAGCCTCAGTTGTCCCTGTGCACCCCGGGCATTGCTGGGCTTGAGTTAGCCGTTCTAGCTCGGAGGATTCACAGCCCATGGCTGTAGGGACTGCTGCTCCAAAGATGGCCTGTGGAATCCAGGACCTTGTTAAACCCTGCAGGAGGCCACCAAGACAGGGGCTCAACCCCCAGCTAAGCTTCACACCTATGGTGGGTCTGGAATCGGAAAAGACCTGATTTTGGGTCCAGCCTTATGCTGGGAGCTAGAAGGGGTCCTGAGAAGTATCGACAGGCTTCTCACCTGGGGGAGTTACTAGACTCCCGGCTGCTCACTGCGCATCTACTATGTGCGAGGCACTGTCCCAGGGAGAGGGGGAGGAAACCAGGGAGGTCCCAGGCCTCCGAAGCTTGCAGTGTTGTGCAGGAGGCATCCAGTGAGTAGCTGAACGCCAGCAGCACAGGATGAGAGAGCTGTGTGGGCCAAGCCAGGCCTCTCTGAGGGAGGCCTGAACTGAGATACGCATGACAGAAAGATGCCAGCCCCATGGGAGGCCAGAAACAGAGTCCCAGGGAATGCAAAGGCTCTGGCTCGGGCTGAGTCCGTGGAATTGGAGGAAGAGACAGGACGTCAGAGTGGCTGGGGAGCATAAACAGAACGGAGAGCAAGGAAGAGGAGGTCCGAGGGGTTTCTGGGGGCCGGACCACCCAAGCCTGAACCCCTGAGTCAGAAGGCTGGATTTCAAGTGGAGATAGGTGGAAAGGCCTTGGTGGTTTTAGGGCATGGTGACATGGTCGGGCTCAGATCTTGAAAAGATCTCCCAGATTGGGGGGTGAGGGGTGGGGGGAGTGGAGACCAGCAGGAGTGGTTGGGGAAAGACCTTTTGTAAGCGCACCAGGGAGTCGAGACCTCCATGGGATTACTGAGGAGCGGTGAGAACTTGCGGGCTGCAGGTCTCCCTCCACTCTGGGTTCTCTCAGCTCACGGCAGCCCAGTGGAAGCTTGTGCCTGTTGACCTGGTGACCAAGTTGCATCCTATTAGAAATATCTGCTGCGTCTTGTCCATCAGGCATTTGTTTATTGATTTCCCACGTTTTTATTGGATGCCCAGGTGGAGCAGGGGCAGCGGACAGAGGTATGCGCCTGCCCTCTTGGATTACAAGTCTTTGCTTCTGCTGTTGGAAGAGTTGAGAAAGCCCAGGGCTAGGAGAGTGCGTGTTTCCACAGCTCTCCGCCTACATCAACGCTCCCCGGAAGCTTGCTCAGAATGCAGAGTCCTGGGCCCCACCCCAGACTGCAGTTTAACGAGCTCCAGTGTCCCCGTGTAGAATGCAGCACGTGGGTCTTCCCTTGTGAGAGATGAGCATGCCCAAGTCCCAGGCCGTGTCTGTCGGTGCACCCCGAACGCACCGCCTCCAACTCACGGTCTGCCTGAGCTGTGTCATCTGCAGGGGGCTGCATAGGTTTGTTTTTGTTTGTTTTTGTTTTGTTTTGTTTTTTTGTTTTTTTTTTTTTACAGGCAGAGTGGACAGAGAGAGAGAGAGACAGAGAGAAAGAAAGGTCTTCCTTTTGCCATTGGTTGGTTCACCCTCCAATGGCCGCCATGGTCAGCACACCACGCTGATCCGAAGGCAGGAGCCAGGTGCTTCTCCTGGTCTCCCATGGGGTGCAGGGCCCAAGCACTTGGGCCATCCTCCACTGCACTCCCTGGCCACAGCAGAGAGCTGGCCTGGAAGAGGGGCAACCGGGACAGAATCCGGTGCCCCGACCAGGACTAGAACCCGGTGTGCTGGCGCCGCAAAAGGAGGATTAGCCTATTGAGCCGCGGCGCTGGCTGCATAGGTTTTTAATCGCGTTTTTTAATATGGTTTTTAAATTGTATTTTCCCCCAAGGACTTGTGTCCTCTGCACACAAGCATGTCCTTGATTTCAGTAAAACTTCCCAAACATAACTCTGTCGGGGTGAGGAGTGACGCCATCCCTTGGAGCCAAGTAAAGTCCCCTGGGTTAAGGCAGCACTACTTAGACGAAGTGTGGCCGAAGCTCCGTCACCATAAGGAGGTTCTGACGAGGTCTGACTTCCTTTTCATGTGACTGGCAGAGCAGGTGGGCCTTCAGAGCCCGGGCAGTCAGTCGGTGGAGCCTGGCTGTGCCCCCGGCAGGCGGGTAGCTGGGGCTGTGGGAAGAGATGTCCTCCTCCCCAGCTTTCTAGAACCAGTCCATTCTGTGCCCTCTGTGCCCCACCTGGAAACTGTGCTCTGTGCTCCAGAGACAAGGAAAGGTGACTGAAAGAACCCAGAGTGGCAAGCTTTGGTGTGTACTCCTGCGAGGACGCGGTAGCTCAGCAGTTAAACAGCACATGCTAAACATCACGCAGGAGGAGGACGCGGGAAACCCGGGAGCTTTGCAGCTCTGGAAGTTCCATGTTTTCCTGAAAGTGTTTTGATGATTGTTTGTGCTCTTGCACTATCATTGCTGTCAATTGGGCTCACTGCTAAACACAACCAAAACACACCTATACTCTCTTATGCGAGGATCTGAATCTGTGTTCCTTAGGAAGACCACCTGTTGTATGGGTTCTTGTAGCCTCCCCTGCTTGGGGGCAGCTGCCGGCTCCACTCGAGGGTGTGGCTAAGTTGGGATGGGACATGCCGTGTGCATGTGCACCGTGCATTGTGCAGGCAGACAACTGGGCCTCCCCTCTGAGTTCTCTCGCAGCCCACCCACTGCTGGCAGCCCTACCCTCCCGTGGTCCCCTAGATCTCTAGCTCCCTCCAAAACTTCCTGGGCTGAAGCTCACCTTCCTGCACAGTGAGTGTTGGCATTGTCTCTCCTCTGGTTGATTTAGAACTGGGGCAGTGACTTCCTGTGCACCGCGTGGAATGCTTCCAGGGGTGTTCCGAACTCAGGTGAGTGAAAACACCATCCCCTGCTGCAGCAAGGAGTCTTGCGGAGTGTCCGCTCGGGGTGGAGTGGGGTTGGGGGAGGCCCTGCAGATGCACCCCGGAGCTTCGAGCAGGAAGCTTGCATTCTAGCTGGTTTCCGTGCGATGCAGACCAGGACCCGGGGGGCCCCCAGGGGTGAAGGGGCACAGTCCCCTCCACCGAATCACACTTCGAGTCTCCTTGTGGTCCCAGTGGTAGCCCCTCCGGCCTCCCTGCCCAGGGCTGGGTCCTGCATGTCTGTAATGGGGGCTTTTCTGGACCACCCCGTGAGAACTGGGCTCCTCTCAGCTGGACGACGGCCCTAAGCCTGGAACCTTCAGTGCCTCGGTTGCTTCAAATGAATGGAAGAGGCAAAATTGCTAAAGCCTGAGGCTGGAAATGAGTGCCTTGGGGACCGGGGGACCAGGGCAGACTCACAGACCCTGGTATGCTTCTGCTTGAAGAGGCGATGTCCCCCACCCCCACCACGGCCATCTCTTGTCTCCCCTAGTCCATGAGCTCCAACCAGGAGATATCAAAGTCGTAGCTGCCCTGGGTGACTCGCTGACGGTGAGTACTGAGCCGGGGGCCGGGGGGCCCCTCGTGCGCAGCCAGGGCCTGTGCAGGATCGGCTCCTCCTTGACATGGGCCCCAGACTGACCGCCTGCCCACATCAGACGCCGTATACGCCCTGCCTTCCGTCTCGCCCAGTCCAGCTCAGACATCACCTCTTCTTGCGGCTGCCCCTCCGGCGCCGGGGTGAAGTAGCCCCCCTTCCCCACTGTTCCCAGGCAAGTTGTCCAAGTCTGCCTCCACGGTCAGGGAGCTCTTCTCCGTCCCCCTAGATCCGGAGAGGAAAGACTTCTCCACCCACTGCCCACTGAAGGGCCCGTTGTTTGAGGCAGAGGGAACCCAACTCCCTGCACGTAGCAGAGTCCCCCCAGATGAACTGCATCAGCCAACAGCTTAGCAGTCGCCATGTGCAATGGGCATGGGCAATGCCGAGCCAGAGAGAGCGTGAGACCCCATCCTGGCCCTCCAGAGGCCCTGCAGCTAGGAAAACAAGTTCCGCGGGAGGAGATGGATACGGATACAGGTGACTCCCAGGACTTTCCGAAGAATGTATTCACTTCTGTAGAAACCACCACCACCCCGGGTGTGCGATGAGTCTTCATCTTGGTCTGAACGCAGAGCTGTAGAAGGGCACACGCCAGGCGAGAGGCAGGAGTTAGCCTTGGTGCTGTGTGTATGTGACTCATTGTTTAAAGTCCTTGTGTTATTTCAACAGTTGAGACAGCTATGCGTTACTTTTGTAAATTTCAAGGAGACAATTCTTTTTGAAAAAGTTTTTATTTTCATTTATTTGAAAGAGTGGCAGACAGAGGAGAACTAAAGATCTTCCATCCAAAAGTTCACTTCCCCAATGACCACACTGATCAGGGCTGGGCCAGGCCAAAGCCAGGAGCCAGGAGCTCCAGCTGGGTCCCCCATATGGGTGGCAGGGCCATCTTCTACTGCCATTGACAGGGAGTCGGAGTGGAAGCAGAGCAGCCAAGACTTGAACCGGTGCTCCTATGGGATGCTGGCCCTGCAGGCAGCGCTCCCCCTGTTTTGCTAAGACAGGAAATTAGAGAAAATTTTATACAGGAGATGGGAACTGATGAGGCCTTGGAGAATGAATTGGGGGTTTAAGCAACTGGGAAGGAGGGAGTTCAGTGTTCCAGGAAGGGATGGGGTGTGGGTAACGGGACAGCCTGGCCCAAGACCCTCGTGCTTTGGCACTCGAGAGGGATCCATTTGCTTAGACCTGATGGTATAGCTGGAAGGTACAGATGGTGTGGAAGCCGGGTGCGTTACGCTTGGAACCCTGGCGCGGGGCTCGGCTTGGACTCGCTGAAGGGTCAGAGCCAGGGGAGGCGAGGAGAGAGATGCGCTCAGAGGAGCAGGGCCCGGAACCTCCCCTTTGCCTTTCACAGCTGGCCATGGGCGCTCGACCAAGCAACTCCAGTGACCCACCCATGTTCTGGAGGGGCCTCTCCTGGAGGTGAGGATGCGTTTGACTTATTCTGTTGCCAACTCTTCCTGAAAGAGGCGTGCGTGCTGTGCTTCTCCACGCCACGCCACAAGGATGAGGTCTGCACCCCACGGCCCAGTGCTGACCCCATGCCCCGGGCTCAGAGTTCCCGGTTCCGGCCTGTCCATGCAACAGTACACACAACAGCAGGTCTGAGTGATTCTAACAGACATCCTTCCTCCTCTCCAGCATTGGTGGGGACGGGGCCTTGGAGACTCACACCACACTGCCCAGTAAGTAGGAGCAGGGGAAGAACCACCCTGTGGCCATGGCCTTCCCCCGGGGCAGGGGAGGTTGTCTGCAAGGGAGGAAGTCAGCCAATTCTGGTAAGACCTGAACCCCGTGCTCAGGTGCCACGGGGGCGCTCTGCCCCGTCTCTCTTCAGACATTCTGAAGAAGTTCAACCCTTCCATCCTGGGGTTTTCTACTGGAACCTTGGAGGGAACCATGGGACTCAACGTAGCAGTGCAAGGGGCCAGAGCTCAGTGAGTAGACGCCACCTGGGGAGGGAGACGGGAGGGCAGGGCCTGGAGATGGAGGTGGGAGATGGATGGTGTCTGGGAGCCCGGGCCCAGGTGGACTTGACAGCTGTGCATGGAGCACTTTCTGCATGTGACCCTGTGTGAGGGTTGTCTCCTGTGAGCCTCCCAGCCTTGGACGTGGGCACCATGAGGAGGACAGGGGCTCAGAAAGCTTCCTGAACAGCCACAGCCACCCAGGAACCAGGATCAGATCCTGGCTACATCTAGGGCCTTTGCACTGCCCGTGGTGCTGCCGCTGCCGGCCAGGGCTCTGCAGGGACTCTGGTCAGTCCTGCAGGGAGGATCTCTACACCCAAGAACAGAGCTCAGCTTGGGCTCTGTAGGGGCCCCCATACCTCTCCTCCCTTTGTGCCTGGACTCTGGAGGGAGGGCGGGCGGGTGAGTAGGTGTCAGGGCCCCTCCGACAGCCTGGGGCTTGTTTGTTTTCATGGGGATTTTTGTTGTTGACAACAATCCAGATCGTGAAAGCCAAAAGCCGAGGCGCCTGACCCAGCTCATTGGTTTTCTGCAGGGAGCGTGCTGTGCTGGGTGTTTGCTTTGTAGGAGGACTGCTGCGTGGAGGTCACCAGGGAAACGCGGCTGCGTGACTCACTGTTTACAGGGACTGCTCCCCGCTCCCCCCAGCAGCCCTCACCTGGGCCCTTGGCTGGGTTTGTAAGTCTGAGCCACAGGAAGCGTTGTCAGTTCCTCAACGTCACAAGCAGGAAGAAGTTATTTTTCTGCAAAAATACTGGGCTTTGCAGAGCCATGGTGCCAACGTCAGATCACTGTAGTCATTGTAATTTCCATAGCGCAGGCTTCGAGAAGCAGGGGTTTGTGTCTTGGTCTGCGGGCGCTGAAGCCCTCCCCCCTTTCTCTCCCTTTTGTCTGTCTCGTGCTGCTGAGCCTCTCTGCCAGAGGAGCTGGGAACTGCAGCAGCTGATGTCCAGCATTAGAGAGAGGAGAGCAAGCCCTTGACTGAAGCAAGGTTGTGGAATTGTTCGGGGACTCTATCACCACTCTGTCATTCACAACACTGTGGACGAGACCGAGTTCACCTGCGGACAGAGATAAACTGCACAGCCCGGCACCTAAGATGATGAGGTCTAGGGGTTTAGAGTGGCTGTGTCTATGTCCCAGCTCTAAGGCTTGCCAGCTGGGGGAACGTGGGCAAGTTTCCTGGCCTGAGTCTTCTTTGTGTCATCTGTAGATGGAGATAACAAAAGTACCCCCTCAGTGTAGGCATAGGGGGAACTGAGGTTAAATAGTCTATTTAGCACAGCACAGAATATGCAAGCACACAGAAGTGTTGGTGTTATTAGGAAATCAAAGTTTTATTCCAGGTCTAACCTTCAGCGATGAGCAAGGATTTGTTCAGTTGCTGCAAAGGACTGGGCCCGAGGTGGACCCCAAAAGGCGAGTCCCCTGTGCCTGGAGAGCTCGCGGTCTGGTTGAGGAGAGTGAGCCATGGGGAAATCGCTTCTGGAAAAAAGACAGCGTTGTGTGTGTGGAAGACTCGCTGCCCGAAGCCTCCTGTGCTTGGTCGTGGAGCGCAGCTAGGGGAACGGAACAGTATCAAGTAGCAGCTGGGCCCTCTAAACATAGACACAGACCCCGTCATCCTCCAGTGCGACCTCTTCCCTTAGAAATGGAGTTGGCCCTAGCGGGATTCAGGCACTCATGCAAGCAGCGCCCACAGCAAGTTAACAGCAGAGCTGCAGGTGGAAGCCCTGGTCCCTGGAGTTAAAAAGGAGGTAGAGGGGATGTGAACGGGCTCAGAGGAAAGGTTTGACTCAATTCGGGCCTGGAGCGAGGCGGGAGGTGGCTGCGGGCCTGCCTGCCTTCCTTCCCTGGCGACCGGTGAGGGCTTACCACCCAGGAATCCTCTGGGGCACATCGTGAACCTGTCAAAGTGATGGGCACGTCTGTGGTCACCTTTAACCAGGCAGGCTTTCCTCCTGGCGTTCTGATGGGCTCATCACCAGCTATAAGGTAGGGGTGTGATCCGAGATGTGTAGATTCACCTCGATGAGTACAAGGGCAGGGGTGGGGCTGTGTGTGCTTGACCACGGGCCCAGCTGCCTGCAGACAGGCAAAGATTGGAAGGGGCCCAGCCGGTGCTGGCTACTGCTTTTGTGACTTCTTGCACAATAGTTTGGTTACGTGCCCTTTGCTGCCCTCTCTCTCACACACACACGCTGTGCATCTATAGAAACAACTTTATTGAGGTCTAATTGACATGCAATAAACTTTACAAAAGTATAGGATTTGGTAAATTCTGTCATCCGTATACACCTGTGAAGCCATCATCACTGTCAAGATGACAACCCTGCTCATCCCCACAGCTGCCTCCTGCCCCGTTGTCATCTCTCCCTCCCACCCCTTCCTGTCTCTCCAGGTAACCACTAACCTACTTTCCATCCTGTAGGTTTGTTTGAATATTCTAAAACTTTAAGTGAGAGCACAGAGCACATCCTCTTTTTGTGTGTTTGATTTATTTGAAAGGCAGAGTTACAGAGAGGGGAAATAGGTCTTCCAGGCGCTGGTGTGCTCTTCCCAAATGGCCACAAGGGCCAGAGCTGAGCTGATCCGAAGCCAGGAGCAGCGTCTGCGTCTCCCACGTGATCAACTTTTATCCAGCAAAATTCTGAGGTTCATCCACAGTGTTGGGTCTACCAAGCATCTACTCCGTTTCGTTGCTGGCTACTGTACCACAGACCCAGATACCTGTCGTTCGTCATTTTATTTATGGCAGACGGGGCTAAAGGAGAATAATCGTGCCTGTACAACTCCCCCATCCTGGGTTGTTGCAAGGAGACGAGGGATGGTGGAGTCGCCGGAGGTCACCACAGAGAAGGGAAGCGTAAAGGAGCAGGGTTGGGGCCTAGAAGTCAAGGTCAAGGTGTCCTTCAGCCAGGCAAGGAGGAAGCCCATGGCCAACTCCTGGACTATACCCAGGCTGAGATGTGCTAAGAATGGGAGGCTTTTCCTACGTTGTGAAATGGTAACCCGGGCTGGCCTTCGTCTTCCTAGGTCTACCTTGCTCCTAAGCAACTCTAATGCCCCCATCTCCTCTCCATCCTAGGGACATGCCAGCCCAAGCCCGGGACCTGGTGGAGCGAATGAGAAACAGCCCTGTGAGTACAGGCTGCCGGCCTACGCCAGAAAAGCTGGGGAGGCTACAGCAGTCCCTCCAGGACCCCCTCTGGACCGCAGTGGCTCCTGCTACCAGCCTGTCTTTAAGAGGGGCCGCAGGATCCACGAAAGCGGGCTTTCCCACGGGCACGGCCTGGAGCAGCTGCGGGAGGGACGGGGGCAGAGTTGGCCGAGATCCTGGCCTCGGGCAGCTCCCACCTTACCCCAGCGCTGGCTTCCCAGAGCCCCAGTATTCAAACGCAAGGTCCTAAAAATAGGCTTCTCATTCCAATCCTTCCTCCTCGCTCCCCCGGCCCCATCAGAACTTCAAACCGCCACTTTGCTTGCAACACTGCGTGCCTGTGCCTTGGAATCCAGCTGCTGGCAAGATTCCTGTTACGGCGGGAGCTCAGGGGGCAGCTCCTCTGAGGGCCTCCCAGCCCCTGCCTGACCGCTCGGGCCACACTGGGCTCTTCCTCCAGTGCCCCCTGCCCATAGGGAGGCTCGAGGAGTTCTTCCCAGGGCAGCCCTGGGCCTTGGCTTCTAGCTGCAGCTTTGGCCCTCGGCTCACATTTCCAGAGTGTTAATCCACTCAGCCTTCCACAAGCCTGAGGAAGTGGGGAAGTGGGCCCTCCCCTACATCTGAGCAAATGCCCGGATACAGCCAGTCCCCCTGCGGGGTGGCCCAAAGAGAGGGTGAAAGGCAGAGGGTGGGCCTCACCTGGGATGTCTGTGCCCTCAGGAGATCGACCTGGAGAAGGACTGGAAGCTGGTCACACTCTTCGTGGGGGGCAATGACCTGTGTCACTTCTGCGAGAATCCGGTAGGCCCCTGACCCGGCCCTCAGGGGACCGGAGGAGAGAGATGCTGAGCTCTGTCGTATCCTTGTGCAGGCCCCGAGCCTGCCTCCCCACCCTCTCCAGGGTCACACTTGCCTGGTCTCCCAGGCGGCCCCTCGTTCACGCATGCTCAGAGAGGTCCCTGGGAGAACAGCTGCATTGGCTCCTGTATTCCCAAGCAAGGGTCAAAGTCTTATCAGGGTTTCCAGAAAATCTAAAATATTTTCCATGACTACTTTTAAAAACTTTCCTGTAACTTTAAGTTATGAAGAGATTTGACAAGCAGGGAGAGAAATCTTCCATCCACTGGTTCATTATTCCACATGGTTGCCAAGTCAGGGCTGGTCCAGGCCGAAGCCAGGAGCCCACAGCTCCATCTGGGTCTCCCACATGGGTGCAGGGGCCCAAGCACTTGGGCTGTCTTCCACTGCTTTTCCCAGGCCATTAGTTGGGAGCTGGAGCAGCCGGGACTTGAACCGGCATCCCTATGGGATGCAGGTGTCACGGGCTGCTAGAGCTCCACTCCTGTCCAAGGGAGAATGCCGCTTCCATGTTCAGCGTGAGCCCACCCACACACGTGTTCCTGTGTTTAGTATGAGTGCTTCGAGTCACTGCCACCCTCTGTATCAGTCTCCTATTCTGATACCTTCTAATGAGTCATATCCCAAAGTCCCTTCCTCACAGTATAAAGCCAAGCACGGGATTCGGTCAGCAAGCATTCACTGAGCACCTGCTGTTTACCTCAACCCTCCACCCGGCTGCCTCCAGCTGGGGAGCTGGGTCAATGCCCCTTGGGCTGGGTCATGAGGGATGGTGGAAATCAAATAGCTCCAAGTCGTGCCCACGCCTGCAGGACAGAGGGCCATGGTGACCCATGTGGTGGATGTGGCCGAGGCTGCCTTGGAGCAGGGATGTGGTCACTCCTGGGGTCTGGCAGGTGTCCCGACAGGGCTTCCTGTGGGTGAATCTGCCAACCAGCAACCGGGACTGGGCTTCCCCGCCTGGGCCCCAGGAGCCCTCCTGTGCTGTGGGTTCCTCTCTTGGGGGACTCCAGGGGCTGGCGAGAGCCGCTTTTCTCTTCTCAGGAGGGCAGCTCCGAGGGGGAGTACGTCCAGCACATCCAGCAGGCCCTGGACGTCCTGTACGAGGAGGTAGGAAAGATTGGGGCCTGCAGGCAACCTGCCTGCCTGCCATGCACTGGGGGCACTCTCCCGGGCTGCACCCTGAGCAGAGCCCTCCCCGCTCCGTGGGTGGCACTTGAATGGTGGGGGTGGGCACCGAAGACGGCTTAGTGAAATCGTACAAGTCACCGCCCAGCCGTGAGGTCCTGGGCCTCAGTTTCCTCAGTGGTAAAACTGGGGCAGACGTCCCCCCGTCCCCCCTTCCAGCAGTGCCCACGTCTCCCACCAGAGTGCCAGGAGACTCATGCACCTCCCCCCCCCCCCCCGCCCCGGCTCTCCACAGCTTCCGAGGACTTTTGTCAATGTGGTGGAGGTCATGGAGCTGGCCGGCCTGCACCAGGACCAAGGCGGGAGATGTGCCACACTGCTGGCAGCTCAGTAAGTGGACGGGTCAGGGTCCCGAGGGTGTGGACCCTGGGGAGGGCGGGACTCAGACGCCCGAGGAGGAGACCGGAGCAGAGGGAAGCACCCGTCCATCCTTGCAGACCTACTACACGGGAGTCCCTGAAGTGCTCTGCACCCGTTTGTTTTCCTATAAAGGGAGACCAGGACCAAATGGCCCCTTAGGCCTCCCTGACCTGGCTCCGCTGACACCCAGCCTCAGTGAGCTGCTCCCTGTTGAGGAGTCCAGGGGGGTGGGCTTGCATCCAGCCTCCCATCCTGCTGTGTGGGACACCTGTCCCGGAACGTGAGGATAACACCCGCACCTTTCTTGTAAGGTAGACGAGGGGTTGAAAGGAAACACACGTAGGGCACCTGGCCCACCTGGGACAGCCTCCCAGGAAGCTCTAGTTTTATTCTGTCCTTTACTGATCAGATCCGGGCTTGGAGGCCAGGTGCCGAGGGGCCGAAGCCCTGTTGGGACACCCCCAGCTCATTTAACCTCAGTGGGACCCTGGCTAGAAATTGGCACCTGCTGAGGCCAGAGGGGCTTTCAGAGTGTGTGTGTGACTGATGCTGCCGGGGGAGGAGTCCAGTTTGGGGTGAATGGGTTTGTTGTGCAGGTGACCAGCTGGTTCCCCCTCTTGGCTAGGCGCTGGGCCCTCAGGTGGCCCGGCCAAGGACTGGACTCTGGATGCTGCATTCCTCCTCGTTAAGGCCCTGAACCGCTGGCAGAGCTCAGAGGTCCCAGTAGTGTGGGGACAGAGCCATTGTTGCCATCTTCCCACAACTCTGGCCTCCTCCCTACCCATTCCTTCTCTAGAGAAAGGCCACAGGGGCGAGGCATCCACCACTGACTCCTCCCTTCTCTCTGAACAAGTGCCTTGCGGACACCATGCCCACCATCTGATGCTCTGGGTCACACTGCGGGGCACTGTGGGAGGCCACTTCCTGTGTATGGCAGAGTCAGCCTCCTGGGAGGACCAAGCCCAGGGAACTGAAGCTCACGCATGAGTTCTTGTCTCACAGGAGCCACTGCACCTGCTTCAAATACTCTCAGAGCTCAGTGGAGATGCAAGAACTGAAGAAAGTGAACTGGAACCTCCAGGTACGCCCTGTAGCCCTCCCTTCTCTGCCCCAGGTGGGAACCCAGAAGTCACGAGTTTAGCAAGGGTTGGCTGAGAACAGGTCCCACCCCCAGGATGGTTAAGTAGGCAACTTGAGAACCAAGGTCAGGGAGGGGAGGGAGAGATCCCAAAGAGGAAGTCGGAAGAACCCCACCCCTCCAGCCCCAGCCTGAGCAGCACTTGGCTCCTGGAGGAAACTGCGGGCTGGAGTCCATCCTCCACCCAGCACCCTGTATTACGGGCCCCAGCTCGGGAAAGGAGTGGCAGTCCCTGGCCTCATCTCCTCTGCCTCCCTCTTTAAGGCTCAGCCCCTCTGTCCTCACTTCTAGCCCAGTTCTTCTTCCTCTCCCCACCCCCCTCTGCTACTCACATCCCTCCACGTCCACCCGAGTCCCTCTGCGAATGAACCCATCTTCACTTAAAAAGCAAGACAGCTCCCAGCTCAGAGTCAGTCTGCACTCACTGGACTCGGGGGCCATAGACGGTTCTCGGGCGTTTGCATCTTGTCTCCTCTTCTGTGCATGACAGGTCCCTTGAGGGCAAGTACTTCTAGTGGGTTCCCTTTACAGCCCATGTTTTTGGCATTTAATAAATCCAATGACTATGCACTGTCACCCCCCAAGTCCATGGGTGCTTTGGGGTGCTGGTGTATGAGGTCATCCTCATTGGAGCTGATCTGGAGCCTGGATTTGACCTGACCTCTTCAAGCCATCAGGAAGCAGGGCAGCCTTTGGT